TGTCGGATCTTCTCTTATAGCGTAGGCAATATAGAGTTATCCGTAGTCTCGCCTTCTCTAGGCATATAATCCGGACGCCGACTGGGTATGTCCGCTGGATTCTTCTTACCGGCCCTATATTTAATAATGAAATCGAATGCCGCAAGGTACTGAGACTATCTAGCCTATCGTCTACTTAGGACTTTGGTAGTTATGAAGTAACGTAAGTTAGTATAGTTAGTTAGGACTCTTACCGGGAATTTGCTACCCTCTAGGTAGTGTCTCCATTACTTAAACGACTCAATAATAGCTAGTAGCTCAGAGTCGTGCGTCTTGTATCAGGTTTCTACCCCGACTATCTTACGGGACTAGTATGCGATAGGGTGCCACCCACTATTATCGAATAGCTAGCTTAGTATACTTCCGAGACCAAATCCCGATGTATTACACTCTACCTATAGGGGTAGTTTAGGATTAAAGTGTCGGAGGAAGGGTTCCTCTATAAACGCCTTCTTTAGTCTTTTAAATCCCTCCTATGCTTAAGGCGTCCACTTCAATCCCTCCGTTCTTCGGTTAGCTTTCCTTGCTGTCCTACTATAAGTGGTAGCCGAAATAGGGATATAAATAGTCGAGAAACCTTCGATAAAGTGACGATAGAACCCGGCGTATCTAATAAACTGCTACACGTCAAATACGTATTTTGGACTGGGCTAGTCCTAGATAGCCTTTATCCGTTCTTTCTCTATTTTCACTCCCTAAGAAGTGATTACGAACCCTAGGAATAGACATTGACAGGGCCCATGGGCCGGAACTTTTGTCCATGGACGGGCCGGCTTATTCTGTCCATGGACGGGCCGGCCCATGGGCCTCTTGGCGGCCCACGATACTAAGAGACATAATTTATGCAATTTATACAGTATTTTAGGTATTCGAGCGGTAAGATTCTAGATAATAAAGTCTTTAATTAAGCTTAAAAGATAAGATAAAAAAGAGCCAAAAGAATGTATTATTTACTAATTTCGAACCCATCATAGATCTTTGGTACCTTCCTTGCCCTTCCAGAGTGACGTGTTTGACTTATTAAGGGTATACCACTATTATCTTCACTTTCTTCACTCTTATGGTTAGTTAAAACACTATTTTGTCTTAGATAATAAGCCCCTTTTACCCTAACGAGGATGCTCTACCTGTGGTTTTGCCCCATATTCAGTTATAAGCCACCATTGGATAAACTGAGCCTGATTCATATTAGACCAAAGGATAAAATTACTCTTAGGTCCAACGCGTTTAAGGAAAGGGGGTGGTTCGTAGATAGTAGGTGTAGTAGAAGGGCTTTCAGGGACTGAGGATGGGGGAATAGAGAAACAATTAGATCGAATAGGGTCAATACTATTACTATAGATAGATTGGCTAAAGGAGGACGAAGGGAATGCTATAATAACACTAAAAAGTATGAAAGTAAGGGTGAAGTGAAAGTGAAATAGAAACGTAGAATGGATAGTAGGCCCTACGCGCGAAACTCGGCGCGCTATGATTGGCTATAAGCCTCAGTTAGTGGGTCTATAGGCCTTACTCTATTAGTCTACGCCTTTGGTCGTAAACCCACTTTTTCAGTCTACCTTTACTTTGTCCTTTAAACCTTTACCCTATACGCAATATAGATAACTAGGCTATAAAACAATATCATTAGGTAGATAAGGGTATTGAATACATTATATCTAAACATAATAGCCTAATACCGTGGTTTGGACGAAAAAAAAAAAAGTTCATCCAGTGGAAAGTGGTAGTAGACATCCATACAGAAATATATATTATGTAGCCCTTACCATCACCCCCCGACTCCCCATTAAAAATCTGCCTAGCTCTAGATCTATAATATAGTACTCTATAACTAGCTAACTGATCAGTGGCACTTTAAATTATGGCACTTTGGATTATGGCACTTTAAATTATGGCACTTTGGATTATAGCACTTCGACCATAGCACTTCGACTATGGCACTTTCCATTATGGCACTTTGATCATAGCACTTTGATCATGGCACTTCGACCATAGCACTTTGATCATGGCACTCCGCAAATCACCGACTAGACTATGGCACTTCGATTATGGCACTTTGGATTATGGCACTCCGTAACTCGCCGAGTAGAATTATAGCACTTTGGATTATAGCACTTTAGATCATGGCACTTTGATCCGCGGCGCTTTGATTCATAATATTTATCTGCAGGAGGCACAGAAATATTGATTTCGGGCGGAAATATATATTTCCGAGGCACTTCAATCATTCAATGCATATGACTGACCAACTATCTTCCACCCTTTTCCACTACTTACTAGCCATAATATCTATAATATGGCACTCTATAAGTAGCCGACTGGTCAGTGGCACTTTGGATCATAGCACTTCGATTATAGTATTTTGAATCATGGCACTTTGAATCATGGCACTTTGTATTATGGCACTTTGGTCCGTGGCGCTTTGATCCATAATATCTATCTGCAGGAGGCACAGAAATATTGATTTTGGGCGGAAATATGTATCTCCGAGGCACTTCAATCATTTAATGCATATGACTGACCAACTATCTTCCCCTTTTCTACCATTTATTGGGCCAGGCCACGACATCTACAATATAGCACTTTACAGCTCGCCGACCGATTTATGGCACTCTGGATTATGGCAATTCGATCATAGCGCTTCGATCATGGCACTTCGATCGTGGCACTTTGTATTATGGCACTTCGACCGCGGCACTCCGTAAATCACCGACTGGACCATGGCACTTCGCTCGTGGCACTTCGATCATAGCACTTTGATTATGGCACTCCGTAACTCGCCGACTGGTGTATGGCACTTTGAATCATGGCACTTCGATCATGGCACTTTGAATCATAGCACTTTGTATTATGGCACTTTGGTCCGTGGCGCTTTGATCCATAATATCTATCTGCAGGAGGCACAGAAATATTGATTTTGGGCGGAAATATGTATCTCCGAGGCACTTCAATCATTTAATGCATATGACTGACTAACTATCTTCCCCTTTTCTACCATTTATTGGGCCAGGCCACGACATCTACAATATAGCACTTTACAGCTCGCCGACCGATTTATGGCACTCTGGATTATGGCACTTCGATCATGACACTTCGATCATGGCACTTCCATCATGGCACTTCCATCATGGCACTTCGATCATGGCACTTCAACCGCGGCACTCTGCAACTCGCCGACTGGATCATGGCACTTTGATTATGGCACTTCTATCATGGCACTTCCATTATGGCACTTCCATCATGGCACTTCCATCATGGCACTTCCATCATGGCACTTCCATCATGGCACTTCCATCATGGCACTTCGACCGTGGTACTCTGCAACTCGCCGACTGGATCATAGCACTTTGATTATGGCACTTTGGTTCATAGCACTTTGGCTACAGCATCGTAGACCATTCTTTGGGTGGTACTCTATAATGTCAATACCAAGCGGAAATATATATTTCCCAAGTAGTATAAATACATAAGATAGATTATAGTCATAAACCTATTATATAGATATTATATCTAATATCAAAATTGATCTCAATTATATTAATAACCTGCGTTATCCACAAACCCACACTGTGCAAACCTATCAATAATACTATATTTTGTTATTAAATATGCGAAGGATGTAGAAAATAATATTCATAAGCGTTTCGACTGAAACAGTGGTAAAAAACGGGAAATAAGCTAAGAGTTATGCAAAAAAATCAGGCAGGATTAGGCCAAATAAGGCCAAAGAAGGCAGAAATATTAGAATCAGGCAGCATTAGGTGTCGATGGGCCGGCCCATGGGCCGGCCCATCTGTCCATGGACGGGCCGGGCTTTGGCTGTCCATGCATGGGCCGCCCATGGACGGGCCGTGGGCCGGACCTTTTGTCCATGGACGGCCCATGTCAATGTCTAGTTACTGTAAGGATAATATAATATAGATAATTAGAGACTAGCCTAAATATATTAGTGAAGATTAGTTCTTATAAGATTTAGGTGCTTAAATAATATTAGATATATTTTCTAATAGCTATCTAAAAATATTATTAAGACTATACTAAACTTATAGATTTATAACTAGTCTTAACTAGTGTATTTTAAGCTATATTTATCTTATCTTGATTAGTTAGTTATTCGTATAATTATAGAGTTTAGGTAGAAAAAGGGTAGAAGGATACGATTAGGAATATAGAAATAGGGCGTGGTTCAAAATATAGGAATAGGGCGTGGTCCAAAATACAGAAGAAGGCCTTGGTCCAAAATATAGGAATAGGGCGTGGTCCAAAATGCAGGAGAAGGCCTTAGTCCAAAATGCAGGAGAAGGCCTTAGTCCAAAATGTAGGAGAAGGCCTTGGTCCGAAATGCAGGAGTGACCTTATGCATTTCGGACCAAGCTATTCTCCTGCATTTTGGACCACGTCCGCTTTGGGAATTTTGGACCAAACGCTAACCCCTTTCGGAAATTTGGACCAAACATACCCGTCTCGGGATCGTAACTTTGCACCTCTATATTAAATCTAATTAAATAGCTAAAAATAAATAGTCTTTATTTTTATAATCTAGAGGATATATTGCGATAGGGAAAAATATAGTATATATCAATACTGCTTATATAAGCCTATCCTTTGAGCCTGTTTTCGACTACTAGAATAATTTCCTCAAGGAACGTTCGGTCTCGGTACTACCTACTAGTATTTATTGATTCATTTCAAAGACTCAGAAACGCTAAAGACTGCTATGTACAGATATTATACCCCACCTCCTCTTATATATCAATAGCATTTCTCACTTAGTGTTTACTTAGTGTTAATCCAGACTGCAATGCTTCGATTTCGATTTCGATACGACTTGAAAATATCGAAAATTGAAAGAATTGTAAAACAGCCAAGTCTCAGAGTCACCCTGGTAGGTCTCGACATCTATTCTTCTTGATCTCACTGTTATGTGTGCAAGTGCTAACGATACAACTTCAGGACTCAAAATGAGGCACTTTCTATCTCTTGTGTGTCTGCTCGCCAGTGTGGGGTCCATCCCGCTGGCTCTTGCAGACACCTTCTGTAGCGCCGATGTGCCATGCGCAATCGGATGCTGTGGTCAATACAATGTCTGTGGCATGGGTCCAGATTACTGTGGCTCAGATAATTACATTAATAACTGTGATGCCAAAGCAGAGTGCAATCCTGGTGACTGGGACTCGAAGTATGTCAATTCAACTACGTGCCCATTGAACGTTTGTTGTAGCAAGTATGGCTTCTGCGGCACCACCGAGGAATTCTGTGGAAACAAAACTGTTACTCGCCCTTTATGCGATGCAGGCTCTCAATCTGTTACTCGTGTCATCGGTTATTACAACGCAGCTGCGAATAGCCGCTCCTGTGATAGAATGTCTCCTGCTGGTATCCCACAAGGTATTTACTCTCATATCTACTTCGTATTTGGTAGTATCGATCTAGACACATTCGAGGTGATCCCAGCGAACAATGCGGACACTCAGCTATATCCACAGCTTGCGGCTCTTTCAAGTCGAGATTTAGGTTAAGAGCACTGGCTCTTAATTAGTGGTTGGGACTTCTCAGATGACGATGCCCCTACAGCCACCACATTTTCAGATCTCTGTGCAGCCAACACGGACACCTAAAATGACTTTTTCAAGTCTCTTACTCTTTTCATGAATACATACGGATTCACTGGTGTCGACATTGATTGGGAGTACCCCGCAGCCACCGACCGTAATAGCAGATCGGAGGATTATGCCAATTTCCCTAAATTTCTGGCTCGATTGAAGAAGGCTTTGGCCCAGTATAAGTTTGGTCTCTCTGTTACACTACCTACCAGCTATTGGTACCTACAACATTTTGATGTTGTTTCCATTGAGCCCTCGGTAGATTGGTTCAATTTTATGAGCTACGATCTTCATGGCACATAGGATGAAGGAAATGAGTGGACTAGTGCCTTTTTGGATGCACACACCAATCTGACGGAGATAGAGACAGCCCTTGATCTTCTCTGGCGAAACAATATCACATCATCCAAGGTCAATATAGGCTTGGCCTTCTATGGTCGTAGCTTCACGTTGGCTAGTGCATCGTGCTCAGACCCTGGCTGCTCCTATCTATTAGCTAGCGACGCTGGTAACTGTAGCAGCCAAGCGGGAATCCTATTCAATAGTGAGATCAAAGCACTTATTGACAGTGAAAATCTCAATCCGACCTTACATAAGGCGGTAGCCATCAAGAGCATTCAATGGGAAAGTGACCAATGGGTTTCGTTTGATGATCAAGACACCTAGAAGATCAAAGCCGATTTTGCGAAGTCCGAATGTCTTGGAGGTGTCCTCGTCTGGTCTGTTGATAACGATGATAGTAACCACACCTTTTCTAGGGGATTGGCTGCTGCCTTAGGTAATAAGATAAATGTCAATACCACTATTAGAATTACTGGTAGCGTCCTTAAGCAGTATTTAACGGAATTGATCAGTTAGAAGTCTACTCCATAGCAATATTGCCATTTCATCAATTGCGGCGAAATCTGTCCCAATGGCTACACTGATATCGTCCGTGCCGACAAAACCAGTCAACTGATATTAGACTCAACGTTGTGTTCTGGAACCGGAAGTGGAACGCAGACTCTGTGTTATCCTACATCAAGTAAGATCCCTACCTACCGCTGGCGGGGATTTCACAATAATAGAAAATGCAAGGGCGGCTGCAACGACGATGAAGCCGAGGTTGGCACACTATACGCCGGTTGTACCAAGTTAGGCTATTAATCTGCCTGCTACACCATTACAGACTCGACAAAGCCCTTTACAAAGTGTAAATAGACTTCAGACTGCTACAGCGACGACACATGTCCATCCGATTATCCAAACTTCGTTGTGGGCTCCCAGGATGGATCGGGCGGCATGCTATTATGCTCGAACAAGGAGTCCTACAACTACTGTTATTCGGGTTCGTCTGTGCCAGATGCCTTTACCAATTGCGATTGGAAGGGCTATGAAGACTTTGATGGTCCCCAGTGTACCGATTTATACCCATCTGACACAATCCGTATCGCCGCAGAATCAATAAATCCCTTCAATAACTTGAACTACGCCCGCACCTCTGGTTGTTATTTGGGCGAAGAAGCTTACTATTATTCTGGTGCAAAAATCTCTAAGCGATCAGGCTCGTCAGATTCATCAGATTCGTCGGACTCCCAAATTGGAGTCTATTAAGACCAAACGGCTAAAGATTTTGACGTCTATCTTCAAAAGTTTCTTACACACCCAGTGTGCCCCTCCGGCTAGGACGATCAGTATAGCGCGAGCTTTGACTCGGTTATGAAACGAGATTTGATGAGTCCTCGATCTATAACCATAACGAGCTCTACGGACCAAGACATCACACTTCTCTTTCTTCTGCCTTTGTTAGAGGTGTTGGTAGCATCTCAATATTAATGCCAAGATCTGGTAGATATTTAGGATATTCGAACTTCTGAAGTAGGAGTCTCAGAAGTTACTAGTATCGCAAATATGACCACTATGATGTACGGCGGGGACGACATTTGGACAGGGACTCCATCTTATGACGCTTCAGCTATGCTATCCCAAACACTATGTAACATTGCCGACTCGGCTGCTGCTCTTCGAGAGATTAAGTTTGCGACAGATATTCTATGTGTTAACCTATCTACCGGTGACCCTGTAAGCAAGTCTATAGGCGATTCAGTTATCTCTGCCCGAACTATTACTGTTATCTGTACTACTGCTAGCCGGTCTGCAAATGGGGACTCGCTAATGATAACTCAAATATTTTCCGGAATTCTGGATGTAAGTTTTATCGTGTCCGTCCGATGCTTCAATTTCTCTTGCTAATCAGGAATATCTTTAGACTGGGGATCTAAGCCTTCACTACCTTCGGTGGCTTCGATTAAGTCAAGTAAATCGCAATAGCGTACCTTAATAGGTAATTCTTGAAATAGCCTTTTAGATCGGTAGTGAAGTAGGAGTCGCAAACGTAGATACTCGAGCCACATATACCGATCGTAGTCACACAGCAGCTACCGACCGCTGGGTCGTTTTCCATCTGCATATTCCAGTAGACATAACCACCCTTAGGCAAAGGGGCGAGACTACTACCTGGGAAGTAGCCGTTAATACCATAGACGTCTACCACAGCCAGGGAATCACGCGCCTAGGTGTGGTAACACGCGGAAGAACCTTAGACTACCGGGCCGAATACAGACTCTCAAGAACCTATACGGAGGGAGGATTTAATACTAGTTCACTGCAAAACTATAACTCCCGCACCGAAACGATGGGCTGCTACAGATCTCCCGAAAGATGGTATATTGGCAGCGACAGGACTAGTACTATCAATGGTTTAACAATAGTGCAACGAAACACTCCAAACTACGCATTGAACTTGGAAAGACTGGTAGGCCCTAACCTTTTATCTTTTTTGTCATTGAAATATTTACCTAGAAAATCGAGACTAATGTACGGATTTGACTACAGAATGCCTGGCTTACGGACCAAGGCGTGTTTACTACCGCTATATTGTCGCGGATTTTCCCTAGGGATTCACTTATCGATATGACAACTGGTTGGGGCACCTCAGTCGATTAGGCTAACCAGTACAGCCCCAAAGATGGTATATTTGATACTAACTGGTTGCCGGATGGGAGTACTCCACTAGATCTAAGGAATGCTGACGCTTGAGAGACCAACTTAGAACAGTCGACTCCTGTAGGGGACAGTCCTTGTAATATAGTAGTATGTACCATAAGTAGATACCTCAAAAAAGTGTTAATAAGTTATACCCAGGCCTGATATACTGTCCGTGCCGATAGGGTACACAATCTGTTAATCTATGGGATTGTCAATATTCGAGAGTACAATAGAGCCCTATATACCCGTGGGACTAAGTAGATATTCATTCCCGTGCATGGTAAGGCTATTTATTACCTAGGTATCTAGGGCTAGGGCCAGCGGTACCAGTACTGAAACCTTCCAAGGTTTAAATTGAACCTTGGAATGACAGTATAGTAGTAGGGCCGTTTTGTCACAAAACCAGAATGGCCGTAGGACGACCTGAGTACCTAGGCAGTGGGGGTGGTTCTTTTCTTAAGGACCGTTATTTCCAAATATTTTCTTCCTTACTTCTTCCTTATCTCGCCGCAAATCTAAGTTATGTCCTATAGCGAATTTAACGCTCCATGGGATAAAAACCCCCGGGAATCCGTAGAGAACGCTCTCCGTGACGAACACGGTACCAGACTCTACGAGAACGACCTCAGTCACCTTCTATCTACAATCATTCGCTATAATGATATCCCTAGACTAAAATAATATCTTTCTGTCTATTCCCCACGCTTAGACCTGGAACAGAAAGTGTTTGATGATCCCCTTTGTGTTATCGCGTCGTAGGGACGTACAGAGGTGCTCCGCGTTCTCATAGACTACTACAATACCAACTGGAAATATCTGCCTCTCTATCAGCGAGGGTGCTCGTTGCTGACCGCAGCATGCGGAGAGGCACAAATCGAGATAGCTCGATTGATTATGGACAGTCAACCGGCCCTTAACTTAGCCCACATCAACCAGGTGTATCGTGATAAAGCGCTACTAGCAACTGCCAGATCTTTGGGTTCTTTACCCCCGTGTGGGCGCGGAATTGAGACGCCTGAAAGCTGCTACCACTGGGTAAGCAACCGCACTACCCAAGCGGAAGAGTTGATTTGTCTGCTCCTCGATAGTGGTGCATCTACTCAAGCGGCTAAACCGCTTAAAGATAGCAGCCAACCAAAGCATTGCTATGGAACGGTTCTCGGTCGAGCCTCCTCACGAGCTAGGCCCGCGTTGGTGAAACGACTTATTGAGCAAGGAGCTAACGTACACGCGAGGGAAGAGTACCAACCCGACACTATATCTAGACTTTGTGGGAATAGGGGAGACCCATCTGGCATAACTACGCTTCACATTAGCAGTGCGTATTGGAACTCGGAAGTTCTACAGACGCTTCTCGACCACAGTGGAAAAAATGCCTCTGAAGAACTACTATGCCGCGACAGTTATGGGCTTCTACCTCTTCACTGGGCAGCCGCGGGCCCAGGCTTATGGGAATATTGGCTCCCGGATAAGAAAATCAACAAGCGTACTCTCGATACCCTTAAGCTACTCTGCTCCGGTAGCGATATCAATGCCCGGGATAACAAAGGAATGACTCCTTTATACCACACCGTATGCGGTCACGCCCGCTGTGGTCAAAGCATATACGCCGATAATATAGTAAAGTTCTTGCTGGAGAAAGGGGCGCACGCAGGATTAGCCGACGATAATAGTCAGACCATACTACATAAGATGGCTTACTACTGCCTGGAGGGTGATCCCATTAACACCTCTCTAATGCAAATGCTTATTTCACACGGTGCCGACATCAACCAATAAGACGTCAATGGGAATACGGCATTGCACCTCATGGCTAGGAATTTACGCCAAACAAAGGCAACTCAGTTTCTAATTTCTTAGGGTGCAGATATATCTCTTCTCAATGTCAAAGGGAATACAGCCCTACACGAATGCTTAACAATGGGAACAATCCTGACAAGGGAGGCTTCGAACGGACCTGTTACTCCCGCGGTCGCCGATCGAAGAAAAGCCCTGGATGAAATAATCAATATTTTATTGCATGTCGGGGGCGATGCTATGATGGAGCAGACCAATCAAGCGGGGGGAGACGCCACGACAGCTGCAGTCGACGAAGCTAGCCTACTGGCAGCAACTGGAGCTGCGTAAAGCCACGAGAAACAAGTTGTCCAGCAAAAGCTAATGTCACACCTGTTGAAAGGAAATTCTTCAGAATAATTGGCCATAATTGAGGACTGAGGTACTCACACATACATCTACAGTCGACTCTCGTGAGCAACACCCCCCACCATCCATCCAAATGATGTTGCACACACCCAATGTGTGCAGCATCTCATGTGTGGGGCTTTGATTATATAATATTCACACTTTTGGCCCTAGCCCTGATTTCCTATTTAGGTTTTGTCAATACGAATACCGCGGTGGACCGGAGATATAATTATCCTTCATGTTTATTACTTATGTAATCTAGAATCCCCCTAACGTGGTTCACAAGCGAGTGACGCGCCCAAGCGAGTGACGCACCCACCCAAATTTTCTACACTTTTATGCATATTAATCAACCACAACGCCTTTATATTGATTAATCTCTAGCTTTACAGGCATTCCTTCTATGTCCGATCACTCCGCAATTAGTGCATTGAGGTGGACGACGCGTCTTCGGTGCTAGTGTGTCCCGCGGTAGTAGGCTTAGTGGAGCTAGTATTACCTGAGGGGGCTCTTCATGAGCTTCCTCGAGCTCTAATGCTTCTCGTACGGATAGACCGTTATCGTGGACTATCCATCTGTTCTTGCGAGCACGTTTTTGCTTTTGCGTAGCGTTTGCGGCACGTAGTTGCTTATTTTCTTGCTCGAGAAGGATACCGTTTTGCATTGCGATCTGACAGCCTTTAATAAGCTAGTTTAACGCGGTTTGCGAAGGCGATGGCGGGCTTTTTGAGCGTCGCTTTAAGAAAGCTTTAATTGAGGATGCTTGCTTCAAAAGCTCGTCGACGTTCGCGGGCGTATGTGGGTAAAACGCGCTTGATTGACTACCGCGGCTTGTAGGAGGTGTCGGTGTCCGAAGTTGAACATTTAGCTTTGATAGCACTTGTTGAGGATCAATTGGCACTAGTCCTGCTGCTCGGAAGCTATTTTGTATTGTAGTTGGTTTATAGGCGTCGACGCGAGCTTGTGGGTATGTGAAAAGGAAGTCAAGTTTGTCGATATGGTTAATCCCGAGCCGCATCTTTTGGTCGATTAAACTACCGTACGAACGCTTTAATATAGCGAAACATCCGATATCAAGAGGCTGAAGTAGATGCGAGGAATGCGGCGGCATATAGATCGGAATAATATTATGATCCGCGCAGATTTGATCGAACTCTGGCGTTAGATGACTTCCGTGTCCGTTAAGGACTAGAAGGCGATATCGTCCACGTGTACGATAATTTATTGACGGAATAAACTATTTTTGAAGCCAGCGAAGGCCTATCTCGTCGGTTGTCTATCCATTTGCACTGACTTCGAAGCGCCAGTCGGGTGGAAGGTCTTTAAACTATGCTTAATTATATAGCTTGCCTTTAAAGATAAGCGTTGGTGGAAGCGCCTACCCCGAAGCGTTTATTGACTCGATCGCAGTCACCCACTCGCGGTTTCCTGGCTGTAAAACTGATCTCCGACCGTAGTATTCTGATCGAGTGATCACTTTTTGGGCCGTATAGAGGCCTATCGCGAAGCCAGTCTCATCAAAATTATAGATATTGTCTGGTAGGATACCGTATTGCTGAATTATGGCTTGTACGAGGTCAAACCACGCTCGAATGATCTTTGGATCCTCTTGTTCTGCTCGCTGATAATTATATCGTCGGGAAAAGCGAGATTTAAGTTCTGGGCGTCGTTTAATAAAGTTATATACCCAATTTTTGCTAACAGTCTGGATAGGGGTAGAACCGCGCGTTGCAAGGAGAATATTCGCCATATCTCGTACATGAGCTTGTGTAGGGGCTGCTCCGCGTAGATTGAGCGATAGAATCCGTTTTTGAAGCGTCTCTTCTTCAATATCTGTCAGTTTAAGACTATTTGCGCGAGTGTCAGCGCGATTTGTAGTACCGCGTAGTCGACGGCGGAGCGTAGCTTCAGGCACATTAAAAGAACGTGCCGTCTCGCGTATAGAACTGATTTCTTTATTCTGAATAGCCTGTATAGCAATTGATATACGGCCCTCTTGCTGGATAGAATCTTGGCTTGATCTGACGCGAATTGGAGGCATGGTGCTTGATAGAAGATGAATGGACGCGCGGAGACGCGAAAAAATGGGTGGGTGCGTCACTCGCTTGGGCGCGTCACTCGCTTGTGAACCACGTTATAAATTGGCAGAATCAGGGGTAATATAAGAACAGAGCTTTTGATATCGTTGATTGGTTGCATATAAAATATTCCGACAGTTATGAGCCCGGTTCGCATGATATAGAGGCATTTGTGGGTGAATAAGGAAGCAATTGATATTGCTATATCACCAGGAAGCACATCCGTCGACCATACTCGACCCTCGACCCCTGAACCAACCTGAACTAACCAATACAACAGACGACATCCCCCCTGAGGGTATTCCTTCGACCGGAACACCGCAATGGAGGTAGCATCCATCCTCTCCGCCATAAAGGGCGATAAACTGAAGGATTCGCCGTAGTGGCGCACGTGGTTTACCCGCGTAAAACTATATACGAAACAGAAGCGAGTCTGGGACTTATGTGACCCAGATATCGAGAAAGAAGACCGTCCGAGAGGTTTAAGAGAACCGTACGAGCCGGAGTACCCTGAAGATAGGGATACAGAGAAAAGAAAGGAGTGGCGAGACCATATAGACGTCTATAAGGTCGCATATATAAAGTGGGAGAAACAGATTAAGGGACTGGATGACGTGAATAAATATATCATCTCCTTCCTTGATCCTATCCACCACCTTACATTAATCGATTATAAGACGCCATACGACCGCCTGGTGTACCTAAAGTCTCGCTTTGCCCGCTCCAGCGCGTATGAGGAGGAAATTCGCATGAAGTGAAGGTCATTCGCCGTACAGAAGCCGAAGGGGAATATCGATTAGTGGTTATCGATATAGGACACCCTAAGAGAGTAAGCTGTTAGCCTTTATCTTAAAGAAGTTAAAAGTGCGAATAGGGACTTCTTATAAGTAGTGAAAGAGGTATTACCTATCTGGTGGCAGGCTAGATATTAAGAGATTGTTATGGATAGAAAGCCGTACGACACTAGAGACCTAATTAAATTATTCCGCGCAATATATCGAGAGATCGATCCCAAGCAGTCGTCATTATTAGAACTAAAGGGATTATTCTCCACCTAGCAGGATCATAAGGAAGAAACAGAAGAGACGCCAAAGCCGACCCCTCTTCCTTTTAATAAACGACTATACCTATACGGACGCACGAACCATCGGCATCGGGTTATAACGTACTATACCCTAAATAAGGCCGCCCGACCTTCCTGGTTCAAGCTAAACGATAAGACGCTTCAGAAGATCAAGAAGAACTTTATAGCGGATCCTACATAGAAGAAATAGGTTAAGAAGGTAGTCAAAGACACGAATAAGGTCAAACAGAAGCCTTAAGACTCCGCACATATAGTGCACGAACGGACAAATAGTGCCCGTACAGATAACCCAAAAGAAGATCCGGTTAATATATATTTCCTAACGCAGTCGCCACAAATCAGTGCCGAAGTTTTCTTAGTAAGCCATAAGGCTAGATCAACTATCTAAGACCGTTAGATACTGGACACTAGAGCTTCAAGGCATATCTATAACGATAAGAGTCGGTTCATTAGCCTTGAACCGTACGAAATAACTCTCGCAACCGGAGATAGTAGCACAGAAGTCATCATACGTGGTACGGTCAAACTTATTGGAAGAAACCCCAAAATAGGCAAGAAGAGAGTAATATCCCTAAGTAATATACTCTATTCACCAGGCTTCCACACCAACTTAGTCTTATACGCTATATTATTAAAGAAAGGCGGTAGATAGTGCCAGAAATCTAACTATATTATTAACACCGACAACCGACCTATAGTGAGCGTGCATCTATAGGATAGTATGAATCTCTGGCTTTTCGACGAACCAGAGGAAGTCGTATATCCCTATACACACGCTATACGATTATTAGAGAAGCCACTCGAAGCGAGGGCTTTAGCAAACCTCTGATATCGTTATTTCGCGTATATAAATCATAAGACAGTACACAAACTAGCTTTGATAGTCGATAGAGTGACTATTAAGGACAGGAACGAAGAAGAAGCACTATACAAGATATATTAACTAGGTGTTGGAATTTGGACCAATGCTACATTAGGTGAAGGTATCCTCTTATTCAACATAAGAAGAAGAAGAAGAAAAGAAAGAGATGCGAACATGATTTACCCCTCCAAACCGCTTACCCCTCTTTACCCCACCAGATCGATGACATATCCCTCATCACGCCATCAGTTCTATCACATTTCCTTCCCTGATTCTATTCTGTTTATCTGATATAAAGCATGTGACTTTGACCACTTTCTGTCTATAAATACGCGCGAGACATCAAGTAGAAATGACAGACCTTTCACTCTCTTCAAATATTCTACTATCCCTTTCTATCTGCTTAGAAAGACCTTCTTCTTAGTCCTTTGTTTGAGGATTGTGGATTGTACTCATTTAGAGTGCATAGGCCCTTTGCACTCTATCTTATTCTTTTTCTATCTTTATCCGATCAAGCCTTCCTTGGTCGGGTAGTCAACGGTCCGTGGTGGGGAAGCATCTTCAAAAGCGTACCCCGCGCCACGAAAAGCTTCGTGGTATCCGCCTCCCTACACGGCCGACACTAGGCAATATACCCTAATAGGTATTAAGAAGGCTAGTTAGACGCACCTTTAGGCGCTTTAGAAGAGTGCATTTCGATTTAATCCAGCTACCAGTGGCGTATAATAGTCATCGATGGATATCGCACTTTGTTATTAAAGATATCAGGTTTCACTGGATATCTACCCACGAGCTAAAGAGTTCATATCAGCTCGCGATTAACCAGTTTGTCTAGCTTACAAAGAATTGGTGGGATTTGCCGATCAAAGTATTCCACTATAATAATAAGAAAGCTATAGGACGGTCCGCAAAATAGAGTCTTATCTCTAATGGAATCGTCGTATATCATAGCCCACCGGCACACCTAGAGATAAACGGGTACGCCGAGAGAGTAGGGGGTGTGATTATCCTTAGAATAAGGATACTGATACTTAAAGGAAAGCTTCCGAAAGACCTCTAGCCCGAAGCTATATAAGCAGCAGTGTGGCTCCTAAATAGAACACTAATATATATCTCCACCGAGAATCGTTAGGTTATACCATAGGAAGAGGTTCGAAAGGACTTCGCTAGCGATCGAATACCAAAGATCAACCTATCGAATATTAGACTATACGGAAGCCTCGTATATTGCCGTATCCAGAAATAAATCTGTTGGACAATAAGGGCGGTGATACCACGAGACTGTTCGTGGCGCCAACTAGGCTTTGCGTACCCCCTTAGTGTCTTATATCGCTTTATCCAACTGGTCGGTCCAAGTTGGACAAAAGAAGACTCTTAGGATAGACTACACACTGATGTAGCCTAAACGAGAACAATTCACGCTTTAACTCGTAGAGGAATGATCACACTGACTAAGGGTTGCTTTTACCCTTTTGTATGCAAGATAAGCAAGAAAGGAACTTAGGCAGTTTCCAAAGAGAGTGAAAAGTCTGATTCTTCTACCTGGTAATTCATCGCGTATTTATAGACAAATATACCTCGGTATCACATGCTTCGGACCAAAGGAAATACCTCAAAGAGAAGTGATAGAACTGAATGGAAGCATACAGATCATAGACAATGATGTCATAGACAAGGCATCGTAAACGCAGATCAAGCGGGGTAGAAGCAGATAGAACACCATAGAAAAGAGCCAAGAATCTAGGCGGTATTGACCGCCTATACACACCCCCTAGCGCGAGTGCCATTTACCCCTAAAGAAGGGCCATCCACCCCCCAGGAGACTGGTCCCCCCTACTCTTCTAGGGCTAAGGTCCATTTGGTCACGTGACTGTCGACCATCTTCCTCGCGCCAGGATATATAATGAATGTCCAACTAGGGTTTAGGGTTTCCTAGCCTAAACCTAGTTTTGTCCTCTTTTATGTTGAATAATAAGAGGGTAGATCCACTTATATATATTGGTCGATATTCCAACAGTTATTGAAGAAGGTTGGTGGAGAAGGCGGTGAAGAAAGCGGTGGATGATTTATAAGAGACTAAACCTATTTAGGCCTGATACCTAAAAAATAAGGCAGGGGGCGGTGCGAGCAGTAAGAGGGGCGGTGTTAGTATCAATCCCCTATTTCTATCCTTTCGTACACTTACTTAGCAATACACACCTTTCCACCTCCAGAATCTCAGGGTAAAGGTTTAAAAGACAAAGTAAAGGTAGACTTAAAAAGTGGGTTTACGACCAAAGGCGTAGACTAATAGAGTAAGTGTTGGAATTTGGACCAATGCTACATTAGGTGAAGGTATCCTCTTATTCAACATAAGAAGAAGAAGAAGAAAAGAAAAAGATGCGAACATGATTTACCCCTCCAAACCGCTTACCCCTCTTTACCCCACCAGATCGATGACATATCTCTCATCACGCCATCAGTTCTATCACATTTCCTTCCCTGATTCTATTCTGTTTATCTGATATAAAGCATGTGACTTTGACCACTTTCTGTCTATAAATACGCGCGAGACACCAAGTAGAAATGACAGACCTTTCACTCTCTTCAAATATTCTACTATCCCTTTCTATCTGCTTAGAAAGACCTTCTTCTTAGTCCTTTGTTTGAGGATTGTGGATTGTGCTCATTTAGAGTGCATAAGCCCTTTGCACTCTATCTTATTCTTTCCTTTTTTTATCCGATCAAGCCTTCCTTGGTCGGGTAGTCAACGGTCCGTGGTGGGGAAGCATCTACAAAAGCGTACCCCGCGCCACGAAAAGCTTCGTGGTATCCGCCTCCCTTCACGGCCAACAGAAACTAACAAATGTCTCGTCTGACTAATAATCGGATGAAAGGGTCAGGTTTCACTAAAGTACCAAGAGAGACATTATCCCAACAGAAAAAACCACTTTTCTACGACTTCGCCGGCCTAAACGGCAGATCGAAGCAGGCAAATTGTGACACACCAACTGACATAATGGTATGCAAGTCTTGACTGAAAGGCACTATGAGGGTCCTGGGACCGGGTTAGCCGCGGCCTTCACCTCGAATCAAGTAGTTGGGCAATCAGAAGCGTTTTCCACTCACCTCAATTTACCGCAACAGGCTCTTTGTTTGACGGTAAACAACTGTAGGGCCAGTGTCGGCCAATAACCCTTTTCTATTATTCAGTATGAACACCACCGAATCCCGCGTTCTATCGCAGTATTTTCAAGAACAGCGCCGCAATGCCTAGGGGACCATCCGTGCCAATTTACGAACACCGGAGATTCAAAACTCCACTTCATTCACGGTAACCTCCCGGAAGATCCTGTAAGCTCCCCTAGGAACGAGGACACTGGCAGATCTTCAACGAGAAGTCAATGAAAACCAGCAACAGATTGCCCAGATACAACCACATTTCTACACCTGTCTAAGAAGATCCTGACACCTGCAAGAGTACAACGAGGATAGGATACAGATTAAACGACCTCGCCGAGCGGCTCTTAATTCGCGACTCTTAAAATGTAGCGTGAGGATGCCAAAAGGAACGCAGCTTCCTCGCTTTTAAGGGAACACTCCAAAAATTTCGGAGATTTTGTCTCTAGTGCCACACTGTCTCTTTAATGTTTTTTTTTTATGGAATATGGTTTCAATGTATTTTCATATTGCTACTGTCTCGTTACGCACCACCAGATCATCCGATCGTTCGCGTCGGCCCATGCAGAGTCCTTGACTTTAGCCAACTCGCTACCGATATAAAGGCCAGCTTCCACTGTCCAGCGAGTATTGGTAGCCTCCCCGACGTCGTACCATAAGCCCTTGAGAGTCTCAATATTGTGCCGATAATTGGCGCCTTTTCCAACATCTTTCATAGAATAATGGCCTGCCAAAACGCTGCCTAGCTGTCGTCCAACAACCATCACGCCCGGTTTATCACGGCAAAGTCGAACCAGATTAATGGAGGCACGAACCTGGCACTCATAGTTCCACAAGTGAAAAAGCGAGCTCGCAAAGACAATGTCAACCTTGCTAGCCAGATACCGTGAAATATCAGTCGAGGGCTCGAGGCACTGCTCTGACGTTAGATCTCCAGACACGAACGTCGCACCGAGAGTGTCTTGATCGCGGAATAATTTGTATCCGAGATCAAAGAAGGCTGGCTCGACATCACATCCCATGAGCTGGATGCCTGGAATGCCCTGATCGGCCAGGTAGCGAATCTCCTGTCCAAAACAACATCCAGCTTCGAGGAAACCGGCGGTTGGATCTTCACGTAGGCGAGTAAGGACGCGCGAGTACACGGTGTGCTCGGGGAGAGAGAAAGAGAGGAATCGCAATTGCCCGATGCATGGGTAGTCACAGATCGAGAATGCTTCATCACGCTGGCGGTGAATTTCCGGCGAGTTAGCTGGGCGACTGAGGCATGAATTAAATGAGCAATAGACATACCAGCTTCAGAACGTGCGGGAGCACCTCATCGGGCCTAAAGCTGCTATAACTTTCTAATAGTCGCTGGGCCTCGGCGTTTATGCTCTGGACCTCAGTCTGATACCACGCTGGCTTGTCAAAATTATTACCTTCGGCCATCTTGACATATATTTGGGTGTCAAAAATAGATGATAAGTCCAAGAACTCCCTATGTAATAGGTATGAAGGGTTGATCTCAATAATAACGATTCCTTTCACTTAATAAGATTTTTTGTTACAGTACGATCTTTCCCACCACCAGCCGATAATTTCCGCCCCCACCCTTCTAAAAATAACTCGGTAAACTGACGGGTTGCAGGAATAAGGGCGCTTCAGTACTTAATATGGTGGCGCTAAGCTTTCCAGAGTTATACTAGCTTTTGCTTGGCCCCCACTTTTAGAGACAAAGAGGGGGGGGGGAGGGGAAGTCGTATCTGGTGGAGAAGACCCTCCGAAGTGAGCTGAGCATGGGGCTGTACACTAGATTTCCCTATCCCAGCCTGCACCAGATCAACGCTAAACACGTCTAGCAGCTTACTAGGAATCTTAGTGAAGGCTTGTTGCAGACACGTCATCAAGATGATAGAGTTTATTACGTCAGAGGCGCAGCCATATCAGAGAGCACCAACATTAGTCCTGAAATGGGCAACAGTTTGCAGCTCTAATTGGCTAGGTCTTATTTCTAGCCCCCAAATCATTCTATCTTCCCAAATTGAGGCATTGTTGCGACTACCCTCTTGCACGTCCAGCTCACGCAAATGTCTTAAGGTATAAAACGTAGGCCCCGCTACTGATTTACAATGAAATAACACTTATATGAATTGAAAATGGCTTCCGACTCTACCAGTTTCGTCAATCACGAAGATTTCCTTGAACCCCACAAGTCTACAGATCTTGATGAGGAAGATGGCACACCGATTGACACGGCAGCAGAAGTGGAAGCCGACACAGCAATCACTTCGTTCATTGAAAGCAATTCCAGAATTCCAGTAGCTCCTTCTTATGGGCAAATTGCCTGCCCTGTCGTGGTCCCTCAACGACGACCCGGAAACAAAGAGCGAGGTTTCATGAAAGCGTATGCTCCAATATTATTCCAATATGATATCACCCAAGAGCACTTTCACGACTTCATCAAAGCTCTGAATAAAGCAGTCCAGGCCTCTAAATGGATTGCTGCAGTGCAAATTGCAGCATTCGGGGCCTCGTTCGTGCCAAATCAAATCTCTATGGGCACGACAGCGGCAGTGCAGATTGTATCAGCAGTCGCAGCAAAGGCTCAAATTAGATGGAAGTAGGTCTGGCGCAGAAATCCTTCGAAAGTAACTTTTGTCTAATGTTCCTTGGCCAGGGTGAACACCTTCATAGATAAGGCGAATCGAGAACTATTTTGTCCTCGAGGACTCTATTGTATGATTGTGACATACAACCCTCTCGCACAGCAACAGCAAAAAGAGATCAGCACCTCGATAAGCAGACCATCTGCTAGTGGGGCTTCTGGCTCATCTCGAAGCAAATGGCCGGGGAAAGTTACGAAAAACTTGCGTAATCCATTCTCCGCTACGACAGAAGGAGAGCAAAATTTACCATCAGAGATTGCACCTCTAATATTCTCGGACAATGAGGATGAAAAAGTCCAAATGAAGATGAAAGAGAAACCTTGGGACAAGTTGAATGATTACTACGACAAACGCGCCCGAGCAAGATATGTAAGTCTCTCAAATTTCCAATGGGAAGGCTTCCAGTAACAAATTGTGATAGGCCAGTGAAAGCAATCGGGACGCTTTATCCTCAGCCCCCGAATCTAAATTCAAGAACCGATTCCTTGACCCTAATCATCCGGCCAGTAATGGAGGTCTTCTTGGCTTGATATCAGGCGGGCATCTTACAAGGGACCCAAAAAAGATAATGGAAGACACGAAAAGTTCATATCAGCAGCAGGAAAGACTTATTTATGAGCAACAAGACAGCCAGTTGGAGCTGCTCCGCAGTCAGTTCCAAGCCATGGGCTTCTCTGAAAAACAGCAAAGCGACTATATCGCAAGCTATGAGCAGCAGTTTCAGTTGCAACGAGACCAGCTAAAGGCCCAGATAAAAGGAACGGAAATGATGCACAGAAAGATCTTGAGAAATGTTCTTTATCTCATGGTTGTAAACCTGCCAACCGAGGAAGAAGTTGAGGCGGCTAGGATGGCGACGAATACGGATGAGGAAGATAATGGCAGCCAAAGAAGCTTCGTGACCATGGTCAACGTACAATAGTTAATCTCAAATTGTAAAAAATTACAGGAGAGGGCATAGGGAATTTATGTGAGAATATATACTAGTGGCAATTCACTTTCTTAGAAACCGCCGCTCTCAGCCTGCATATATGCACGTGCGCCTGGCATTTTCTGATCCACAGATACCTTGATCGGTTGCGTCCCTTCCGATTTCCGCATTGCCGGAAAGATAACTTGACATCCAAGCATCCTCTACATGTATGAAGGTTTCTAACCCCTCCTCGCCCACGACCATGGAACGTAGGTACTCGAATGAATGGTATTGATGGAGAACGTTTCATTAACTGACGTGGCTCACATTCCTGGCGTTAAAGACGTCGTGGCTGTGGACCGAGCAGGAGTTAAACGCGGGCCAATGGCGGACCCAGATCTCCTGAGACATCTCGCACAAACGCCCAAGGAACGATAATAGTGGGATGTCCGTGTAGTGGTAGTAATTTTTTAAGATTCTACAGTCTAGTAGTCGAAAACCGGCTCAAAGGATAGGCTTATATAAGCAGTATTGATATATATTATATTTTTTCCTATTGTAATATATCGTCTAGATTATAAAAGTAAAACCTATTTATTTTTAGCTATTTAATTAGATTTAATATAGAGGTTCAAGGTTGCGATCCCGAGACGGGTATGTTTGGTCCAAAATTCCCAAAGCGGACGTGGTCCAAAATGCAGGAGTGACCTTATGCATTTCGGACCAAGCTATTCTCCTGTATTTTGAACTACGCCTTATTCCTACATTTTGAATCACGCCCTATTCCTACATTTCGAACTACACCCTATTCCTATATTTCTAACCGTATACTTCTTTTGTTTTCACCTACACTCTCTTATCCTATATTTTTAATTAGACATTGACATGGGCCGTCCATGGACAAAAGGTCCGGCCCACGGCCCGTCCATGGGCGGCCCATGCATGGACAGCCAAAGCCCGGCCCGTCCATGGACAGATGGGCCGGCCCATGGGCCATGTCAATGTCTAATCAGACTTTCCTCGATTGGTGTATTGAGGTTGTTAGATCTCGAAAATAGAGTGTATTAGGCCACTTCCGACATACTGGCGTGGTTATTGGGACTCACGACTAGTTGATAGGGTTGAAGCGTTAGGCGTTCGTTCTTACATTAACACAATATATGCATCAATAGTTGCCATGATCATGTTTCTCTGCTAGCACTACTTTCTGTGTAGCCATAACTGTGGCTTCATCATTTACTAAAGGAATTATGTCAAAGACAAGTGATTCAAAATCTCAATCTAGAGTCTATACTACAGTAAAACTTGCTTACGCCTTCCTACACATTTAAGCTACATCCTTCATAGCTTAGTCGACGGGCGAGACACTCACACACTTAACCCATTAGCCAAGATATCTCACAAATTAGCGTGCGATACTTACCACAATCCCTTTATCGATAAAGAATGACGGATCTTGGTCCTCCCAGATCAATTTAAGGTCTAGGCCATGGGCTAACGCCACATTGCATGTTTGCCGGAACTGAGCTTTCAATTCATCGTCCCCAACATTGGCTTCATGCCACGTACTGTAGTGTCTGGCAGCTTCATCTCGTAGTCCAGGAATATGGAGGTCATCCATGACTTGACTTGTTGGCGGCAGAAACACAACAGAGCATCTGTTACAACTCAGAATGCGAGGAAACATGTAGTATTCAACGAAGGTACGAAACTGAAGAAGAGACTAAGTTCTGAGGCACCATGAGCTGGTAAACAATCCCCATGTGCGACACTAGTCCCAATCGGGGTTGTTGGCCCATTCGTTCAGGCATCCGTTCTCATGCGTCACAGCATCAATCCTCAGGAGACAGCCGATATCTTACGATTAACATCGGTATAATCAAAGTCAGGTACCCCGCGGTTAGGCAAACTACCTCGCATTACAGGATATCTACGTCAGAGATCTGTATGCTATGGGGACATACCGCTTGTTCGAATACTATTAGATTTTGTCTCAACATTACAGTTGAAGTCAAATACGATTATCTCTGGATACGTGAATACGTGCCTTTATTTCGCATGTACCGAAAATACGCTGAACAGTTTTCTCGCTCAGCTGCCAGGGATGGTGGGGTGCTCGCGGGGACTGGGGGTTGGAGCTTGCTGTAAAGCCAATTGTGATGGCAGTCCGATGATTGACGTCCATAGTGGCTCCAGCTCAACTGGCAGGTGTCCATAACCGGGAATCTCCTGCGACTGGAGGGCGTATGAGCAGACAGTGGAGTATGAGCAGACCGTGAGTATGGGCGGACATGCTTGGACTGAAACGGCATAGTGGGCTGCGCCCATTCCATGCGGTCCTGTTCGCAAGATACGGAGCTGAGATATGTAGACACAAATTACGAATTCTAGCTGTTGCTGGCTTGCTTAAGCTCTTCATGCTATTTATGCTCCATTTCACAAGAAGTACATAGACGTATCTGTTGTCCCCAATAAGGCTCTTTCCCGTTCATAAATTCTTCTCAGTTCTCTGTATTGGTGTTGGATAATAAGCACCCTATCAAAGTAAGTATATGTACTGATGTGATCAAAGCTTCTATTTGGTCTTTAGTCTGCGGGGTTTGTTGGATCCACCGCCTAACAGGCCGTGTTCAATTTGAGTACTTGGTTAGAACTACTAGTATAAAATGGCAATTCAAATAAAAGAAAGCAGAGAGAGGTATGTATTTATCACTGAAACTATCAAGGCTAATTTGTACATTTCAAAAGTAGTGTGGTATATTAATTGGCCCTAACCACGCATTCAACATCTCCTCAATCGTAACATCCTGAAGATCCACCCAAGGAAAACCAGGATCAGGCTGAGGCTCTTCATAGATATTATTTTCTGAGATTCCAGTGGTGAAGACTCCCAGTGCACTATTATTCTCTCCAGCACTATCAGACTGCGCAAGACGATATTTCTCTTCAAACCATTCAGAAAGGAACCGCAGCCAATCTTGGTAGAAGAACATCTCATGTTGATCCCACTTCCCACCTTTACACTCCTGATCAAGCGTATTCATGCGCTTGACAGATTTCTGGATTTCATGCCGCATATCCAATGTCTCTCGCAACCCTCGGACTTGATCGTGATCCCGAACGGATGGCTCCAACGATGCGAGAACAAGTTTGCATGAAGCTGCAACGCTGAACCCGGTCATTATCCATTGAGTGTAACTAAATATCTTTTCAATACCAGGTGGTAGACTGAAGTAAAAGCTCATAAATTGTTTTGCAGCCGCTAGTCCGTGACAAAGGGCGTCTATTCGCAGGAGGGCCATGGATTGGTCGAATGACGCGGCGGAAGATGGGTATATATCGAAAAAGGTAGTTTGATAGAGATGGATTTCGAAGGCGTGGGATGGAATGCCTTGAAATACTAATTAAGTGTTAGAATTTAGATCTGCAGTACAGATAAGGCTTGGTCAACTCACTATCATGGTCAGTAGGGACAGGAAGCCGGGCTTTGCAATCTTCAAAATCGCTTTGAAGAGAACTAATCATAACTTCTATATCCGCAGGAGCCTGATTCTCACCGAATCCCCGTGCAGCTAGGGAATCGATTCGTACAAGCATGTGTTGTACTTGAACCTGGCCTAACAGGTATCGATCGGTTGAGAATTCGCATTCCTGCGACAACTTCGCAGCGCATGATTCTATGAAGGGTGACCAAGGCATTGTTCCTGTCCGCTGTAGTACTATGGAGTGACTAGTCATGTGAAAAGAAGTAAGCAAGACATAGTCTTTTCAGGTCTAGACCGGGCTGTGCAGGTGGTAAATCGAACTTACCACGCGTCAAGGAGAAAATATCCAACCAAAGCTCGCATTTCCTCGTTTCGCAGGGAAATCGATTCTGTCGGAGGATCCGTGTCCAACATGACGTCAATTCTTTGTCTTACTACTCGCAGCTTGACTGGGTAATCCAGTCTGCAATCGTTGATTATACTTTGTGCAAGGTGCAGATATCCAGAAAACCGCACTATATGGAGTTTTTTCTTCGTTCTATCTTCCGTGTTAGCTTTTGTGAATCTAATGAAGAGAGAAATTGTCTAGAACATACCCAGCTACAGTAACCAGCAATCCCTGTAGTATATCGAAGGGTTGTTGGCGATTGCCTTGCAAGACTTGTCCCCCAAGGTAAGACGCCGAAACCTCCTCGAGGGCCAGGTGCAGCGGGACATTTCGAAACGAGGAGACCAAAAGAATAGAGAGTAAGAGGAAGGGTTTCTCCGATCTGAGATCCTCGACAGTGGCGTTTCTCGGCAGCTGTACAAATGGGAAATACGTTATGGCATCACGAAAGCTCTCTATCAAACGATTTGCCTCTTCGTGGGTGATCAGCCCGTTCCCGATCACATCGCACGGATTTCGAGGAGTCGGAGCACAACTTTCACTTTTCGGGGACAGTGGCAGTGGCAGTGGCAGTGGTGCCTGTTGCGGGCTTGAGTGAGGCTGATTGATCTGGCCTAATATTTGATCCACCTTGTCCTCGAGTGCACCTATTCGCCTAGATTAGATGCGGTCAGCTTGACAGATCGTATCGATACGAGGAGTGGGCAGATATACGTCTCCCTCTTCTTAGGAGTACGAGCTTTTGTTGCGCGGAAATAACAATCTTTGTTCAGACGGAGACACCTTCAAAGCGTGTTAGGTTTACGTTGCTAAGTAGAAGAGAAGAGAAGTAGAAGTAGAAGCGGGATGTTGCATACCGGTCGCAGCCTTGGGTAGAGGTGCGCGAGCACCTAATTTTAGCACGCACACAGTTCTCGCAGGTCTTGACTCGGCCTAGACCGGTCGGCGCGGACATAGTAGGCAGCATTCCAAGAATTGGAGCCAAGATGGAGGCCGGACAGGAACAGGAGGCCTTAAGAGTCCGCGGACCGGCCCCCATGCAATTCCCCTCCCAGTCCGCGGACTCGGAGTTGGCCTGGACTCCGTGTCTTGGCACGGCCCCATTGTCAGCCCTGGGAAGTATACTCGCGCCAATGATAGTCCTACGTAGGATCAGAGATAGCATAGCCTCGTGGCTGACTTTCAGGCCTCGTTATTTTGTCAGATTATATAAAGAGTGTGTGTATTCGATGCTATGAGGAGGGGAATATCAACCTCAGCCCATCTAGACTCGCATTCTACCTCTTCTCCTCCTCACTATCGCAAAAAAGAATAAGAAGAAAAGAAAGGGAAAAAGAGTAGAAATTTCAACACTGAAAATGTCGGAAATGAACATGGACGACTGCACCTTGGCAACTTGCCCAATTGACTTGGCCTATATCAATTACCAGCCTAACATCCCGGCAAATGTCCTCTTCCTCGCCATCTTCGGCCTTCTCCTCGCCGCACAAATCGCCCTAGGAACATGGTTCCGAACATGGACATACATGGGGGCCATGACCGCGGGGCTCATTCTTGAAATACTGGGATATATCGGGCGAGTCATGATGCACAGCAACCCATTCGACTTTAACGCATTCCTTCTGTACGTGACCTTCGAGACATACCTCTGAATAAAGCAAGCTAACCAGAAACTTGACTTTTAGATACCTCATCTGTCTCACGATTGCCCCGGCCTTCTTCACTGCCGCCATTTACATCTGCCTGGGAAGAATTGTCATCGTCTACGGGGAGGATATCTCCAGGATTCGCCCGCGTACATACACCATCCTCTTCGTCGCTTGCGATATCATCGCTCTAGTCCTACAAGCAGCCGGCGGCGCCATTACCTCCATCGCCGACTCAGACCAAAAAAGCCTCAGCGATACCGGTGTCAATATCATGATTGCAGGATTGGCTTTCCAGGTCGCCTCGTTGACGCTGTTCATCGTGCTCGCTTCGGAATTCGCTCTGCGAGTGCGCCGCAGCTCAGAAGACATGAAGAATGCGTCTACAGCATCTGTTCGCTGTGGTTTGAAATGGAAGATGTTCCTTCTGGGTAAGTGTCACTAAATAATCCGCATTTATCAGCCTATGCTAACCCAATCAAAGGTCTTGCCATTGCCGTTTTAACGATCTTCACTCGCTCGATCTTCCGTGTTGCGGAGCTGAAAGGTGGATTTAACAGTGATCTGGCTAATGATGAAACTTCCCTAATGATTCTTGAGAGCACTATGATTGCCATTGCGTGCATTTGTATGACCGCCGCTCACCCAGCAGTTGCCATGGGCCGGCGATGGGGGGAACTCTCGGCGAAGCCGCGTCGTGGAGTCGTTTCGTCTAAGGTGTCGCAGGCTTCATCAGAAATTGAGATGATGAATGCTTAAAGATATATAGCAAAGCCCCTGATGACTCGGAGTAGTCGGTTTCAAGAGATTGGGTATTAGACATTTCAGCGTTTGGATTGGTCTTGGTAATATCAGGGAGTTAGATCTGGAGTTAGATTTTATTTGAGCGATTTGAATCATAGCATTCTCACATTCCATATTCCAATTCCCTCCAGTCATGCAAAGAGTTGAACCAGCTAGGGTCGGTGGAGTCGTATAGTTTCTGGGTTGCCCTTAGGTAGTGGATGAGGACCAATGAAGGACCAAAATCCTGAGGTGTCCGCGGAAAAAATGAATATTTTCCCTGACTCTCGAATTCGAATGCCTAGGCATACATCTGCGCCGCATTTATTGCTGCACTCGTGCGACTTTTTTCTAGGGACATTTTGTGTTGATCTCTTTTCTGTCGCAATGACTTCTTGGTCACGCTGAAAACTTTCAACTGGCCGCTGGAGTTTCTGGTCATTACGACCGAGTGGTATGGAAAATTATAGATTTATGACTAACGTGGTTCACAAGCGAGTGACGCGCCCAAGCGAGTGACGCACCCACCCAAATTTTCTACACTTTTATGCATATTAATCAACCACAACGCCTTTATATTGATTAATCTCTAGCTTTACAGGCATTCCTTCTATGTCCGATCACTCCGCAATTAGTGCATTGAGGTGGACGACGCGTCTTCGGTGCTGGTGTGTCCCGCGGTAGTAGGCTTAGTGGAGCTAGTATTACCTGAGGGGGCTCTTCATGAGCTTCCTCGAGCTCTAATGCTTCTCGTACGGATAGACCGTTATCGTGGACTATCCATCTGTTCTTGCGAGCACATTTTTGCTTTTACGTAGCGTTTGCGGCACATAGTTGCTTATTTTCTTGCTCGAGAAGGATACCGTTTTGTATTACGATCTGATAGCCTTTAATAAGCTGGTTTAACGCGGTTTGCGAAGGCGATGGCGGGCTTTTTGAGCGTCGCTTTAAGAAAGCTTTAATTAAGGATGCTTGCTTTAAAAGCTCGTCGACGTTCGCGGGCGTATGTGGGTAAAACGCGCTTGATTGACTACCGCGGCTTATAGGAGGTGTCAGTGTCCGAAGTTGAATATTTAGCTTTGATAGCACTTATTAAGGATCAATTAGCACTAGTCCTGCTGCTCAGAAGCTATTTTATATTGTAGTTAGTTTATAGGCGTCGACGCGAGCTTGTGGGTATATAAAAAGGAAGTTAAGTTTGTCGATATAGTTAATCCCGAGCCGTATCTTTTGGTCGATTAAACTGTGATAACACGGCCTTGTATGGGGATACGAACGGTCACGTTACCCTACTTTTTCTGCCATACGGCACCGCCCTTAAGGCATATTTCTATCCTTTCGTACACTTACTTAGCAATACACACCTTTCCACCTCCAGAATCTCAAAACTACCGTACGAACGCTTTAATATAGCGAAATATCCGATATCAAGAGGCTAAAGTAGATACGAGGAATACGGCGGTATATAGATTAGAATAATATCATAATCCGCGTAGATTTGATCGAACTCTGGCGTTAGATGACTTCTGTGTCCGTTAAGGACTAGAAGGCGATATCGTCCATGTCAGGACCACTGACTAACGATACCAACTACGGCCTGAGGCATACTTAGATGCCATGGCAGTATCATGTTGTTGGGCTTCACCGCCCGCAGCCGGGCCAGTCTGTATTTAAGTGAAGCCCCGCTGGACCTGAGAAGGGCCAGCGTTCAGTTTATCTTACAATCCACTACATTGTATTACACGCATATGAAGGTGTCTACCTCGCTTACCCATCCTGACCTAGAGACTACTGCGTGGTCTAACAATTGTACTCATTTAGAGTGCATAAGCCCTTTGCACTCTATCTTATTCTTTTTTATCTTTATCCGATCAAGCCTTCCTTGGTCGGGTAGTCAACGGTCCGTGGTGGGGAAGCATCTACAAAAGCGTACCCCGCGCCACGAAAAGCTTCGTGGTATCCGCCTCCCTTCACGGCCGACAAATACTATAACGAAATAACTCTAACCTATAGCCTCGCTAAATTTCTAACGGCTATTAAAATTCCGGTATAGCTAACGTAATCCACACCAAACCCGCCACCCCATCCAATTCCCTACCTCTTTACCTCCCCCACCACTTTGAAACGCCCACTATGCCACCAATTCGGTCTGAAAAGAAGCAGAATTCTATCCAGCAAGAGGGTAGAATCGAGCTTGCAATCCAGGCTATTCAGAATAAAGATCTTCCTTCTATTGCTGCCGCTGCACGCGTCTATGACGTACCGCGAACCACCCTACGCGACCGGATGGGCGGCCACAGTTCAAAGGCTACCAGACGCGCCTATACCCATAAAATGACCCAATTAGATGAGGATACGCTTACCCAGTGGATTCTATCTATGGATGATCGTGGTGCAGCCCCGAGGCATGCTATGGTACGTAGAATGGCTAATATTCTTCTTGCGGCGACCGGATCTAATACTGTCGGTGTGAACTGGGTCGGAAACTATGTGAAGCGTACACCGGCTATTCAAACACGTTTCTCGCGTCGATATAACTATTCACGGGCTGAGCAAGAGGATCCGCGGGTATTAAATGAATGGTTTCGGCTAGTTGGGGAGACTATTACGCGCTATGGTATCCCGCCTGATGATATCTATAATTTCGATGAAACCGGCTTCGCAATGGGCCTAGTTTCTACCGCAAGGGTAGTTACTAGAGCTGAATATTATGGCCGTCGATCAGTATTGCAGCCAGGCAATCGTGAATGGGTGACCGTAGTGGAAACAGTTAATGCTTTAGGCTAGGCTTTACCGCCGTTAATTATATTTAAAGGCAAGCGCTATATCGAATCATGGTTCCACGATACCCTAAGGGACTGGCGCTTCGAAGTTAGTCCAAATAGGTGGACTTCTGATATAATTGGGCTTCGCTGGCTTCGAACGCTTTTTATTCCTTTGACCGCAAGTCGTATACGTGGTCGGTATAGGCTATTAATCCTTGATGGTTATAGAAGCCACCTTACGCCTGAATTTGATCGTCTATGCACTGAACACGACGTGATACCTATATACATGCCACCGTATAGCTCACATCTATTACAGCCTCTAGATATAGGCTGTTTCGTAGTTCTAAAGCGATCATATAGTCAGCTAGTGGACCAACAGACGCGTATGGGTATAAACCATATCGACAAGCTTGATTTCCTTGCAGCCTACCCACGCGCGCGCGAAGATGCATTTCAGGCTAGAAGCATTCAAAATGCATTTAAAGCGACCGGTTTAATACCTTTAAATACGACAGAAGTCCTCGATAAGCTAAACATTCAGCTTCGTCCGCCTACACCAGACCGACCATCAAGCCGATCAAGCATTTATTGCCCTAAAATACTAAGCAATATCAAGCAGCTTTCAAAGCATAGGGCATCAGCAAGACGGCTTATTAAATATCGGTCTGATAGCCCACCTACGCCTACAAAAGAGGCATTTGATCAGGCTTATAAGGCATGCGAACAAGTTATGAAGCGCATCCTTCTATTAGAGCAAGAAGTAACGGATTTACGCGCCGCAAACTATAAGAAGATAAAAAAAAGGCATTGCCTAAACGACAAATACAGCGCGATGAGGGCTTATTCGTTCATGAAGCCCATGAGCAAGGCATTGGTCTACCAGGTGGCACAGAAGGTGGTGTGGTGGACTCTGCAACACCCACGCGGAGGGCTTCAGCGACCGGTAATCAGCCCAATAGACGTCAATACGCTTGTAGTATATGCAGAAAGCCTGGCCATAGGGCGTATGCATTCCCTGATAAGGTTTAAATTGAATATAAAGGCGTTGTGGTTTTATAAAAGCTTCATGAATGAAGAATAAGTGGATGGGGTGGCGGGTTTGGTGTGGTGGCGGGTTTGGTGTGGATTACGTTTAAATAACTATATTTCTAAAGGCTGTTAGCAAATTTAGTGCGTAGATAGTAGCTCCCTAACCCCCTTTTCTGACGGCTATCAGAAAAGGAGTGCTATAGCTCAGAGAGCTCATTTAACGTACTTTGGAATTAAGGTAATAGAAAGAGGTCTCTATTATATATTGAATACCCTAAGAAACAGGGTAAAATTAAATAAAATATATAGTGACAAGGACCCACTCAGTTTGCATTATTTACCAAACCATTGGGGCCCTAAGAACCATTGCGGTTTCTGACCAAGAAACCAAAAACCATTGCGGTTTCCGAAACCGGCCCCAAAACCCAAACCATTTGCGGTTTGGTTTGGTTTGGTTTGGTTTGGTTTGGTTTGGTTTGGTTTGGTTTTGCGGTTTTGCGGTTTTTGGCGCACTCTAGACGGGCCGGACCTTTTGTCCATGGACGGCCCATGTCAATGTCTAATATCGCATCATATTAAATTTTTCTCTTGTGTGCAGAATGCACGGAGTTCGCGTCGATGGCAGCATGCACACTCAATAGTGCAGTGCGAGTAGAAATATATAACTGGCCTTTCCTTTGGAACGTCGCCGAAAGCGCGAATATTCTCACAGCAACCACATCCAAATGCACAGCATCCGCCTCGACCTGCACATGCAAGCGAATCATTGCCTTGTTTGGTTACAGGCCTTCTTCTAGCATAATCTCGGATCCACGCACCCCCAGGGCACTCGAAGGTAAGCCTTTTGAGATTCTTCCAGTTTTCGTGCAGTTTTGGCGGCAAGTCTCTCAGTTCCTTCTTGTGATGGTCGAAGACTGGTAATGTTGCTGAATGCAGAGCTAGGTCGTTCCCACGATGTCGAAGTACAATCTCTTCCGCTAGGTAGGCTTCTCGCTGTACCAATTCATTCGCTTCAGCCACCAGCTTCTTCTTTCTCTCCAGATATCGAAGTTGTTCTTTCATTTCGCGCTCCGAGGTCTGAAACTTCGCCATCAAATTCACGATTGAAAGGAGGCTTTTGTGATTCGCAGATTGAATTTTGGTTTCCAAATATTCCCACATGTCGTTATCAGAGTATGCGAAAATGGCTGTCAGGGCTTTCAACAGGACGAAAAGAACAAAAGAAGTCGCTGCAAGTAAGGCGCAGACTAGAAAGAGACAGAAGATGACCATCAATGACCAAAGACTGACTCCAATCAAGGATTCCTCTAGAGATTCTAGATCCATGGTGTGTAAAATGTGACCCCAAAAATTGAGGTATGCCATAAAAGGGTGGTGAGTTGGAGAGGAGCGGGTGTAATGAACAAATAATCAACCTTAGAATGGCAAAGTGGAAAACAATGGGAGGGACGCGTATAGCTCAGCACTGCCCCCACTCAGACCGAACGAGGCAAACTAATTCATAGGCTACACAAGTGCTTTTACCCAAGTGATCACTACCTAGCGTCGGGTCAATTTAGCTTAGAAGCTAGCCACGTAAGCGAGCTACGCAACTTCGCCTACCCTCATCGCAACCCTATGTAGCTACTACTGCCGCGCTAACTTCTGAGTTACCGAGGTCGGTAGGGAGGTTCAGGTCAAAACCTGAGAGCCAGTAATGTATCTAACCGCTTTAGGCGCCGCCGGTTTGACCGCTTAGACCCACATCTATCAGTCAATATTTCCCTAGCACTAAACGATGGGGGTTGAGCATCACATGATCCTAAGTCTGGCAGAGTAGGCCTAATAAGGTTAGACTACAAACTCAGCGGTGCATCTCAATAATCTCCATATGACTAAGTCCTCGTCTCCTGAGGAGGCCCGTCAACTTCATGTATCCAAGTAGACCATATAAGACTACTACAAATATAAGGTTGATATAACTTATTCATGTGCATACAAACTACCTGAATTAGTAATTTCAAATGATCAGCCTCAATATTGAGGGTAAAGGGCGAAGAAGCAGAACGATTTGGAAGTCCAGGATCGAAATTCTGCATCCTGGCAGAATGCTATTAGCTTAAGGTATCATAATTATTATATAAGGCATACCGCCCTGTTTTGTCGGTGAAATTCGAGTTTTGACCCGAACCTCTCTGTCGTTCCGTAGTCCTGGTCCGAGTTCAAAATCGAATTGAAACTTGAACTTTTCGCCGGGGTATAGTAAGAGTAGGTCAAGACCGGGAGGGATGCGGAAATCTCAAAAACTGCTTTCTTCTACAGTACTTTCCTAGAGAGGGACTTACCTAGAAATAGGCAATTACGCTAAGAACAAAACTCGGTGCAAGGCCACGAAATAAAGCCACTAGATTACGTAGGTAGTACTTAAGTATCCAAAATAATAGATTACTAACAAAATCTTGACTTTCACTATGGTTTATAATGGCGAAAAACGGATTCAAGATCTTCAGACGATTGTCAGATGTTTATGATATAGAAAGGAGATTTTCAAAGATTTTCTATAAGCAATAGAATTTGGGATAAAACCCAAATCTTCAGGCTCAATGATGGCCTATCGCAAGCCTGGAGCGCCAAGGTCAAAAAACCTCGGAAGAGCGCACACCCAGAGATATTTGACAATTCATCACATCCATAAGCGGAGCCGAGATGGATACCGTCAAGCTTTTCCAGGCTTTTTCGCCCGGCGCTAAGTTGTAGTCCCTAATACCATCTGTGAATTTAAGCGGGCCTCGGCACTAAGCGATATGCTGCTATTCTACAGGGCCAACTAGGCCGCCGTTAACTCCCGTAGACCAGCTATGACTATGAATTAAAAATCTTTAAATTCAGCTAATGCCCCTTGTGATAACGCTCAACATTATTTACAAGCCATTGTTTATTGCCATCTTTCCGTGAGTTACAAAAGGTCAAAGAGAAAGGAAAGGCCAACTTCCAGTTCTCACTGACGTGTCAGACTTAGCAAGGAAATCACCAACTCCAGGATCGCAATGGTCTCCTTTGGCAGGTTTTACCTATGGGCCATTTGTCTGTTTGCACAGACCTCTGTTGCCCAGAACGCACCCGAAACTACAAAGGAAGCAAAGTTATTACACGCTCGTGCAGAACTAAGCTACTGGCAAAATTGGGCATCAATCGGAGGCACCTATTACGGGCCTACAGTTGCCAGTCTTGGCGTTGTCGTGGCGGCTTATATCGCTACCAAGTCGAACTCCGATAGCTGTTCAACAAATATTGATATCGTGGAAAAGTCCAGCAAGCGTGATTACCGGGCGACCGATGTCGAAGCGATGACCAATGGACTCGCAAACGAAGGGTACCTGCCGTTTGGTGAATGGGTGGACTACAAAAATGGCACTCAGACATTTGATGGGTATTTCTCTAATGGCGAGTTCCGCATTGAGAACCCCTATATCCGTGGTAACTATACTGGCGCTTTATTTGCTGTCGAAGGTGGCTCGTCTGGTAATCTTTACCAACGTACTATTTGGTCCCATAAAAAGTTCGCTCTTGAGTACCACTCGCACACTGGCACCTGCAAAACACGTTTGACCAAGAAACAACTCGAAAAGGCTGCGAAGGCACAAATCGAGAATATGTCGGACTATGAATATTCATGCTGTTGCTGGACATACACTGGTGGGCATGGTTGGTACGGCGAGGTCAAGCTTATGGACGTTGATAGCGGTGATGTCTTTTCTGGGTCCTGTTTCGATAGGACATGTAACGCTACTTGAGCTGTTTTAATGGAATAGTGGCTGATATCAAACCAGGATGAAGGGTAGAGAGTATTCAGAGATACATAACGTGGTGAATCGTATAATGAAAAAAAGATGGACATCTAACAGGCAAAAATGTACCAGATGACCACAACACCACAACCTTCGGGTGGAAAACATTATAACATGATCAGAAAGCTGTCATCCACCTAAGCCTCAATCCGTTTTTGTTTTTTCATAATATCAAAAACTGGTGGCAGGAAAGACGAAATGCTTTCAACCAATTTCTTCTATCCCTTTCTATTTGCTTAGAAAGACTTTCTTCTTAGTCCTCTGACAATTAGTAAACCTGATTTATTATTAATATTCGCGTATATACCAAAATAGTGTTTAATAATAGTGAAAAACGTAGCTAAATAATCGGATTATGCGGCTAGAAAAGGAAGGTCTTAGCATAATTATAAATTTGCGGGGGCCGCACGGGGGACCGTGGTGCGGTCCTGACTACTTTAAAAAAAGACCAAAGACCGTATGGTCCGGTCCCGGTCCTTCCCGAGGTCTACTTGGGATGGCGACCCGCTTGGGAAATACGTTATAACACTTCTAACATTTCGATAATTATCTGACCAGAAAATTGAACAACATAGATTGGAGAAGGCTCACCAGTCTACAACCACTAACACAGTTTTCCACTGAACTTTAAGAATCGAAGTTTACAGTTACCGTGACCTTCCTGATGGATACTCGTCTGTAAACAGGATTTCGGGGAAGTGCTCACCTTTAACATCTTCATTTCGAGGTTCTTGAAAATTGGAATTATCATAGATATCTGTAACGAGCCAACATGATAATAAATCATATGCATCCAGGAAAGCAACAAAGATAAAGAAGAATAGACGTAGGTTTATGACACGTTGGATCCGACCCCGATCAAAAGCGTGGCCTATGCTTACTGGGCTTTTCAGCCTTGAGAGAAACATTCAGATTGCCTAAACAAGCTGTGAAACAAAAAGGAAGATATGTGATTGATGATGGATTCTTTCTATCTAGAGACTATCTGATATGTGCAGGGAGGCGAGTCAGGTGACCATGACCATTGCGAAAACAACTAAAACTTAACGATTAAAGTATCTGAGTTCAGCGTATCTCAAAGGAGGATAAATAAGGGCTGTCCAGCTTATAGAGAGAGGGATGCCGATGTCAATACCGGAGGCAACCAGCTTTGCAATAGGTCCAGTAAACCAGGTTTGCCACATTCCTAGCACCGCACCGGCCCAGCCAGCCAGGAATGCGATGCATGCCGCGAGACCGACAGGAAGCTTCTTCGGATCGTTCCATACAGACCAGTCATAGCCTCCATTTCGGCGGCGAAATATGTACTCCTCTTCGACAGAAATAGTGATCCACGCCGCCGTCCAGTAACCCATAATGACCACAAAGTTTTGGATAATTCCATAGAGCTCATTTCTGCCGACACACGCACATGAAGTATAGATTATAACCACAATGACAGTCCACAGGAAGCGAGGCAGCTTTTGCATCCAGCAACCTAGCAATTGAAAGCTCAATGCAGCCGAGTAGGTGCCAGGGATATTGTTGGAGATGACACCCAAAGCGATGACAACAGAGCAGAAGTTACCAAATGCGCCCAACGGACGATAAGCTTCGACAAGCAGAATACCAAGACCTTTATCTGCTGCCACCGCCCAAGACTCTTTGCCTGCAACTCCTGATGCTAGACCGACACCGATATAGTAGGAAATCATACATGAACCTCCGAGTCCAAGTGTGGTAGCAAGAGCAACTTTCCACCGCTTACAGTTTGTGGGGAAATAGACAAAAAAGTCTGCCGCGGCGGGGGACCACGAAAGAGGTGATGCCAGGCAAAGGAAGAAGAAACTTGCCTGATCTGCGGACTTTGCTGCTCCACTGCCACTTGACAGAGACGTTGGGTCCCAATAAGGCCCAGAAACGCCGATTAGAATCAAGACCACTATAACCTGAGGCAGCCACGCCCATCGTTCATAGCTGTGGAAGAGCCGGATACCAACCACACAGATCACTAGCGAGATTGCTGCCGCTACGATAACGCCAACAATCACGGACATTCCTTTTCCATTCACAGCTGACATGATCTCTCCTGCAGCAAGAATATCGATTATTCCGTAACCAAGCATGATGACGATGTTCAGGGCAACACAGAGGCGGGACGGAAACCAGCCCATCGTATAACGAGCAATAACCTAGCGGACCAGGTTAGGAAACAATTTGTTCACATGAGTTGTAAATAGAGCATACCAAAGTACGGTTTCCACTGGCGGGTCCAAAAGATGCAATGTAGGAGCTCCCGGCTCCCCCTATGAGGGACCCGAAGGTGGCCAGAAGCATACTATCCCGGAGCCCAAGTGCAAAGTTCAAGGGACCCAGCATGCCAATCATCATGTTATTGGCGGTAAGATTAGCTGAAAGCCAGATTAGACACATCTGCACGTAGTCTCCCGTCGTGGTCTTTTCTGCTTTGATACTCTCGGGAACACGCTCAATGCCTCTGGCTTCAATACCAGCAAGACTCTCGAGTTTATTGACCCATCTTTCCATCGTGTTTCTTGGTTGAACGTACGCGGCAACAATACCGGCTTCTGTAGCGCTCATCAGATCGTAAGGTGCAGCGGTTGGTTGATGAGTTGAGTTGGTAGCAATTGCATCTTCACGAGGCTTCTCCTTCGTCTCCGAAATGCGTTTGTCGCCCATGGAGTATAGTATGGCCGCAAATGTGGGGCAAAAGGTCATTGAGCGGAATAAAATTAGTTGTAATTGGGACTTATAATGTGAAAAGCTTGACTTGAAAGCTATCTGCATGGAGGTCACAGGAGCTATCTGGTATTGATACCTGTGAATGGAACCCCCTCATTGGTAACCATCTAAAAGTCAATCCTCGGTAATGACACAATCTTTGCATATTTATGCCCCCACTCTCGGACTAAGGAGCGATATATACGGTGATTGATAATGAAAACTTCCTGGAATGATTGCCTGGAGCACTGGAAAGAATACAATTTTGAAACGCGCGGTCAAGACGAGCGGACTTACCCCCACCGGTGATACAGAAGTTAACATATGACTTGATAACTTCAGATAGCATAGTCACATGAATGATCCCGCAACGAATGGGCATATTTCGGATGCTGGGAAATTGTCTGCTATAGTGATTGCTCACCGCCACGTTCTGTGCTAGGGTGGGGGAGTGGTACATGATCAAGCAACAAAGTTTACAAGAGTGGGGTATATTGACAGCTTTAGATATGAAGGACTTGACTAAGGCAGGAGTATTACGGTCTTGTGCTTGTGTTGATCAAGTTCGCCTGTTCTCAGCCTCTAAAGTCTAATTCTGCTACAGAACCAACAGCGGCGATGACGCTACTCATTCTGTTGAAAAAAAATTACGATCTAATGAGGAACAAGGAAGTAGTATTAACAGATCAGAGCGTTACAGCTTTCCTTGTGCCTTGAGACAAGAAACTGAAGCTTGAACCTAGTCGAAAGCGGGGGCATTGGCGCCACAACGGCAACTATACTTCTTATGGCGGGCGAGTCATCTTAAACCGCTAAATGCTAAAACGGCTGATTCCAACACACTGTTGTCGACATAATTTTGAATTGGTCTTTACTGGATCTTTTTGATCTCGAATTTAAAACAGGGATAGTTTACATTACTATCGGCCATCTTGTAGCTGCCGAGTACTTTTGCCTCTTAGTGGGGTGTCTTTTAGCCATCACTATTGTATTCTTGAAATCAAGGCCTGCGACCAGAACATCGACCTAATCATACCGCCGTAAATGTAGCTCATCTGAATTTCCATTGGCACAGATTGTAATGGCCATGGTTTTGAGTTTCCGAGCACCACGGTCTCGCTTTGTAAGTGATTTCACTGGTCCCCGATTTGGAAATTGGAAGAAATGCTATCTTTGCCCTTGACTAATATCATCCAAGACGGTATGGTGGGCCCTGCATCTTATCATTCTCATGGCAAATGATACATGATGGAGAGTAATCCAGGCACAGAGGAATGGCCTCGCCCACCCTTTCGAGCTGGCAAACTTTGACCCCAATCATGAGAGCCCCTTTTTTCCCCCAAATCTTATCCTCTAAACCCGTTGAGATAGGGAAAGCCGGTACATATTTTACCTAGGACCCATTAGCTCCCCCACTCTCGAATCAAATCTTATGATTGCACAAAAATCAGAAATCATGCCGACAATTTCCCACCACTCACCACTATGCTCGATCTCTTCATTTTCTCTTTGACTGCCAGGAAACTCTCATTATTTAAGATCGATGCCTCTTTTAGAGCTTGAGGGCAACATCGAGTTTTCTGATTCACAATGATGCCTGTCTTGATACCGCCATGGCTAGGTTTTATCGGTATCGGCGGCCTAGCCTTCTTGATTTATCAAATATTTCAAGTCGGACGAAGGCCGAAAAACATGCCACCAGGGCCACCAACTCTGCCCGTAGTTGGCAATCTTCACCTATTACCATCAAAGGATGTGCATGTCAAGTTCAAGGAATGGGCTGACAAATACGGGGAAATCTATTCGGTGATGCTTGGCAACCAACGCATGGTTGTCCTGAATTCACCGCGAGTAGTCAAAGACTTGATCGATCAGCGATCCAACAACTACTCCTCACGACCTGAGATGTATGTCGGTCAGACACTGATATCAGGTGGCTACCGCCTGGTCCTCATGCAATATGACGAAGGATGGCGTCTAGCCCGCAAGATGATCCACAATCTTCTCAACATCAAAACCGCCGTGGAATATATTCCTTATCAAGAACTAGAACTTCGGCAGATGCTGGCAGACATGATCAAAAGGCCCAACAAATATCACGACCACGTCAGACGCTACAGCACGTCATTGGTCACCAGTATGACATTTGGATGGAGAAGTCTAGCATTCAACGACCCGGACGTTAAGCAAATTTACGAGGTACACTCCATTTCAATCCAACGCCTATTCGTACTAAAATTTTGTGATTAGGGGTTCGAAGAATTTGCTGTGGCGTCCCAGGTGTCTGCCTCAATGTTAGATTACTTCCCGATTTTGCGCAATCTTCCCGACTCCATCAACCCAAGCAAGAAGAAAGGTAAACAGCTTCACAAGGAAGAAATAGCATTGTACAAGAGCTATATGCTTAAAGTCAAGGAAAGAATTGCAAAAGGTATTGCAAGCAAAAGCTTCTGTGAAGACATGTTCAAATCACAAGAGAAAGTAGGTTTCTCGGATGACTGGGCAAGCTACGTCAGTGGTACTCTTCTTGAAGCGGGATCTGACACGACGGCCTCTATCTTCCTCTCATTCGCAGTGGCTATGATCAATTTTCCGGAAGTCCAAAAGAAAGGTACCTCTTTTTTGCTGATATAGCTTCACTACCATCGCTAATCAAAATTCGTAGCCCAAGAAGAGATTGATCGTGTTATTGGGCCTAACACTCTACCAACTATGGCCGATGAGGTAAGGATTCCCGAAACTGATAACGGCAGGACCAGGCTAAAACTTATTACAGCCCAGTCTGCAATACATTCGTGGAGTTGTTAAGGAGTCACTCCGATTCCTGCCTTCAAGCATTCTCGGTATCGTTCCCCACGCAACGACCAATGAAGACACATACAAGGGATACACATTCCCAGAAAAGACCGGCATGATGATCAATGTTTGGGCCTTGAACAACGACCCAGAAAGATACCCGAACCCCCGCAATTTCGACCCAGACCGATACAAGAACGACTTCTTGCGCGCACAGGAGAGCGCCAGTCAGAATGATCCTTACAAGCGCGATCATTTCACTTTCGGGGCTGGCCGGCGGGTTTGTCCAGGCCTAAACATCGCCGAGCGCTCGCTATTCTTAGGTATCACATTCATTCTGTGGGCATTCACATTTGAGCATGATCTAGATGAGAACGGCAACAAGATCCCAGTATCTACTGAAGCAGTCACTCAAGGCATTGTTTGCCGACCCACCCCGTTCGCGTACAGATTGGTTGAGAGAGATCACGAGCGGACTAAACGTGTTCTCAAGGCGTGGGATAATGCCAAGGAGCTTCTAAGCAAGTATCCTGAGGGTATCAGAAGCACCCAATACGCTAAGGACTGGAAGGACTTTACCACCCATGAAAAGTTTTATTCTGCTTAGGAGAATATTTGCTATAGAGAAAATCAAGCTTCAAGTGCTTTTAAAAAGTAATCAGGGCTTGCTAATCATTTTGCAGCCTTGATAGCAAAGCTATAGTCTCTAGCACGTGTTATTCGAGTTGATGACGGCCACCGCCTTTGAGAGAAATTATACAACTATAAAGATTACAGCCCTTAGTATATTGACTAAATCTATGTCACAGGACATTATGGGATACTTTTTCCGCCATTCAGGAAGGGTCTAAAATGAGAAAAGAAAGACAAAGAGAGCAAGCAGATACAAAACAATACCATTGCCCCGGTCCCAATGGGGACTAGCTCAGCTAGCCATATGACACGCCCACGTGACCCATCCTCGCAGCATGCGTCACAGTTTAGTAATATCCAAGTCACCAGCACACTATCTAAAGGTTATTAAGCTTATGGCCTGCAGAGATATTTTTTGCAAATTTGCTACATGCATATGGTGACCGGAGGGATTCTGCCCTTCTTCACTGCAACCCTTGCCCCAGCCTCCATGATAGATCTAGATCCATAGCTTCCATCTACAAAATCTACGTCTCTTTCTTTTCCTCATTCCTTCTTCATAGAAGGAAAGAAAGAAAAATAGCTGGGGGACTGGCCATGTCGTTTGCTTTTAAGAATTGCATCTGGCGAGAGGCGCTCAAGAAGGTCATCTTGGAGGACATTCACCGCGTGCAGTGGGCCTAAGGGCATCATTTAGCTCACCTAACCCCGGATAGATATCGGAAAGAATGATTTACTATAGCTATAGATAGATATTTTAGGTGTGTCCAGATTTATACCCTCACTGAAATCTCCCTATAGAGTAGATCACAAGCGAGCGCCACAACCACCCAAGACGAAGTCTTCCACGAGCATTCCTCTCGATCCAAGTATATTCTGAAGCACTTCTTGTCTATAAGTACGCATGAGACATTAAGTTAAGGAAATAAGACGATTTAGATAAATTAATTACTTAATGTAGCTAAATCTTTTCGTCTAATCAAGTCGCGCTGGGCCTTCACAACGCTCAGAATACTTTGTCCTCCCGATAAAGATGGTGGATATCAACATCTTCCTAGTAAATATCCGTGGGATCCCAACTTCCGTCTCGTCTCCCGGGTGGCACTTCTTCTTCGTCTTCACGTTGCTTTTGTTGGTTTCCGCTAGTAAGGGCGGCGTGTGAAACCAAGCGCGAGCAGCACTTAGCCCAGCCAGCAAACTCTGATGCCGTAAGTAAAATTTTCCAATTCTCAGCAAGAGATATGGCGGCTCCATACTTATATTGGTCATTAAAGTAATACAGAAGCGTATTGAGGCTGCTTTCTTAAAGGTGACGGTTGGTCAAAATCAAGGCAAAAATGTCACATTTCTAGGAAATGCAAGGTACTATTGAGCACAATATCTCAACAGTTAATTGAATGAGGTTCATGGTATAGAAATCATGTATACTCAGGGTGCTAGCAAGTTTGAAGGGAGAAGCCACAAATAGATGCGTATGTTCGCGGACCCCGGAAGGCTTTAAATGTGTATGGTTCGCGTATTGGAAAAAGTGATAATCCATTCTGAGTTAACTACCGCGTGAAGATCACATTACAAGGTAAGTCACTCCCTGACGTGCTGTGTGCGCTTTCGATAAAGGAAAATACTGGGCCTGGCTCAGCTTTACATCGTAGACCCGCTTAGATTATAGAGTGACTATCGATATGCCGCATTGATTTTATAGACAAAAGTCAGATATGGCCGTGCTAAGCACTTATTAGAATCTGACTGGCCACCCTTGGCAAATTATATTTAGATTCATGTATCTATGGGAGGAGAGAACAGGGCAGAGATTGCATAGTACTACATTAATAAACTTAGGGCCAGGACATACAAGACAGATTCTTTACGTTTGCCAGACACTCCTGCGAGGTGATCATATAACTAAAGAAAGATAAGGGTGAAATAAAGACTATATTTGTGATTATGTTCCTATACGTTGCCAGATACCAATTTTTACAAGCATTGGTGGAATTCCAGTCTCCAAAAACACGTTTTTGAGTTTTTCAAGATGAGACCTGGCAAATACATATAAAGTTGATACATAAAACAGCCGAACAGATGCCTGCTAGGGACTTTATGTATTCCAAGTCTTTAAACATCTGTCACATAATATGCACAAGTGATGACACTTCCCAGGAACGCAGAAAACTCATCATCGTTCTATTCTCCATCAGGAACATTAATTTCGTCCCCATAATTAGTCTTAACAGAAGCTTCTCCCTCGATTCTCATACTAGCGGTCCCGTCAAGGCGGAACGCGTAGGTAGATCCGTCAAAATCAAGGCTGACATCGCCACCAGCACAAGGTATCTCGTCAGCCTCATCAGCCTCGAGGTCATCACTAAGTGGGTTGGCTTCAGCAGAGTAGAGACTAGTCAAACACACAACATAATTGCTTCCGCTAAGGGACATGTCGTGTCTCAAACGGATTTCCACGGTGTTACCGAGGACTGGAGTAACTGCGGGAGCCCCAAAAGCGAGAGCAATAGCTGAGAGATACATATTGGGACTTTGAGGAGCTCGAAGGGCTGACCTGCATTCATTTTTCGTTAGCTTCGAGATACTATCATACGTGGGAGAGTCTCATACCTGATGGGGCTTTTTTCTGTGTTCAGAGAAAGCGAATTCTGCTCTCTTTCTGAATAACGGAAGATTCCTAATGTATAGAAGGCCGTGAGAATATCTCTCATCTATATACCTATGTTCATGACAAGGTAATCCTTGGCACGAGCTGGTGGCCGAGAGGATACGGCCCCGAAATATCCAAGGGAGCCTTGCGATAGAACCGAAAATGCCTTGGCATGGGGCCAATATGAACTCAGCCAGGAGGTTGATATATCTCGAGTAGAACGGCTCGAATAGAACGGCTCGAAGACCTGAATATATTCAAGGTATTGTAAATGAACAGTAAAATGCGGTTCAGGTTTCAACTGTTCCAGGCAGCACATATATTCTCAATTGGTTCAAATAAAGTTGATTGATTTAATGTACCAAACATATGGAAGTTCCGTACTCAGACCGTGACATCAACTATAGGCAATTGGGTTGCAACGCATAGAGGTCCCGAAAGAAGATAACCGAGGATTGGGCCAACGGAATTGGTTATTCTCAACTGTTAGAAGTCATGTTCACCAAAATCTCAGTCCTTTTGTGCCTGCATATGTGCCTTGGTAGTTGATATGGCGGCGCATAACAGTCGCTCGACTGGTCGACTCATCACTTGCTTTACAATGACACATCCGATGCCCTTTTCCAATTTCCGAAACCCCTTCCACACGTCTACTAATCATTGGTCAAAATTAAATCTTCAATATGGCTGCTTTTCATACCAGGAATACGAACGGGTCTGTAGAGTGGAAACTGTCAAAAGAAAATGAACAAGTCATGAAATCATATGTCCTATGGAATGCAAAACAAATGCTTAAGTATACATCAACTCCGTAAAAAACCGCATTGGATATCCTTTCTAAAGCTTCTGGCTGCCCTTGGCCTGGCGCTCGAATGACGAAACGGGAGGGGCAGAGTTGGGGTTGGGGTGGTGCTTCTTCAGAGCCATGCTGACGTTGTACTCCAGGTCGAGGGAGGCCTTGGGGTCGTTAGTCTTGGGCTTGAAGTCAACAACGAGATCATCCTTGACAGCGAAAACAGAGTCGATATCGAGATGAGGGTCGTCGCTGGGGTAGATCTGGTTGATAACTGTGGCATAGCTGGGGTGGGTGATCATCAAGTGGATGTGAGCAGGGCGCATGGGAGAGCGGTCCATGACGTTAAGTAGGACACCGGCGGGACCGTCGGTGGGCAGAGAGTAGGGAGTCGGGTGATAGCAGTACCAAAAGAATTCTCCCTTCTCATTCGAGGTGAACTTTCCGCGGAGGTTGTTCTCGGCCTGCTCGGGATCCTGGAAATCGTACTGGCCATTGGCAGATGCCTGCCAGATATCAAGAACGGCGCCAACGATAGGAGCGCCAGTCTCCATGTCGGTAAGAACACCGTGCATGTAGGTAACCTTGCCATTAGGGTTTTCGTTTTGGATAATGCTGTCGCCGAGTGCGCGGAAAGGAGCGTTGGGAGACCAGAAGGGGCCGAGAATGACGTTCGAGGTGGGGGACAGGCCCTGCTCGGTAACAATCTTGTTGGCAATTTCGTCAACGAGGCTAAGGAAACCGTTAGTTATTTTTTCTTTTTCCTTCCCTTCTTTTTCGGCCGCCATTGGAATCACCTACGACTCGAGACCGATCACATCACAGATACGGTGGCACTCGTTACGAACGGGAGTGCTGATCTTGCCAATGGAATTGATGAATTCAACACCGAGCATCCACTCGGCGGGAGTGAGCTCAACCTCGCGAGCGAACTCGTGAATGTGCTTGATCAGAGAACCCAGGATGACGCGAGCACGCTCGGGGGTCTTAGGACCCATGGCGTTCACGACATAGGGAGTGAAGTTGGGATCGAAGCGAGAGTTGGTAGACATTGTAAGAGTCGGTGGATGAGGTGTGGGAGAGAATGGTTCAGATTATAGATTGTAAGAGACGAAGAGGAAAAAATTTTTGGAGGCACGGAGGGTTTATTATAGAAAATCTGGGGACCGGAAAGCCGTGGCAAGTCTGGATAGTGAGGGAAGCCGAAAGGGACCGCGACGGCAAATCGTTCGGCTCCCTATCCGTGTGGGGGAATTCCCAACGGTAGCCGACAAATAAGGTACAAAGGCTACCGTAACTACGTGCCGAATGAAACGATCTCCTGATTTATTGAATCTCCTAGGATTTCGGTCAATTCTAACAGCCGAGTGGCGGCAGGTCGCAAAAGTTCCACTATAAAATGTATACATCTTCGCGGGGTGGCGGGTTAGCATTTAGCCGCGGCAGAGATCTCAGAGTTCCCCGGGATTTCAACACTAAATTGCTCACCTGCGACCCCGCGCTTCCACTGCCTGTCTTACTGACCCACTTTTCCATGCTCGTTGATTGGCGTGCAACATTTCCTCTTCGGGCTGCAGTGGCGATCCCACTGCCGAAAGTGACATAATCCACTTTTTGAAGCGGCAGAATGGCTTCTTATATCAAGCCCTTCATAATATTACTCATCATATACACAGATCTACTTTATGCCTTAAGAGCTTATTTTGTGTAGAGACTTGCTGAGAGGGCACGCAAGGCACCAGCGATTAAGTTTACTCTAATTGAGACGTTAGACATTTACTAGCTCAGCTGTCACACAGAGAGATCACCTTGTATACTTCTTCTCGGGGTATGAACAGCCAGTTTAAATACCTAGAGACTTTCTCCCTTCTGATTAACAAAGAGAGTACAAAAATTCATCCCAATGGAATATTTTGCCGTCCAATGAATCCCTTGTATTGAGCAGAATAGCGGAAGACAAGGCCTGGGATATTTGCAGTAGACGGGCGGTGACTCTGGCGGTGACCCACTCGGCACTCCGGGCGCCTTTGTGCTGCCGCGCACCCCGGTGGCAAAGCCGAAGTCCATTTCCGCCCGTTGCTCCAAAGCTTTCCCCGGCACGTGCATAACACCCGTGAACTCGTTACATAGAAGACCCGGGATAGACACAGAAGGGACCCTGTAGATCTGATTCATATACTATCCGGGTAAACAAATTTACATTATTTCGGGAAGAACGTGAGGTTTCAAAGGTTATGTCTGAGTACTCGCATGAAGTAGGAAGATAAATACACTGGATTAGGCCGCATTTGCTCACACGTGCAGCCAGAGCACTCCCGAGCCGGCACAGATCTATCATATGAAGAATATTGCTCAAAGGGTATAGTAGCTCGCCATTTCCTCCTGAAACCAATTGTAGGAATAGAACAGTTGCTCCGCCATTTGCGGATCAATCATTGGCATGGTCCCGCTGCCATCGACCAGCAGTACATCATCAAGAACGGGCGCCAAGGGAACGGGGGGTGGAGGTGGTGGGGCCAAGGTGACTGGGGGTTGGGGAGGCAGAAGAGGCTGGGGTTGCGGTTGTTGCTGTTGCTGTTGCTGTCGTTGCTGCTGTCGCTCCAGTTGCTGCTGCTGGTAGGCCATCTGACTGAAGATCATTGTGCTTTGATGTCGGAATGTTTCAGCCAGCCGGTCAACTCCCGGGCGCCGCTTGCCGAATTCCTCTAGTAACACGACGACCGCCTGGATTCCACGGCGCATCATCTGCTCCTCGGGATGCCATGGCGCAGGGCGGGACTCGCGTAATGAGCGCGCGTTCTGCTCCAAGCACCATAAAATGGTGATGCCCGCAAAGTAAACTTGGCTCAGGGTCAACCATATCCACTTAAGCTTACCCACTGAGTAGCTGTCCCAGTATGATCGGATCACCTGAATGCTAGAATCGCCACAGCTGACGATACTCGTCACGTCGGGGGTTGGATTGCGCGGGCTGGGGCGATACATGAGCAGTAGAGTTGTATAGTACAAATAATCGTAATATGAGGTGGAATAAAGGAGGGCTGAAGGATACACCGGGGCTGCCATACGCCAGTCGTCCACCTCGCGGCGGAACTGACCCAGTGTGGTAGCAACTTCCTGCGGCGACGGGCGGGGGAGGCTGCTGTAAACTGTTTCCCAGTCAGCATATGAAACTGGATAGCGCGAGAGACAGGACAGAGGGGTGATTGTAGACTCACGGTATCGATAAATGCGCGAAAAGATCTGGCGAAGGCGCATCACCTGCAATGGAATGGTCATGGAACTGGCACCCGGGGCTTCCATTCCGTCTTCGTTCAATTCGCGTGGCAGGCCAACACTAATGTCTTCGTCGGCAATTCCGAGAGGTCGCCCTAGCGTGCTTGCGATGAGACGATCCAAGTTGTAGAGGCTCCAGAATGCCCGCTTGGCTATTTCCTCTTCCACCACGGTCGCGTAGGAGCGAGCCTTGTGCAGCCCCATGCTGATTGACAATCGCATAGTGGCACCCAGGACATGCCAAATGCTCGGGCCAGCTGTCGCGAACATCGTGTATAGCGCCAGGCCCAGCAGAGCCCGCACGGCGGCCATGTCTTCGTTTTGCAGGGCCAAGGGCAATGTCTCCTGACTTACATGGTAGAACTCGGCAGCCTGCGATGCGTCCGCCGATCCGATCAACAGCGAAATCGCAATAATGATATGGTAGGCATTATGAACTTCCGGCGACGGCGCGCCACCAGTGTATATATGTCGAAGATGGCTCATGAATTCCGGGCGTGAAGTAAACGGATACTGGTAGCCCATGCTATCAAAGTACTGCCCGGCAATCCGCTCTGCTTCGTTTAACGACGACAGACGTAGTACTCGCGGAGCTGATGCCGGACGTGCCACAGACGGTCGGCGATGCTCCAACTGATCGCGAAAAATCTCGCCCACGTTGGGTAGCTCGGTGCCTACCCCAGTTGACGACTCCGATCCTGCTGGACCAGTCGTCACAGATGAACGGCCACTGCCTGGGCTGGGCATCGAGTTCGTGGACGGGCGATTGCCGCCGGTCGCGATCATCGCGGGGACCTGATACCACCAGTCCGGATCGCCCTCGCCATCCACGGGGGTCCCCGTGGCCAGCTCCGCCACGGCGATACCTGATTTTCGGCGCACTACCTCCTCCAACCACCGCACTCTTTTCTGCAGGTTCTCCAACTGGTCTCGAGGCACGGAAGCATTGGCGACTTGGGGGCCGGGTGGGGGAATGGTGCAGCGAACCCCGGCGCGGGTGCAGGCGGTGCAATTGGGATAGCGGAAATCACATTTCTTCTTGCGCTTGCGACAGAAGTCGCAGGCCGTTGATACACGCTTGCTGCGAGAAGATGGTGTTGAAGCCCCGTCGGGAATGGGTGTGGACTCCAGGGCAGGGTGCGACCAGACCGGGGGAGCAGAAGGTCCGATAGAATCGAGACGGAACTTGCCAAGCTGATCGCGGAAATCCTTGTTACCCGTGCTGCTCATGGTGACGGCGGCTAGAACCGCAGTCCATCTCAGCCACAGTTGTGGAGAGGGGAGGGGGAGATGCGGAGGGGGGCAGTTTCGGAGAAGTCGGGGATGAGACGAGGAAGGCGGAGGTGGGGGGAGTTCTGTTTCGCTTAGCGGGAGCCGATCAACTTGTTCCGGTGCCATTTTGCGAGAAGGTGGAACCTCAATCTCTCCACGCATTCATGGCGTGTGTTACATTCATGAAGTATAACTCTGCAGGTGATCTGCAAGGAACGAGGAGAAAGGGGTCGTTTCTGCAACTAGGCAACTAGTCGCAGCATTCGATATTGAACACGAGGCGAAGGTGGCAAGGACACTCTCCCGGAGCTTGCCACTGGCTCACATTGGGTCCGTATTGCATTTAGTAAACTTGGAAAATGACTATCGCGGTCGATCGACGTCTCTGCTGGGCGCCACAGGGTCCTCTCTCATCTGCCAAGCTGAAACGCCCCCAGTCGAGTGGATCGAGCGTCCCGGCCAAATGCCATCGATGCGTTATCCTACTACGGCCCCTATTACCATCACGAGATTGATCTTTCGGGGTTGATTGATTCAGAATGTCGCATATCTTGATGACCGCCCTCACATGAATTCGGCTCCCCGCTTAGGCCCTTCAAGTTAAATACTAGAAATAGCCCTCCCCGGTGCCGATTCTGATCATCGTTTCTTGGGTTGAATCCGTGAAGCATACTTTGAGATTATAGAAGTCTGTCTAAGAAATACATCAGTACACTTCCAAGATTGTGATTCAATTGTCCTTTCTACCGTTACGCCAAGCTTCATCATGAAGACTACCGCTCTGTCACTACTTCTCACAGCTGGTGCTGCGAGTGCCAGTCCTCTGGAGTCCCGAGCCAGTGGGGTCCAGGGCTTTGATATCTCCAGCTATCAGGGCACCGTCGACTTCTCCGGTGCATATAATGCCGGTGCCCGATTTGTTATGATCAAGGTTAGTGTCAGCAGTCCCTCTACAACTTTGGAAATCACGATTGACATCATTCACAGGCCACGGAAGGCACAAGCTATGTGGACAGTTCCTTCTCCAGCCACTATGATGGGGCCACCGATGCCGGTCTCATTCGAGGCGGCTATCACTTTGCCCATCCGGACTCCGGTTCCGGTGCGACCCAGGCCGAGTACTTCCTCGCTCACGGAGGTGGATGGACGAAGGATGGCCAGACTCTGCCCGGTATGCTGGATATTGAGTATAATCCTTCCGGTTCGACTTGCTATGGACTGAGTGAATCCGCTATGGTTTCATGGGTCAAGGACTTCGGCGAGACCTATAACAGCAAGACTGGTCGCTACCCTATGATATACACCACTGCCGACTGGTGGAACACCTGCACCGGCGGTAGCACTACCTTCATTGCAGATTATCCCTTAGTGTTGGCTCAGTATGCTAGCGCGATCAGCACCATCCCTGGTGGTTGGGCATACCAGAGCTTCTGGCAGAACTCGGATTCCTACAGTTACGGCGGCGACTCGGATCTCTGGAATGGCAGCGAAGAAAACTTGAAGATCTTTGCTAATGGTTCGTAGATCAACAAAAACTGCTATTCGAACAACCCTATTTTCTTGCTCGGCTATTTTTGAATTGCCAATAGATTGTGCAGGTCTGATCAAAGGGGCTGGTTTTCGCTTTCTATGGCCAAATATGGTAAATGCTTCCCAGGGTCCCAATACCAAAGCAGTAGCCAGGTTTTGCCCAAAAAATTTGACGATCGATGGATTCCAGATTCCAAGACAATTTAGAGATGCTATGGTGCATAGAAAGGGAACAGAAAGCAACTTCGGTCCATTGAACCTTTTATATATAGGTGGTAGCGCGAGGTATGCCTTCGTAGAAACATGGCCATTCGGGCACCAATATTATAGATCCAGAATGCCACCTGGACAAGCCCAATTTACCATCTTCCGATCCAAGTAATACGCACCGCTGGGCACAACTCTCCGAGGGGTGACCGGGCCACTATTGGTTGCAAAGCAAACCCCTCACTGATAAGATAGCAAGATAGCAGCAACACATCACCGCATCACGCAGCCCCAGCTTAGGTGCAGGATTCGCCCTCTCTCTGATTTTTAACCCTTTCACACCTTCAGAAGTTTTCCTTCTCCATGGACTTGCTGGACAAACACTCCTCGCCGGCATCAGGATTGCCTCTGGCTTTCCACGGCACGGTGATACACTCACGCTCTCTCAATGAGCTCGAGATTTTGGAGAACTGCTTCGTTCTGGTGGATAAGGCGGGCAAGATCCAAGCGCTGCAACCAGATGTGGAGTCGAGCAAGATCAATACCATCGTGTCAGACAACGGATACGCCCCCGACGTATTCCCCATCAAACGCCTACGGCGTGGCGAGTTCCTGTGTCCCGGATTTGTTGACACTCACAACCATGCACCACAATGGACTCAACGCGGCGTTGGGCGTGGGCAGACCTTATTGGATTGGCTGGAGAATGTCACTTTTGCCCATGAATCCAAATTCGAGGATCAAGACTATGCGATTCGTACATACTCCTCTTGCGTGGCAGGCTTTCTCCAGCAAGGTATTACCACGGCATCGTATTACGGATCTCACCATGGTAAGGCGAGTCGTATCCTGGCCGACATTTGTTTTGAGAAGGGTCAGCGTGCCCTCGTGGGCAAGTGTAACATGAATCGAAATGCCCCCGACTGGTATCGAGACTCTTCGATTGATGACTCGCTGCACGAAACGCGCGGATTGATCCAGCACATTCAGGATCTCGACCCGGAATCTCGACTGGTGAAGCCTGTTCTGACTCCGCGCTTTGCCATTTCGTGCGATCCAGGACTTCTGTCGGGTCTTGGCGATATTGCCCGGGAGCATCCGCTGCTACCTATTCAGACCCATTTCAACGAGGCGAAGCAGGAAATACAGTTCACCCGTCAATTATTTCCAGACTTTCGTACAGAAGCTGAACTATACAAAGAATTTGGATTATTGAATGACCGGTCTATTCTGGCCCATTGTATCTTCTTGGAGGAGGAAGAGATTGTTGCTCTCAAGGAGCTTGGCTGCGGGGTCTCCCACTGCCCGATCTCAAATACAACCATGCAGGAGTTTATGGTTGCACCAATACGAGAGTACTTACGACGTGGAATCAAAGTTGGACTGGGTACCGACAGCGGCGGTGGGCATTCGTCCTCGATGTTGGAAGTCATGAAACAGGCATTTGTGGTTTCGGTTGCTCGGCAGACACTTACTAACGGCCAAGACCCTGCATTGTCTCTATCAGAAGGATTCTTCTTGGCCACTTTGGGGGGCGCTCAAGTCTGTGGCCTGGACGAAAGGATTGGAAATCTCATTGTGGGAAAGGAATTCGATGCACTCGAGATTCACACTATCAATCTTGAATATCCGGGAGTAATGACGCCCGTTGAAGATGAAGACTCGATCTCGGTCATCTTCGAGAAGTTTCTGATGACTGGCGACGATCGAAACATTTCTAAGGTATATGTACGCGGTCGGTCGGTCAAGGTCTGATGACAAAATCATCAAGTGGATTTCAATATTTTTCTACGTGGATAATAAGAATCTTGAAACAAGAAATCATACCCCAGGCTGATAACCACATCAAGCAAGAATGCTAGCATCGTATCTATCCAGCTCGGCCAGCACAAGCTCTTCATTGATAATCAACATATTCACTGTCTCCTTCTGTATCTTGCCTTGACTCTTCTCCAGTTTGGCCTGGGTACGCCTATAGGTATCGATGATAGCCAGAAAGTCTATGGCGATTGTAGCTCGAGCCATTATGCCAGACTGTTGCCCTTTTTATCCATGCGAGGTCATGGAGGGGACACTTATCGGGCGCAGGAGGTAGATTTTCAAGAGGGAGTGGAAGAGTGTGATGAGGGGGGGTGTACCAAAGTATCCTATGGGGCTAGGGTATCGTCCGCGTCGCTTACATTTCGGGGTAGTCCGCTATGTATCTGTCGGAAGGGTCATAATATTAGTACAAGAGTGCTTGCTTCCGTTGTTAGTCTGGTTTGATTCATTAGGTTTATTCAGACTCTAAATCTTGATCTGATTGCCCCGGATGCAGTTGGCACCGGCTCCACCGTTGATTCCGTCGACAGTAACATAAGCGGTAAAGGAGCCACAAGAGTTCTTTTGATTACAATGACTGCATTTGTCCGTTTCCCGTTTGTTGCCAACAATCCATACCAAGGTGGCTTTCGCATTGACCTTCTTGTGGTGGATCTCATGTATAAAATCCGCGGTGCCCCAGTCATTCGATGCCCGGAGCATAAGCTCCCACTGTCGCGGCATTACTCTCAGGGGTTCAGAATCGGCGCCTTCGTAGAGCGAGATGGCGCCGATTTTGGCCATGGACCAAGCCCAGAAGGGTTATTACCTTTTGTGGAGTTCCTCGATCGTTTTTTAGAATAAATAGTGACAATAGTAGCGATCGTGATATCGAGAGAAGATGGCCTGAAAGTTGACTGGATTGAGTCAAGTTCAGTAAATGTCGGTCTCCAGGTCGGAAGACGTGCGGCCTTGGAGAGCCAAGGTAGGACAAAGATTGAAGTGAAAGCAAGATGAATTATTCAGAACGTGTTACCTTAGTAAAGGAAGGTAAGAGAGGGATCCAAGTGAGAGCGATAAGTATACGTTCTACCAGAACCCCAGAACGCGCCAAATCTTGAAGAACAGGGTATTCCCGAGGTCATACATGACAAAACGCCAGGAATTCTCGTGCAGGAGTAGATAGCAGGGTCGTAAGGCAGACCCAGATGAGCAACACTCAAATGCAAATACTGTGCACCAAATAGTATGATAGAAGAGCGCCTACAGATGGAGCAAGCAATAGGCGATAACAAAGCACAACTTAATTCTGGAATCATTGCCATGTCCCTTTCGGAGGACCGAAATAGCCTTGGGCAGGAAGGCCTTTATATGGCGTGCCTTTCCCGTCGGCCGTTTGAGTATACACGGTGTTCCCCCACCAGCTCAAGGAGCCAGCGGGTAGGGTGATACAGAAGAATATGATCAAGGTGGACACGGCCACACCACAGTCAAGTGCAGCGGATAATACATAATCTAGAAATCATTAGTTGGATCGACCTATTAAGTTTGACGAACGATGTAGGGAGATATACTGTACTTGGACCACCATGCAGGTCTCCGACGACGTATTAATCCATTAAATAAGACATTGATTACCCACCACGAGGAGAAGCTCACACCTGTAGCGGGAGGAACGAGGCTCATTGCGCCCAAAGCCACCGGCCATGACAGGTAATTTACAACTTTCCACCGGCGACCGAGTATATAGGTGATGACTACAACAACCGGACCCACGAGTAAGAACCATAACAAGTTCCCATACGTCTGACCCGGGGAGAAGAGACGACCGGGGCCAATAGCACCTGTTTGCTAGTGAGCGAGTGTCGTGCTAAAAACGACATGAGGACCGGACGAGGAGATAGGAGCAACAACATACCCCATATGAGAGACGAAGAGTAAGTAACTCGTCCATGTGGACATGTAAAATTGCCCTCGGCATCAGGTGTACAGACTCCACCGATTCGGGTGATCATGAAGACTGTCACTCCGCATTGAACAATGGCACCGACGAGTGTGGCTAGACCTTGAGCAGCGAATAGAGTCCGCGGAGCAATATGTAGGTAATGCGCCAACTTCATATCAGCAACAAATCTATAAGAGGTTAAGGAGGTGGCGCAGACAAGAGCGTGATGGAAAGGGCCGGACTTACTCTAGTCCTTGCTGAACGGCAACGTAGCCGTAGAATTTGAACACCATATTGGCCAAGGGCCGCCCGAGAAATGCATAGCCACCGATAAACTCCGTCATCAAATTCAACTGGTTGCTGCTGATATTGGTGAGGGCCTTGATGATTCCCACGGGAATGAAATAGATCATGGGGAGCAAGAAAGCCACAAGTACCGCCCAAGCTGGTAGCCCGGTGTGCCAAACCTCATTAGTAACAATGCTGAGCACGAATGTCAGCAGCGTGACGGCGACAAACCACCACCAGGGTACGTTCCGATAGACAGCCATAAGTCGAGCGTGAACATCTCGTTTGCTCGTTCCATTCCACTGCTGCCACAGATCGCGGCCGTGGTATAGTCCGATATGAACAAAGATCCCCGTGAGATTGGCGAAAGCAACCCCAAACGTGAGCGCATATCCAGCTGGCAAGAAAATGGGAGAGTAGTCCCTGTAGGCTGTCTGGTTTACAGTGCCGTCGGTGTTCATAATTCGAGTGGTATTGTAGTCATTGCCAGTGTTGTCGAAAGTATTCGAGTTCAGCAGTGGCAAGTAGGCCGAATACCACGTATTAGTGTAGTAGATGACGGGGCAAATCAACCAGAAAAATAGGGCAAACGACCCCATGACATTAAGACCAGCCCAAAATGGTACCAACAGGGGACTTTGATTGGCGTATACGACTTGGGACCAGTCAAAAGTCAAGACTGACATTCCCAGCCCCGTTGTCTGGCCAAATAACTGGTTCACAACCACGTTGGATGGGACGATCCAGCAGACAAAAGTAAAGGTACTGAGGCCTGTGAAAAGGTATCCGGGTGCAAAATACCAGACGGCGCCCCCGAGAAACACGATGAGAAAGAAGCGCAGGCGCGTGATCTTCCAGCCGTCGGCAACGGCATTTTCATGAGAGTGTAGGGTGGTCAGAAGTGCCGCGTTTGATAGCACCTGCGGCCAAAGCATCGATGCCGGATTGACAAGCCAGCGAGAGGCCAAGCCGGCGAGTCCGAATCCGAAGAGCTGGGTGGTAATGCATAGGAGAACCTCGAATCCGCCGTGGGATGGCATGTCATAGAACTTGACAACCGCCTCGATGATCTGCGTTGCTTGTGCCGATCCAATAGAGACATTGGCCATGATAGTTATCAACCCATGCTCTTTGATATTAAAATGTCGGTCCGGATTCAGGGCGCCGAGGGGCATCCATTTCGCCCAGGCGCAACCTAGGGGAAAAGCCAGTAGTTGTGCTACCAGAGCACTAATCGTTACACTAGGTTGCCGTAGGCTGAAGAATTGATTCAGACCACTCCCGACCTAAAAATGTTTGAATAAAAAGAATCTAGTCAGAGTAGGAGCACATCGTCAAGATCGTGATTGAATGGTACCCACAATAGTAAAAATTAGGCCAATGGTCCACATACGGGCGGTACTCACCGGAAGTGATAGATCATCGACTGGTTGGATGACCGCGCGCACTTCAGGGAATGGCGAGTCGTCTGCATCGTATGGCAGGATTTTTTCGGCTTCCCGGTCGCGAAGGATGGAGGTTTTATCACCGACTTGATCCGAAGGGGAGTCCTGCCAAACAAAGGGTCAACATATTTGTCATTTGTCATGATTGTGCCAGTCTTCAAAAGTGCAGCTTGGCATCAAGGTGGATCAGCTCGTAGGGCCTTTTTAAAGTCGTGGAGCCTCCCGGGGCCAAACGGGCGAGATGCTAGAAATTGCCAAGCAGGGCCTTCTCTTTTTTTTTTTTTTTTTTTTTTAACGCATCAAGTGGGGGGAGGGGCCAGGGGGAGCGATTGTCCCTGAAACAAGAAGGGAGCGGAACATATGTGAAATAGGATAGAAGCAAGGATTCCGACCTACCTGGGACCAATAATGTCGGTGATGCTTCTCCTCGTTATCCATTACAGTGTCCAACAGACACCCGGGGGGATCCGACCAACAGCCTATGAAAACAAGCCGAGAGGAGTTAAAACACAAGCTTTAGATCGCCCCTATCCCAATAGAGCTGTTAGACGCAAAAAAGCGGATCGGGACGCTACAGCCCGCATATGTTCCGAAAGTGTGCTGGGCATGCGCGTGAGGGTCGGACGGGAATCCTTTCAACGGCTGAAAACTGTGATTGAACGCGTCCTTCCTGCTCCAATGACGGGAGAACTGTCGGAGTATCCCGCTAGAAAGCACTCGATGCGGGGTATGCCGAGAAATATCCTGCAAGGGTATCCAAAGGGAGTAAAGGGCGAAGAGATTCAGTATCGGGACACGTTCTGGAAGGTGACTGACGACATCCAGTGCGACGCGGAAACGTCGGCTCGACCCGCCACTTGTGCTTTGTGCGCCCCACGCGTCGGATTGGAGCGCTCGATACCCATCATGGAGATGGCCTAGCCAGATTTCCTGATGATCTTAGCGGCACAACAGCAGTCTTAATGGCCCCAGAAAGTCATGCAAAAGATCTTAGGCCTTTTTTTTTATCTCCCCGAAGTGCCCCCACGTACATAGAAGTCTGATCTCTATATCTCACCGGGCCCCGGGGCCGCTGATATCATATTCCCTCCAGCTAAACTCTTAAGATCTTTTGGGATTCACCCACAGGGTTTCACACAATGGGTGAAAGTAATCATGTCCACGATGCTTTTCAAGTGCCCTTTGCACAAAGACCCGTCGTGATTCTCGGGGCAGGAATTATCGGATGTGCGACAGCCCGTCAACTATTACAGCATGGCTTCTCCGTTGTCCTCGTCGCTGAGTTCCTTCCCGGAGATCAGGACATCTACTATGCATCCGCCTGGGCGGGTGCCGCGTGGCATGCCGCAGGCGGCATTACTGCAGACCAGCGTTATTACCAGGCCGTAACACATCGTGTGATGCACAAGATGGCCCAGAACCCGGAATCAGGAGTCAGTGTGGTTAATGCCCGTGAGTATTTAGAGCAGGAACCCGCATCAGACTCTGCCATCTGGGGAAGAACGGTAGTATCCAAGGTAGGCCCCGAACCTGCTCTCATATCCGATGGTCACTGATCATATACCCACCATTCAGTTCCGTGAACTGGACCCGAAGGATTATCCCTCAAACTTCAACTGTGGCTGGGCATACGAGACTCTCGTCACCGATCCTACGCGGCACATGCCATATCTGAGAAACCAAATTCTAGCCCTTGGAGGCAAGTTCATTCGCCAGCATGTCGAATCTCTACATGAACTCTACGAGATGTTCCCCGTCTCTCGCTTGTTCATCAACGCCAGCGGCTTGGGTAGCAAGACTCTTGCGGACGTGAAGGACGACTGCTGCTTCCCCGAACGAGGACAAAATGTTTTTCTTCGTACGGACAATTGCAAAACTCTTTATTTCCGGAACGGCAAGGAGTACACCTATGTGATACCTCGACCCCTTTCCCACGGTGTTGTGCTCGGGGGCGTCAAGGAACAAGACAATCTGTACGCGAAATCACCCGATCCTGTGGCTCAGTTCTATGGTCTTTATGCTGACTATTCCTGCTAGTTCTCCAGAGGTAAATATGGACATCGCCCGTGACGAGATTGCGCGGGCCCATCGACTCGCGCCCGACATCGTCCCTGAACACCCTGCGGACGACGCTGTGAGCCATATTATTGGAATCCGACCATCACGGCGAGGAGGATTCCGGCTAGACTCGGAACAGAAGGACCACCGCACCATTCTGTCGGCCTATGGATTTGGCGGAGGTGGATATGCGTTTTCGTACGGGATTGCAGACGCGCTGGTGAAGATGGTGGAGCAGGCGGAGCGCAAGAATGTCATCATTTAAATTGTCCTTAGCCGTTCAGGGCATTCTGCTCTCTGTTTCTTCGGTTTCCTATTTACCTACTCACGTTGATCGTGAAGGATTGACGTGTGATGTGTGTGATGCTCGATGCTTGGTCCTTATCCAGTCCTCTCCAAATCTTGAATGAATGGTTGAAGTGTCAAGTGCTATATTTCGGAGAGGGACCGGAAATTGGTCCGTGCCAGAAGTACGTCTTGGGACCACACTAACTACGCAATCGACCTAGTGAGGCACCTGGTGAGGTACCTGGTGAGGCGCCTGGGTATCCAGTCCCTTCTTGACTTTTTTTTCTCGCCACCTTGTGTTACAGAGATCGATTTCTATATATACGTGCCTTGTGCGTTTGTGGGCTCTGGATCCGGGATAGCGGCTCTGCTTTCCCCCGCCGGCCAATTTTGCCGTCCAGTAGAGCAACGTCTTCTTCGGCTGGCTTGGCCGCGTTTCGACCAACTTGATCTCTTTTCAGGGTTTTTTGGTGGGTCTTGCTAACTTGCCAAACTCCGAACTTCGTCCAGGCCCTTGGCTTAGGTGAAGGGAAGGCGGGCTGAACCCAACTTTTTCTCGACTGGGTTTCTCTCCCCTCTTACCCTTACCGATCTTTCGCTCATCCCTTATCAAATGCGATATCGTCGTGAATGATCCCTCTACACGATTCGTCTCCCGAGTGCGCGGTGCCTGCCAAGTGGCAGGACGGTTGAGATCGCGATGGCTCTGGACGAGCAAATGCTCCACCTCAGCCTTGAGGATCACCGGCCCGTTAATTTCGCCATGGTTGTGACGCCACCTGCAGAGAGCGAACTAGGACATCCGGACAAAACAGCTGGTCTATTTTCTGATCCCGCCACGACGAGCTTGCCGCAGACTGCGACTGCGAATCCGAATGCGAATGCGAATGCGCCCGTGACGGCGGCCGCGACCGATGCCCATTCCATGGCCCGAATCTACCGCTGCACACCAACCCCGACTATTCTCCTCGACGGCTCCCTTCGGGTGATCCAGACTTCCGATAGTCATTTAAATTTCTTCAAACATGATAGCAAAGATTTACTGGGAACGAGTGTATACGAGCTGGCACCGGGCATCATCCCTGCGCCGGGCATCGTTTCGTTGAGTGGCGCGCTCGGTGCAGCCATTACAACCCGCGAGGTTCAAACTATCGAAAACATTCACGTCCAAGACCACGACTCCGAATTTTCTCTGCGCGTGACACCTATCTTTGACGGCGACACTTTAATATATGTACTCTTGGAAGCCCACATTACGAGGCGATCGAAGTCTGCGCCAAAGATCAGTGAACAGACTTACATCAACGAGACCTACAGAACTCTGATAGATACCGTTAAGGACTATGCCATATTCATGTTGGATATCCGGGGTCATATTGCGACATGGAATTCAGGTGCCGCCATTCTCAAGGGGTACACGGCGGACGAGATCATCGGCCAGCACTTTTCGATCTTCTACGGATCTGAGGATCGCGAGACCGACAAACCAGGCCGTGAGCTCGAGGTCTGCCTGCGCGACGGAAAAGTCGAGGACGAGGGATGGCGCTATCGGAAAGACGGTGGGCAATTTTGGGCCAACGTCATGATCACCCCGATCTATCAGTTTGGACGCCATGTGGGATTTGTCAAGGTCACTCGAGACCTGACGGAGCGAAAGGCTGCAGAGGCGCGGCTGATCGACGCGTTTGAGGAATCCTCCAAAATGAAAACTGATTTTCTTGCGAACATGTCTCACGAGCTACGCACCCCTATGAACGGAATGTTTTTGGCCCTGACCGTGCTGATGAGAACGTCTCTCAGCCCCGAGCAGCTGGAATATGCATCGATTTTGGAAGACTCGACTTCCATCCTGCTACAGGTTATCAACGATGTGCTAGACTACTCGAAATTGTCATCGGGCTCCTTTTCTCTGACTGCCGATGTCTTGGATGTCCCCGCCGTGGTGAGTGCGGTCATAAGAAACTGCCAGCCAACACTCAAGTCCGGGGTCGTGCTCGAGACTTCTGTGGACCCCAGCTTCCCCAGGGGTATCAAGGGTGATCCTCTGCGTTTTCGCCAGATCTTGCAAAACCTCGTCGGCAATGCTGTCAAGTTCACCGAGAGTGGATACGTCCATGTGAATGCATCTTACTCAGTGGATGAAAGCAATCCGCAATCGTACAACATTTCAGTCCAGGTGGTGGACTCTGGAATAGGAGTCCCCGAGGATGCAACCAGTACACTTTTCACTCCCTTTACTCGATTTGCGGATTCGACCACGAAGCGTTATCAGGGGACTGGATTGGGACTTTCCATTTGTAAAAGTCTTGCCGAACTCATGAATGGAGCGGTTGGGTTTCATGCGAATCCCGATGGTCTCGGTAGTGTATTTTGGCTGTCGGCCAAGATGGGCCGTATCGACCGGCATGTTCCGTCAACCCAACGAATGGCCTCGAAAGTGCAGGAAGTTACCTTGGATAGGTCATCTCTGCTTCAGAAAGTGGCTATGCACAAACCTATTCTGCTCGTGGAAGACAACAAAGTCAATCAAACGATCATGCTCAAGCTTCTGGGAACGTTGGGCTTTGACCGCGTGGATGCGGCCTGGGACGGGGCTGAGGCCGTGCGCATGGTAAAACAGAAACCTTTTGCCTACAATGTGATTCTGATGGACATCAACATGCCCGTGATGGACGGATTGACAGCGACGGAAAAAATTCGGCAACTCAACATTGACGTCCCTATCATTGCACTGACTGGAAATGCCCTGAAAGGCGACGCGGAAACTTATCTGGCCAAGGGGATGAATGACTATGTGGCTAAGCCAATCCACCGGCAGCAGTTGGTGGATGTCTTGTGGAAGTGGTGCGGATCATAAAGTCCATGAGTGGCCTTTCTCGCGAAATCCACCTTAATACGTGCTAGGACTGGGTATCCCCCACATTCTGGCCCACCTCCCCATCATATCGCCGCTATTTCCCTCCGGCATTGAACTCCGGCTGGATTCAAGCCCCTGCACACATAGAGGTATAGGACTACACTCATGGCGTAGAGCACAATATCTTCTAACTTGCAAAGCTCGTCGAATGAGATATTTAGCCGCCAGAGATCATATTGAAAACTTAGTTTTCCTCTGAGCAGCCTGCGCTTTTTCATTCCCCTTGGATACTAAGGGCGACCCAGAAGGAAATGCCAGCTCGAATAGGGCGCTCTGCTACTCCGATCTGTGTTCATGGAACGAGTCGCTTGAGGCGGGCATCCTGCCTGAATTGGGGTCCCTGGGGTACATTATGAATTCTAGTATTACGGGGCTGCTCACGCCTTGCGAATGCATTGTGCAAGCCATTGATGCCTATTCTCTGTATCCCCCGGGTCATTAATGCCAAGCTTATGAGATAGGATCCCCAACTCGGGTGTGTAGTGCACTGTAGTTGATATCCTGATATTCTTTTTGCCTCCAAAGTATCCAACCTAATATGAAGCGGAAGACATAGTTCAAAGAAGTACGTAAGATCTTAGGGGGCTGTGGACGTTTATACTTGGAACTTTGACGCCATTTCCGCTCACGAGGAATAGTAAATCGTCGTATTATCACTGCCGGTGTCTTTTTAGTGGTGTACAGTGGTTGTTCATAAGTTTGAATCCCTGATTTTACCACCTAAATTCTGCCAAATTTTCTGCCGTCCCAAAATCTCTTGATTCTTCTATTTACTCCTTATTTCATTGTTTCTCGAACCGTCATGCTAAGATTCGCTAGTTTACGTTGGGAGTTCTTCCGGATTACCCCTGTCACTTAGCCGTGTATTGCTTCTTACGTATCACTACATAGTACTTTCAAGTTTGTATTCACTTGTAAATTCAATATATCCGACACGTTCATGCCCCACCTCCAAATCAGCCACCCGAGGGAGGGGTATGTTAAATATCAATCACCAGTGGTCAAACCAAGATGGCCCCAAGCCTAGCTTATTCAAAGCATGAGCTTATTTACGACATGATCCACAGTCAGGAACTATCTATATCGCAGATGGCATAGGCTGCTAGCTGCAACAGAAGTACCATCGTAAGAATCTCTTCCCATATGTGGTTGTTTGGCAGCGTCGAAGCACCACCTAATAAAGTTGGACGACCCCGAAGTGATTCCTGAGATGACACTGGCTACGAGGACACAAGGCTGGCTAGAAATTGGATAGATAGCGTGTAAGTATTCATTCCTAAGAGGCGTGTGCTGTTACGTCGATATAGAGCCGGGTAGCGAGGGGATGGATAGTGAGGTGATATCTAGTCTAGAGTGAAATTATGATAAAGATCAGCGGCCAAGTTGATCCCGTGCGATGATAGATGGATGGTGATAGTAGTTTCTACCGACTTGACCAATTGTTTGCTTTCTCATGTAGTGATGACGAAACTTGGAACTATGCTAGCTCCTCGGCCAATACAGATTGCTCAACAGCTGCAGTACCACTTGTATGGGCCAAAATATCTGCTGGGCCACTCCTAGTATAATAATACTATACAATGGCATAAACATCCAGCTCGGTCGATGGCGAAGAAATAGCTGGACCACACAAACGTCATACAGTTGCATATGACGTGTAGTCATCATGAACAAGTGGCTCCTCGCCCCTCTCCATCCGCCACCGATTCGTCGCTACTAACGCCCCCGATAGCCCTTTAAACAACCACCCCCATTTCCTTAGAAACCCTTCCGACATCTCCCACCCTGAGATGTCCCAGGGTGGCGACCACGCAATGATACCGCGTCGCTCAACCTCGTCGTCGGGAAAGCCCTCGTACAGCCCGCCGATGCAGTCAGCCCACAGCTCGTCCTCGTCGAAGGTGCCGGCGGCCTGGATCAGACGGTCTCGCCCCTCGGGATACGGAAATAGGTCGATCCAGTCACCGTGCGGCACCGTTTGTTGAAGTGTGGTGGGCAGAAGTGTTGACGGGAGTATTTCGGGCTTGGTAGGGTAGGGGATGATGTGGATAACTTCCTCATCACAGTCGAGCGGCGTGACGAGAATACCCGAGATTAGAGTGCGGTTGACAACCAGGGCGCGGAGGGCGTTAAATTGGAGTAGAGTGATAAGGTGGTCTGGACAGAGGGGGAAGACAATGTTAAACTGCTCTTTCCTAGATTTACCTAGTAGCAAGGGGTTTCTCGCATTGTATAGTTGCTTGATACGATTTGCTGCGACGATAGAGACGGATTCCTGCTCAATGTCCCAGCATTCCACTAGCGCTTCTGATTTGATCCGAGTCCCGGTTGCGGCGCTGGATGCTTCGGCTTTCTTTGTTAGAGATTTACGTTTTCCTGCTGGACTATTAGTTTCGATAATTGGACACCCATTACTCGTACTGGTCCTGACTCCTGATTTAGACGAAAGAAAAAACAAGGTCCGGCTTACTGTATGCCCTTGTGTTGAGTCTAGTCTGTATCCGTCTGCGTGCTGCAGCATCCTTGGTCCCAGTCCAGTCGTCTTCTCTAATTATCGCCTTTAGGCGATGGGTAAGCTATATCGTCTCGGTGATTGAAAGTGGCCTGGTACGTACCTCGGCCAATTGTGGCATCGACGCGAGTTTGATGCGTGGTGCTGTTGAATTTGCAGGCTGATACGTACTAACCATGATGCTAGCGGAGTTAGAATTGCGGTGATGATGAAATTGGTGATAAATGATGCAAGTTTCTTTGAGTCGGCCAAGGTAGTTTATGCAGCCTGCTCACAATGACGGGTCTGACACTCGGGAAGGAGGAATTATTATGCCGACTGTTCCGCAGCTGAGGCGCAGACAGTGCGCGGTTAATTAGATGGCACGATATCATTGGTCACTATTACAGGATCTAACTTGATAAGGTCTAGCGTTATGCAACCTGCTCACATTATGGATCAGGATCACGAGCTCCAGCATCATACATACGCGGTGCACCACTTGATTGGTCAATACAACGTTGAGATTTCCAGAGGGTGGCTAATTTAGAAATTAGCTAGAGATTCGGCAGTGAGCCCCATGCTTTATGCGGCTGGCTCACTCGCTCACTCGGAATTTTCTTATTGGTCCATGTCTTCGGTATATCTAAGTTGAATGTAACGTGATTGGTCTAAAGGTCATGCAGCTTGCTCACAGCATCTGATGCTCGGGATAACATCCAACTATCTCGGAAACTGCTCAATAAGAGTAATATAAAAGATCCTAGTAACACCTCAATTTCGACGCATCTTTTCCCATCATCAAAAACGTAGAACTCCATTCAAGACATTGAATTATCTGTTTCTTAGTATTATCAAATGCTCGTTTCGAACATGGCTTTCAATCCCGACACTCTCCCCGATCTCAAGGGCAAAGTATTTATAGTCACAGGTGGAAATTCCGGCATGTAAGCCTCCCCTCTCCCCTCTCACCACGAAGCCCGAATCGCTAATCCCACCATACCATAGAGGCTACTACACTGTAGCCCATCTAGCAGGTCGTGGCGCCCACGTTTATATGTGTGCCCGAATCCCAGAGAAGGGTACAGCAGCCATCGCCAATATCAAGAAAACGTACCCTTCAGCCAATATCGACCTCCTACAAATGGACCTTATGGACCTCACCAGCGTCGTCGCAGCCGCCAAGAACTTCCTCACCCTCGAAACAGCCCTGCACAGCCTGGTCAACAACGCAGGCATTATGGCGACGCCCTTTGAAATGACCAAAGACGGCCATGAGGCCCAGTGGCAGACCAATTACATCGCGCACTGGGTTTTGACGAAGCACCTGCTTCCCTTGATGCTACGGACGGCCAAGACACTTTCTCCCGGCAGCGTGCGCATCGTCAACCTGTCTTCATCGGGTCACCTGGCCGCACCCAAGAGTGGCATCAATTTCAAGGACCTATCGCTCAAGGATAGCGGCCCGTGGCCGCGGTACGGACAGAGCAAGCTCGCCAATATTCTGCACACCAAGACTCTGCACAAGATGTACGGCCCGGGCTCTCCCAATGCGCAGAACGAGGAGGGTGAGATCTGGGTTTCGTCCGTGCATCCAGGTATGGTTGAGACGAACCTCGCCACGTCAGTGGGGGAGTCGGGTTCGGGCATGATGAGTGTTTTCTCGGTTTTACGTATGTTTGGATTGATATGGCCTGCCGATAAGGGGTCATGGACCAGTTTGTTCTGTGCAGCCAGTGGGGATATGAAGGCGGAGCAGAGCGGCACGTATTTCGAAATTTTCGGGCGTTTTGGGGAGCCGAGGTGGCAGAGCGGTGCGGCGAAGGATCGGAAGCTTGCAGAGAAGTTAGAGAAGTGGACTGAGGAGATGATGAGGAAGGAAGGGTGGGTTCGGTAATGGCCTCAACTGGTTTCGGTCCTTTTCGATTATATTGATAGATTGAATTCTTTATATTATTATATATTATTATTTCTCCTATTTATTCATATACACTTATATTCACTTTTATACTTCTAAGTATATAGTCCAGAGTTTATACCTAGTGATCTTTTATTTAATATTAAACTATATATATCCAAAAAATCAAGGCCATCAGACTAATAGAAAACTTGACACCAACGAATGCGTTATCTCGAGTCGCATTATTGATCTGACTTGGGCTGGCGGGGCTTGAAGTTGTACTGCCTGTGGTAAATTGCTCAAAGGAAGCAGTGGGAGAAACAGATGGGGCAGATGAAAGGTAGAGGAGGCTGATGACGCAGTGGTGTAGGAACAGTAGTGCCCGAGGCAGAAGCCGAAACAGAAGACACGTTCTTCACGTCGATGGTGCCGACGGAGTCGCCCATGTACGACTGTACCGTGCGCTAACCCGACGTGGTGGTCGTCAGGTCATCGCTGGAGATGGTGGATGTTCTCATCAACGGCTCTATGTCCGAATAAACTGTCAAAACCAATCAGCCATAGTCCGACTTGGCAACCGAGATGGTGTACCCTGCACACTGGGTCTCGCTGACGGCGGGTAGCTCGTCGTGGGTCGCTTGTCCCCATTGCTTCATCACTCCTGTTTGAATCCGTTGCTACTGGTAATTGTGCTGATTTCATAATGATATCGTGCCAGTTGTCAGTGTCTAAGTAGTTATGACTTCATATGTGTGATGGGGGTGGGGGTAAGGGGGCAGACAAAAAGTGGATGCTTTCGGACGTGTAGGCTGCTAGGAAATCGTTGATCCCGTATAGGTGGCTTTGCGGGCGTCGATGTTGGTTGCCGAGGCTAGGGGCAGGAGAGCGACGAGAGTCGTGTACTTCGACTTATCGGGCGAATTCAGACATATACGAGTATAAAGGGAGCGACTACGTTGGAGGCAAACAAGTGTGACGATGTTTGGCTATTGGCGATACGAATGACTTGGGAAGCCGAGCGAGGGCATCGGGACATGTTGTTAGATAAGGAGCTAGCCTTCTCTCAATCAAAAATGCCAGCTACGTGGTTTGATTATTCATATATTTGATACACCTATCTCAACGGCACAGTCGGGACTCGGCAGCAACGTTAAAATCGTCGGCCAATTACAATGTCTAGGTTTAAGATAATAGAAAGTTCGGTGGGAGATGTTTATAGCCCTGCAAACTGTCATTGCTTGAAGTGTCGACTTTGATGGCGTTTTCGGTCGACGAGCGCCAGTCCAAGGTATTGATTGAGCATGCGATAAGTATACGCCTTTTCTTAAGAGAATAAGGAGCTGATATATGGCGATGCACAGCGTGTAAATAACGGTTCCGTCGCTGCAGAACAATGGTTATGTGGCTAGGGCTGACGGATGGCGATAAACTAGGTGTAAGTCACTTGGGAGAATGATACCTAAATTGCTGGAGCTTACAATGCACTAGTAAACGCGAACTACCCACGGACGCTGTTTTCTAGGCTGATAAACCTTAGTGGGTTGACCGGTGTGATTTGAAAGACCTTTTCCAATTGTCTTCGAACCAGGAGCCATTCCTTTGTTCGGCATTGACTTCGGCTTTCCCTTATACATTTTTTTTCTACATCTTTCTGCAAACGCAAAGGCCGTGTTATCGTTGATTCATTTGAAATCTACTAATATATAGATGTAATATTATAAAACAGAACTTTGAATCATGCGCTGTGCAAGTAAAAGTCGCTTACCTATTTACATATAACACAGATTTCCGTATCAAGTCTGTTGAGGAATCAGCCTTGCTTACCGCTGATGTCTGTCGTTGGTACAAGGGTGAAAAGCTGCAAGAGGGAGACTTCCGGCACGCTAGCCTGGTCGTAGAGAGGTAGCACATCTACAGTAATTTTCGAGATCAGGTATATCTGCCCCCAAGTCGGACCCTCATCACTGTACAAGGAGGCTGAACATTCACCGACTATGTCGTCAGCATCTGGTGAAGACAGGTCCATTTGTGGTCCAAGTAGCCTGAGGTGGAGGCATACGAGGGAGTCCGTTCCCGGAGATCGAGCTGTTCAGTTCGGCAGGCATCATCACTTTCGAAATGAGTGTAAGTCATTCTCCAAAGGCAAAAGATGCCACTGTGGAGTTTGGTTATATCATTGTGTGTTAGCTTCTACCATGGGGTGTCAAAGAGCGTAAACCAAAAAGAGCTGTGGCTGACAGGCCGAGTGACGTGACAAGCAAGTTCATGAGTAGTCCGCAAATAAGCAAGGTAATGTAAGTCAGTATTTGCAATGTTTGTGCGGAGTTAACCCCCCATACTGTCGCTTGGAAATGGAAGTGGCACAGGAAAGTGACCTCGCCAGATTCTCAAGGCCCGCCCGGGCTATAGTATTCGACTTTATTTGCATTACTATGGAATATTCTGGATCGCCAATTCAGTTGCAAGTCGGAGCGACGTATCATAATTAGAACAAGTCGTTGTATTAATACTAGTGCGGGAATATTGGTATTCCGGGCCTATCCATCATATGGACTAGCGGATATTGTGATTACGGTTCGAGGAACAATGAAAGAGTGTAAGTGATGGCACCAGTTTCTGATGTAAGATTGCCGTATAAAGGAATAAGGCCAGTACGTCGCATTGATCCGGAGCAGGTAGCCCAGAACATCTGTTTAACCTGGTTCCCTTTGATTGATGAAGGTCTTATATCTCGCGTAAGAATCAGCTTACTTCGTGGAGTGAATGTATACTCCCGAAATTCGCCATTTCCACGCTCGATATAGCATTCGTCAGACCAAAAGACCCGTACCCAATCTTCAGGCGTATAGTGTTCGTATATCCGAACCTATTCAAGTCGTGCGGCGGCGTGGCTCGGGGTTAAGCTAGGTCGATCAAGAATAAGCCACTTTCGACGGCCTTCCTTGTGTAAAAGCCGCCATATAGATATTCATTTAACCTTATGATCGACGGTAGCGAGGATGTTCTCGTAGGTAATTCGGAGATTCGTATCAATAGCATTCAGAAGCTTTAGTTTATTGTCCTCGTCTAGCTTCCGGGGACGTCCAGATCGAGGTGAAGTCTCATTCTCTATTCTCTGATTCGTGCGGTTAATTGTTGTCTTGATTGTACCGATTGGAATAGACAAATATTCCTGGTGTATTTGCTTATAGGTCCAGCCAGCGATAATCTTCAATTCAACGAGTTTTGTACGCACATATGCGTCTAGCTGGCAGTTCGGGCGGCGCGAAGGTGCTACAGGGGCCTTCGCTAATCGAATTGGAGGCATAATAGCTTCAAAAAGGTAAGGAAACTGTATTCAAACCAGAGGGTATTCTGGTGCGCGTCGGAAGGCAAGGTAGGTGAGAAGGGCGGTGAGATGGGTAGCAAGGGCGATGAGGAAAAGGCGGTGAAAAGAAGGATTCAAACGTATGAAGCCCCACTGTGGCACATATGTCAAGGAGATACAAATCCTCGGATATCTCACGCCCGTGCTGAGGTATGGGGGTCGAACTCTATTCTAACTCCTGAAAACCTTCAAAATTAGGATGCACTTTGTCACGCCTGTCTTTACCCCACTCCTCGGGTTCCTGGCGCCTGACCCTGGGGTGTAGGTTCAGGGGCATATCAGGATCATCGCTCAAACTCTGTAATTGGACAGGATCATAGGAATCCCGAGCCTATGATAAGGGTTAGGCGATTACTTTCCTGATGGAGACGAAGTCCCCCCACATGGTGTCCCTCGAAGTGGAGGTGGGAAACCGAGTGCGGGTGATGATGGCATGGTCCCCCTTTCACTCCTCATCTGAATGAACCGAGGCCTTAGCCCTGCCTATACCACCCGACGTGTGCTGGTAAATGCAGCCGCTTTAGTGATGTCTCATTTATAGCAAGCTTCACGTGGCGTATTTTGCCCCTCCGAGGCATGGAAACGAAGGCCGTGATCGAGACAGGATAAATGTGAGAGACTTACCGCGAACATTTCTTCTCTAACACTAGTGAGTTTGTTCAGGCTAGAAGAGCTCCTATTACAATAGGAGGCCGGCGGCCTTAACCATCGCTCTAATGATGGCAATAACCCCAGGTACGTCGCCGAAGGATGTGCGAGGAAGGTAAATCAGAGTCTTCACATGGCTTTAGCCATAATAATGATTCGTTGAATCCTAAGCCTGAGCTATAGAAGGGCGGCCCTGCAATTGAGCCTTTTTCAGATTTACAAGCGTAGGTGTAAATCTAAAAGGATATATTTCAGGGAAAGCAAAAGCACCGCTTTATCCAATCTCGTCTGTTGTTTGTCTGGCTGCGTAGGGGTCCAAGCATTCGGGGATCGTCCGCTGGCTTTCCTGGTGGGAAAGTCCCTAAATCACCGAGCCAAGCAGTCGTTAGTCAAAGTAAATGCTCCATTCTAGGCCCGCTCTCCCCGCTGATCTTAGCTCCACTATGAGGCATAATCCAGCTGATGACCCTGTTTCCCTCTTAAGATGCGGGCGGCGTGTGTATCTTTATTGGATAATTGCCAAGACTGGGCCCGAAAAGGATACAAGCAGGCGAACGATGGAGCCCCGGGGAGTAGCGGGGTTCCTACAAATATGGTATAAAGGCTTGCTCTGTCCCATCACCCGCGTCACAATCAGTATTGTGTACGGGGTGAACTTGAGTGACTTCCCGCATCATGAAGTATTCTGGTCTGCTCGTAGGAGTCGCAGCTGTTGGCGCCATCGCCGTGCCTGCTCCTCACAACTATGAACTTCACGAGAAACGCGAATTTATGCCATCTTCCTGGAATGAAGGAAAGAGACTAGACGGCTTGACATCGCTTCCTGTGCGAATTGGTCTGACGCAGTCTAACTTGAACCATGGTCATGACCTTCTCATGGAAATGTATGTTATGGCACAATAAAACTGTTTTTCACTCTATACGAACATTGGTTAACGGATGAATACTCAAGGTCGAACCCATCTTCGAGCCGCTATGGTCAACATATGTCCGAGTCCGAGGTACATGACTTGTTTTCACCTAGCCAGGAGAGCGTGGATAGTGTTCGTGGATGGTTGGAGTCCTCAGGTGTTGCTGCGGACCGCATCTCGCAGTCCGTGAATAAGCAGTGGATGCAGTTTGATGCCGATGCTAGAGAGCTAGAGAAGCTGCTCCGCGCAGAATACTATGTCTATGCTCACTCTGAGACCGGCCGTTCTCACGTTGCATGCAGCGAGTAAGCTTCTTGAGCCAGCTTATGATGAGTTCTTGACTGACACTGGAATTGCTAGATATCATTTGCCGAGCTCGGTGCGTGAGCACGTTGACTACATCACTCCGGGTATTACTTTGCGTGAAGTGACCGCCGTGGGAAAACGCAGTGATGCAAAACTTAAGAAGCGAGTTGCGAACGGGCTGCCGCCCATTCTAGAGCCAATCGCAGTTCCACTCGAACAGTTGCTTGGCCAGCTGCTTGATTTCTGTGATATTGCCATTACCCCTCAGTGTATCCGGGGTAAGTCACCAAGTCAATTATTGACTCTGATACATGCTAAAACTGCTTTTTCAGACATGTATAACATCACGGAAGGCACATCAGCAGCCCATGGTAATGAACTAGGAATTTTTGAAGGTATTGGCGACGTCTACGCCCAAGAGGATCTTAACCTCTTTTTCACAACGCTTGCAAGGTAATGTGTCTCAACCCCATGACCGAGTAATTCTCGCTGATTCTTACGCTAGCGATATCCCTACTGGAACTCACCCAACTCTGAAAGCTGTCGATGGCGCCAAGGCTCCTGCTCCATTGCAAAGTGCGGGCGCTGAGTCTGATTTGGATTTCCAGATTTCTTATCCAATCATCTGGCCTCAGAACTCGGTTCTCTTCCAGACGGATGACATGGTCTACGAAGAGGACTACACATTCCGCGGCTTCCTCAACACCTTTTTGGATGCTATCGATGGTTCATATTGTGATGAAGTCTCGCCTCTTGACCCTCCTTACCCAGATCCTAACTCTGGCGGCTACAAAGGCACGTTGCAGTGCGGTGTCTATGAGCCGACTAACGTGATTTCGATTTCTTACGGGGGCGACGAAGCCGATCTCCCCATTGCGTACCAGCGACGCCAGTGCAACGAGTTCATGAAGCTCGGCATGCAGGGCGTGTCTGTCGTTGTCGCTTCCGGTGACTCTGGCGTTGCTGGGGCCAGCAGCTGCCTGGGCGAAGATGGCAAGGTCTTCAATCCTGACTTCCCGGCCTCATGCCCGTACTTGACGGCTGTGGGAGCGACCGTAATTCCCCTTGGTGCCGGTGCCACAGAACACAAGGAAGAGGCTGTATCCCGTTTCCCGTCTGGCGGTGGGTTCAGCAACATCTACGAGCACCCCGACTACCAGGCTCAAGCTGTGGCAGACTACTTCTCCACGGCTAAGCCTAGCTACCCGTACTATGAAAGCGTCAATAATAATAGCTTCGCAGCCAACGGCGGTATCTATAACCGGATCGGACGTGGGTATCCTGATGTTTCTGCGATCGGTGACAACGTCGTCATCTTCAATGGCGGCTTGCCAACCTCAATTGGCGGTACCTCGGCCTCGGCCCCGGTATTTGCCTCTATTTTGACCCGTATCAATGAGGAGCGACTAGCTGCAGGCAAGACAACAGTCGGATTCGTCAATCCTATCCTGTACGCACATCCGGAGGCCTTTTTCGACATCATCAAGGGTGATAATCCAGGCTGCGGCACCAACGGGTTCTCCGCTGCTGTGGGCTGGGATCCAGTGACTGGATTGGGTAGTCCAAACTACCCAGCCTTGCTGAAGGTCTTTATGGGCCAGTGAGCAGCATTCAAAGGCCCTATAGGTATCGAGCCTTTCTTGAGAGATCTCAAATATCCGACCCCGTATCGAAGGTCTGAAATCAGCACATAGTATAATCTATTTACCTTCAACCACGCACTCATTTTGCAATTTCCTAATTCCGCACTTTAAATAACACGTACCATTGCAAACTCCTGCAAAGTTTGATTGAAGTTTTGCAGGGATTTGCAAATTTCTAATAGAAAGACGAAGAATATCGATTCACAACCTAGTGATAGGACTGTTGGAAAGTCCGTGCCCAGTGACGGACACCGCCTAGGTGTATACAAATTAGGTGCGAAATGCAGTTTATTTGCGGCATGCCCAGGCGCCGGCAGAATCCAAACCGTGAAGAGAGTTTGTCTGGCCCACAGTTTGTGACACCCAATCTCCTAATCCCAGGTTTCGTGGGCCTCTCGAGTGGAATTGTTCAGAGCGAAGTCCAAGTTACAAAGGATTATGCACTCAAATGGGCAATACAATTCGATTTACATAAAGAGACAAGTGGATGCCATCACCTGGCCTTGATATATAATCAAGATTCCAGACAAACGTCCAAAGAGTCAAACCGGTTAAGGACAATGAACTAGGCCACAATACGGATCCTGGATCCTTCCTATTTACAGAACACCAAGCTCCGTCCAACAAGAGCTTCGGCCTCGAGCCGATTGCGCAAGCCGAACATCACACGGTAAAGCTCTCACGAATCAATCCCGTCCGAAATAGATGCGATGACCGGAGCGATCGTGCCGACAACCCTGGCGTTAGTCGGACCAGGCCTACAAGTTCCATTCGTACGAGAAGGTATGATTGGCGCAATGAGCTTCACTAGGCTTAATTTGGTGCCCGACAAGGCCGCACTGTAGTGGAAAGTGGGGGCTATGGAAACTAAACTGCGTGATATTAACCGCTAAGTTGTCCGGCGTATCGGTAAATTATCCGGCTAAAAACGGGTAATAATTATGACATCACGCATTAGGTCAGCACTTGGGGGCGCGGGGGCAGTTTCCGGGGAGATGCACTCGGAGTGAAACATTGTCCTTCGGAACGAACGTGCTCGAAATAAAAATCGAGAGGATGACATGGAATGCGGTAGATGAATGAAAGCACGTATGAATATCAGCGTGGTTATAGAAATAACTAGTACGATAGAATCGTTGCTATAATGGCTGCCGATCCGTACTCGGTGGGGTCTACTCCGAAGGAGGGGCAGCGTGGGAGGGCGAGACCGCGTATTGTTCGACCCCGCTGGAGACAAGTCGACGGTTTATTAGACGCGGCCTCTGCCCGGTTTTTAGTCTCATCTTCAAGCTTTCTGCTTTTATTCTATATTCAAATTTATTGCTACCAGCTCACAAGATGTCTCTCGGCAAGAAGGTTACTCTTAACACCGGCCACCAGATTCCGTATGCACTCCAATTGAAATATTGAATATCGAGAGATTAACGCGCACGCAGCCAGCTGGGATTCGGCACCTGGCAGTCTGCCCCCGGCCAGGTCGGCGAAGCCGTATATGAAGCTCTGAAGGCCGGTTACCGCCACCTGGTAGGTATCCATTCTGTACGCTCAAACAGAATTGAGACTAACATGTCCTAGGATCTTGCCACTATGTATGCAGCTTTGGTTTTGCCTTGTCGCTTCAATTGCTACCGAAGCTCGTTTTACTGACCTGAAGCTCGGCTTTTAGCTACCAGAACCAGAAGGAGGTTGCCGCTGGCATCAAGCGCGCCTACCAGGACGTCCCCGGCCTCAAGCGTGAGGACCTCTTCATCGTGAGTACTGCATATCCCATCCCAGACACGAAATTCCGAGTGAATAGATCATTCTGACCATTGTTCGGGTATAGACTTCCAAGTTGTGGAACAGGTATATTACGGAGCCCGGCATCTCTTTTCATAACAAACGATTCTGACTGCCCACAGCCAGCACCGCCCCGAGGCCGTCGAGGCCTCTCTGGATGCCTGCCTTGCTGAGCTGGAGCTGGATTATCTCGATGTATGTGTGGTTTTGCTGCAATCTGAACGAACAGCCACTGACAGACTTAGCTTTACCTTGTCCACTGGCCTGTCGCTTTCCAGAAGGGCGAGTCATACTTCCCCCTTGTCGCCAACAGCACAGTTGAGGGTGGTGACGTGATCATTGATGATGATGTTTCCATCGTTGATACCTGGAAAGGTAAGGAAGCCCATACACAACCTGACAGATACGCGCGTTGACTCTTTCTCTATCAAAAGCCATGACCAAGCTCCCAAAGAGCAAGGCTCGCTCTGTTGGTGTCTCGAACCACACCATTGAGCACGTAAGTGGAGGTTCCGCGTAAGTGGGTATCTCGAAGCAGTACTGACAAGGACTTGAATAGCTTGAGGCCCTCATTAACGGCACTGGTGTCGTACCCGCTGCCAATCAGATCGAGCGCCACCCCGTGCTGCAGAGCAACGACCTGATCGAGTACTGCCAGAAGAAGAACATTCACATTACTGCGTACTCTGTATGTGTCCTACCAGTCAACAATCTGAGGAATTTGAGTGCTAATGTAGTTAGGCCTTTGGCAACAATATGCTCAACATTCCTCTTCTCATTACCCGCCCCGAGGTCAAGGAGGTCGCCGAGGCTGTCGCCAAGCGCACCGGCACTGAGGTCACCCCTGCCCACGTCATGTGAGTTGAATAACCCATTTATGCCATTTGTAATATCATCTGACAGTTTTTTTTTAGTCTTGCCTGGTCCCAGGTCGGTGGCCACAGTGTTATCCCCAAATCGGTCACCCCTTCGCGCATCCGCGATAACTTCAAGGAGATCGAGCTCTTGCCCGAGGAGGTGCAAAAGGTCAGCCTGCTAGGCCAGGACCGCAGACGTTACAACACCCCTTACGCTGCCAACAAGCCCCGCTGGAACATCAATATCTTCGGTGAGCCCGATGAGCAGGCTGCTAGCCACAAGGTGATTGTTTAAAACTAGCGACATCTTATTGACATGTCCAAAATGAATGATGAGAAATGTATATTCAGTCAACTGGGGCTAGGATGTCCATAGAAATTTGAATAGCCTGTGAAGCACAAGCACCTGAAGTCTTCAGGGTAACTTCTTAGCTAATCTTACGCAAACGATTCCAAACTTGTCTGGAATAATTTAATTTTCAAATGCTTTGTACTCGTAAGAATGGATTATTTCCTTGAAAGTTTGGTTGTCGTGCGGCAACATCTAGTCGCCAATAGGATCATCCACTATTGTCACGTCATGGAACCAACAATGCGGGCTCAATATATAGTTATCTCCAGTAAAAGTGAGAAGTTTGACTCTCCAAAAATCACCAGTATTGTCACTGCCGGGTTCTCTGATGCTACTATACTGTCATTTCCAGCACTTGAGTCAGTGGGAGTTGCAGTCTCTCCCGAGTCAAAGCTCTTTGCGTTGTATGCTGCCGCAGCGATTGTGTACGCGGCACTTAATGGTTTTAATTTCATGATCTGTCTGCCCAGTGGCGATGTCAATGGTTAACCAACTCTATTAGCCGTACAGGGATGTTCAATCCCTCCAGATGGAAAACTGCCAGGGTTCATCTAGGTGCCATTATTGGCTGCCCCATAAATAACTCTCCGTAGCATATATAGTAAATTCAAGCTAGATCATGTCCCGGTTATCGATGTATACGACAAAAAATTCATTCGCGAGTCTATCAATACCTAGCTCCGTAGGGTCGGTGGTGGGACAAAATGCTGTAAAGCCTGGGCCGTGATTAGATTGGTACCAAATAGATGGAACTTCCGAGAAGCCAATATGGGTTTCTTTAATGAAATGGAAAGCCATAGATTGAAGCTAGGAAGAAGGAAGAGAAGAAGAAACTACAATCAACTAGTCGAGGAGAACGGACGAGAGCATTAGACTCATTTGGTGGTGCCGAATCAAGCTTAGATCCGAGTCCTTTTTCTAAAAACACTGATCCTCTGTCAGGAATGCTTGCCCCGAATTATCCACAAATATCACACGACTCTGGAACCCAACTGTCTTCCAAACATGCGCCAGATGTATCGAAATATCAAAAATGTTCATCCATCAAAATTTTGAGAGAAAAAAAGAGGGAGGGGTATATAGGCGAACAGAAAAACGGACAAAGACAATCCTCAAGCATCATTCTAACATTATGACATTTATAGATTCGTAGTTCTTTAGAGATTTTCTCAATAATGTCCGAAGTTGCCTGGACGATCACCCATGGACTCTGCCCTCGGTATTAATTGGTCGCTGGTGGGTGCTGAAGACCGGTCCGGCATCAAGCTCATGATATTCTTGCACGGGAGTCACCGTGTGTGGTGCTTCATGGATTGACCTCCCATCTAAGACGGCTGGCGACGGCCCAATTGATTTGCGTTGCACACGTGCGCTGGCCAGTGGTGGAGGCGAGAGAGACGAAGGAGGCGACATATGCGAAACAGATGGGGGGATATCTGAAGCGACGGACTTGTATTGGGAACTAAATGGTTTTTCTGAAGTTACTGCCAGCGAAGGTGAAGAATCTGCGCCGCTACGCCTGCTCTTTCGCTGACGTCGCTGCCATATCATGTACCACAGCAGGAGTAATATAAGCAGGACCGCGACGATGATGCCTACCGCGATACCACCTTTCGCGCCGGCACTAAGTGAGTTGCCCGGTGATCCAGTCGAGCATAAGTATTCACCTTTGAAGACCTCATCCGATTTCAGACTGTCAAACGTGCTGCAAGACATGCAACTGCCCCCTCGAATAATTGTTCGGCCTTTGACCTGGTCCAGGGATGGAAGCGATACACTGCTATCCGTTAGTTGAGCCCCAAACTCGAACACCCACTGTTCGTGACCAACCTCTTGAATGAGCCCGTCAATATTAGTTGCCCCTCAACTTCCTCGAGGCCTTCAAAGTGAACTGTTTTGAGCCGTGAGTTTTTGGCAATTGAGAGCTCCGAAGACACCTTAGACAGCGCATTCATAGTCAGCGCCGTGAGAGAATCGAGTCCGTTCAATGTCAGGGCTCCCTTAACGGTGTCGAGGTCAGGAGCGATCAATTTAGTAAGTCCTGTTACCCCCTCGGCGGTGATCGCTCCATTAACCTCTTCCACGTTGCTGATGGTGATCTCACCAGTAACGGCAGAGGAGATGGTGATACTTCCGTCAAAGGTATCGCAATCGGACAGGTTGTCGGCATCGCTTTGGCTGAAAATAGTTACACTGCTGGAACCTGAGGATATCAGCAAGAATCCCTGCGTGTCAGCAGGGAGTAGCCCTCACAGTTGTCAGAACTCGCAAATACCGACTGCCACAACGTGACCACCAAGATGACTTGAAGCAACATCCCAGTGAAATCGAGAACGAAATCCTCCTACGACTTCAGCGCGGGTAGCCCAGAACCCGGTCTTTTTTATAATCGCGACGGAGGCGGAGTCAATCTTGGCCGGTTAATGCATGTTCCCACTTTGCAGTTGATGCTTTCAGTTGCAGGGGTTAGGAGTGGAATGATTGGCCATGCAGTTCCCTTGATGTTGAACAGCACTGCCATTCGGCTCCACTGCGTGGGGTTCGGACTTGTTTACTGTGTCTTCGTAGACGTTCTGTTAATCCATAGCACTGGTCCACCCCAACTAGGCCCTAGGGTAAAAATTCTGTGTATTTCTTAAATCCGATCCCATTCAGGGCTAGTTTCCGCTGTAGGAGATCCCAAGCCAGATTGTTCTATTTTTTACCGACCTCAAGGAGCGATTTCGGGTTAGATTCAGTAGGCAGCAGGATTGGTCGATCCACGCAGCCATTGTAATTTGGGAATGATCTACGGGTTTAAAAGGGTTTATTCGAATGTTTATGCCTGATTATCATTGTCCGACTTTCTAATCTTCCAAATGCGCTTATCAGCGATCGCTTTCGTTGGAACTTCTTCCCGCTATCTAGTAGGCCTAGTAGACTTCCACCAAGAGCGAATGTCCTTGCGAAGCTGCTAGCTTTACGGAAGAATCTCTTCGGTCGCCTTGAATAAACCCCAGCAATGTTAATGCTATATATCTAGTACCTCATCGAGCGGCCAAGACTGGCGCCAAGCCATACTGAGTCAGCATAATGCGGGGAAGTCCTCTCCGCGTTGCGTAGACGGCGCGAAACGACAGCATCGATCGACTCGCCTCATGAGAGTAGGCAAAGGTTGTGGTCGGTGTCGTCATCGTCATATTCGCTGCGTGATCCCTACGGGGGCCTCTGCCTGCGCCCCGTGTGCGCGCCTGGGCCGAGTGTGCCATCTCGACCCGCGCTTTCAGTTCAAGGCTGTGCACCACATCTATCAGAAGAGCAATGGCTCGTCTGCCCGCTTCGACTTGGTATGGGATGAGCAACAGGTCTGGGTGGATGTTTTACAGCCTGGTACGCTTCACTTTCTATTGTCTTTCCCTGCGTGTTAATGTTGATGATATAGTCACGTTCGTCAACGAGGCCTTCGATGAGTGGGAAGGAGGAGAATTCGTCTCTCAAAGCCACTCCCAGATCGCAGGAAATCCCCCAGATACAATCTTATCGCCCAGTCAGCAACTAGATACGCTGTCAGAAGTCACGACGGGGTTCAAGTCGTCACTCCAACACGTTTCCATCCACCATGGGCTAGAACTGGCTCCAACAAGTAGCCCACTGATGCCCTATCCCGATGAAACGTTGATGTTGTCGCTGCGAGAGGCATCTCTGATGAGAAATTTCATCCAGAAAATTGCACCATGGGTGAGTGATATCAATTCCATTCGTCTAGACTTGGAAAACCTCGCGATCTAAAGGAACCATAGGCGGATATATGTGACCCACAGTCGCACTTTAGCACCGTCGTGCCTCGGCGTGCAATGAAAATACCCATGGTCTTCAAAGCAGTACTGGCACTCGCGGCGCGGCACGACGCCATTTTAAATAAAACAAGCGACTGGGAGGCCTCGTCCTATCACGGGCAGTGCGTAGAGCTGCTTATCACAGCACTCGACCGCCCTGATCACACATATGACGATGACTTGCTGGTGACGGTGGTGATATTGCGCATCTACGAGGAGTTGGAAAACAATACAGATGAAAAGTTTCACCTTCTGGGATCTAATCGTCTCATCAATCTCATGTCTCGCTCTGCCTCGTCGGGCGGGATGGCCGAGGCTGTCAGCTGGCAGTTTTTGCGTCAGGCCATCTACGCGTCCGTGGTACAGTATCAACACTTCCAGCTGGACTTGCGCAATTATGAGCGGTCATCCATGTTTCTACGGGACGACGATGCCGCATTTGCGAACATGATCATATTCCATTGCGCGCATATCATCCAGTTGTGCCGAGACTTTCCCGAGCAGTCAGTCGAGGTAACTGCCTGGCACCGGGTTTCTGAAGCTGTAGACGAGTGGCATGTAAAAAAGCCAATTACCTGGCAGCCCATTCGCTACCAGGCACCCGATCTGGCTGCGAATCGCCCCTTCCCTGAAATGTGGATGATGTCGGCCCCTGCTGGTCTGTATCTCACTCCATCCTCCCCGAGAATGGCTTTGACTGACGACGCTCTTTCAGTGGTGGGAATGCAGTATTACTATGCGGCTCGCATCTTCCTCACACTGACCGATCCACAGTCCCTTCAAATGAATGACTATGCAAGGGCTCGATTCCGGCACCAAGCCGAGGTACGTTGGGGTTGGAAGGTGAACCGCAAGGTTCGATGGCTGACTAGTACTCTGTAGAGAACCATTGCTGCGCACGTTGCGACCGTCATCGGTCTCTCTTTATCGAACGAAAGTGTGCAAAATGCATACTTTATGGCCTGCCACCTCCTTCACCGCTGTTCGTTCGACTCCGATCGCGCTTGGGGCTTTTGCTGACGGATAATTCAGATGGCCACTGTTTGCGAGACCAAGCAGAACAAGAAGGATCGCTGAATTTTCTCGATCGTGTCGAGAATGTGCTGGGTTGGCGAACGGCATGGATCCGGCAAGAGTTGGGGAGGCAGTGGGCCGAAATGGCGGTGGATGTTTAGTATAGGTAATTTATGTGTTCTGACCTGTACCTGTATTGGTACTTGTATGGTAGACCGCAAAAGTAGAACCCATCGGATCCACTGGCCTTCGATCATTGCCAGTCGTCACGACCGGTCACATCCAAATTGGGTTTCGGATTTGAATTCGATCTCCGCGTGAACCACCGGACTTGCACCTGAACTCCATGTATCGTGTCAGCATCGGAGTGGAACCGGGGAGCTGCTTAACGCTACAGAAATGATGATGATTCATCGGTAACCAATTGAGGCCCTGTAGAACCTAGAATGTGGAAGCCCCTGAGCTCTGTACTTCGTGTTGTGTTGTTGGCTTGTGACGATCGCCGCTATCACCGATGACATCAAAGCTCGCGGGTTTTAAGAAACACCCCTCACCTAGGCACTTGCTCCTCTTTCTAGCTTCGACATTCACTATTGTCACTTTGAAAACAATTCCTCTTCCATTATCTTACCATCATGTCTTTGCCTACTTCATACAAAGCAGCCTTGTTCAAGGAGGCGGGAGCCCCACTAGTCATTGAGGACGTGCAGTTGACCAAACCCGCCGCTGGCGAAGTGCTGATCAAGGTCGAGGCTTGTGGTGTCTGCCACTCCGACACAATTCCGCAGGCATACGGGTTGAAAGGCAAATTGTAAGTAGCGAAAGACATTCTCTCGATGACCGACTAACCTCCGTAGCCCGATCATTCCCGGTCATGAAATGATCGGAAACGTCGTCGCATTGGGTGACTCGGTTTCCCAGTGGAAGGTCGGCGATAGAATTGGCGGCCCATGGCATGGAGGCCACGATGGTGTGACCTACTTCAATCGTCGGAAAGAATAAAGCAATGCTAATCAGGTCCAGGTACCTGTCTCTCCTGCCGCAAAGGCCACTTCCAGATGTGTGACCTTGGTATTGTCAACGGCGTCACTAAGAATGGCGGATGTAAGATCGCTTTCCTCGGCCAATATGATTCCCAACTAACCAGGTAGATGCGCAATATTGCATTCTCCGTGCCGAGGCTGGTGTTCGCATCCCGACCCACGTTCGGGCGGCGGAGTATGCTCCCATTCTGTGCGCCGGTGTCACAGTCTTCAACGCGATGCGTCAGATGAACGTGCAGCCGGGCTCCACGGTTGCTATTCAGGGTCTTGGTGGTCTGGGACATCTGGCGATTCAATACGCGAATCGATTCGGATTCCGTGTGGTCGCTATCTCTCGAGACGCGCAAAAGGAGAAGTTTGTGCGGGAGCTGGGGGCCCACGAGTATATCGATACCAGCAAGGAGGACGCGGCCACTGCTCTTCAGAAGCTCGGTGGTGCTTCACTTGTCGTAGCCACTGCGCCGAACCCACAGGTGATTTCGCCACTCTTGAAGGGCCTGGGCCCCCTCGGAAAAATCTTGATTCTTGCCGGTAGGGAATAGCCATTGAAAGCCAAAAAAGCGACGTGATTGACAATTATTCTAGTGGCGGGTGAGGTGCCATTTGACACGCTGACTATGGTGGGTCCAATCTTTCTACTGCTTACGTTGTTGATTCTACCAAGGTCCTTCTAACACCACATGCAGATCACCAAGGGCCTATCGGTTCATGGATGGCCCAGTGGGCACGCGAGGGACTCGGAAGAAGCCATTCAATTCACAGAATTGGAAAACATCAAATGCATGGTCCAGGAGTATCCATTGGAGAAGGCCAACGAGGCATTTGGTAAGTCTCGCCTTCAATTACGTTACGATACCTCACCAAAACGCCCGGCCGCTGATAAATTCACAGATGCCATGATGAAGGGATCAGTCCGATTTCGCGCGGTCATTACGATGGATTAAGACAGCGATGGGCGGGAGAGTACATGAACGATGGCGGCGGGATAACAGATTGTCTGAGGTCAGGATCAACTTTTTTCGTCGTGTAAGGTTTGCATAGCTCAACAAGCCACATGTTCTAGGCAGACAGACACCCAACAGGATCCATTTCCAGAAATTACGAGTGAAACTCAAAGCTAGGTAGTGACTTTGAGGAGCCGAGCAGGTATAGAATGGGGAGCGCGCAATTCTCTGTGATTGGCTCAATCGGCGCCAGATAGGATCTTCGCGGGGAAATGGGGGCACACGAAGCAATGGAAACACCACGTCTGGCGCATGTACTTGCTCTTCGTGGCCAAAGGTCACTTTGCCTGGGCCCTGTATTACACGTGTGTGGACTAGTGTCACTTGAAAGTCACCTAAATGAGCAACTCCCCCAATAAACAAATATAAATAGCTTACACTCCCCGGCCATCTTTTCATTCCCATGTTCCTGGCTCATCAACCTAACACTTATCCTCATTTTCCTGCACGACTTATATACTCAAACCATGGCGGAATCTTGGGAAGTACTTGTTCAGATCAAACAGGCCGATGCCGCGGCTAAGATACCGACCTCGTGGCGTCTGCCTACTGAGTATACCAGCATCTCTGAGACTACCGGACGCAACGTACTTGATGTTCCGCGTCGTTGTGGTCTTTTGACTCCCAACCAACTGGAAATTACTGAAAATTACGATGCCACGTCGCTTTTGGAGAAAATCAGTCACCGGGAACTGTCGGCCTACGAAGTTACTGAGGCATTTTGCATTCGCGCAGCGATCGCACAGCAGGTGGTATGACTTCTCCCTATGACTACTTATGATGACGCATCTTACTGACAGCTATCCACAGACCCGGTGCCTCACAGAGACATTCTTTGATCTCGCCCTTCGGCGAGCGAAAGAGCTGGATCGGCATTTGCAAGAAACTGGTCATCTTGTGGGACCCTTACATGGGTTGCCCATCAGCTTCAAGGTATGCAAGAGCCTCGCAATATCTTTACGCCCACTAACGCTTCCTTTCATTCAGGACTGTTTCAATATTGAGGGAGTTCATACCACCATTGGGTTCACCTCTTTCATCAAGAATGACCCCGTCAAATCTAACTCAGCCCTTGTGGAGATTATCTTGGCTCTTGGCGGAATCCCTTATGTCAAAACAAACATTCCACAGACGATGATGGTACCCATAAACTCTCTGATAATTTTGTCATTATGAATCGCTGACTTTTCAAAGGCGGCAGACTCTCATAATTTTGTCTTTGGAAGAACACTGAACCCCCACCGCTCCAATCTGACGGCAGGGGGAAGTTCGGGGGAGAAGGGGCATTAATTGCCATGCGAGGATCAATCCTAGGTATTGGAACTGATATTGCTGGGTCTATTCGCATTCCAGCCATCTGCAACGGTATCTTTGCTCTGCGTCCCTCAGCAGATCGTGTTCCATATGGCGGCCAGACAAGCTCCGGCCGACGTGGCATGGCCGGGATCAAGGCTTGTGCTGGGCCTTTAGCAACTTCCGTTCGAGACTTAGAGCTCTTCATGTCACTAGTAAGCGATGCTGATCCATGGAAAGTGGATTCGTCGGTGATCTTCTCCCCATGGCGGACTGTCACCTCGAAATCGGCGCTGCGCCTGGGTCTGATCGAGGAAGATCCTCATTTCCCACTACATCCACCAGTCCTTCGCAACTTGGAGCGAGCCACGGAAAAGCTTCAGGCTGCGGGCCACAAAATTATCCCATTAGATACCCCTTCTATCAAGGATGCCTGTGCACTGGCATTTCGCATGTTTGCCATGGACCCGGCCGGTACTGCGTTTCAGCACATTGCTGCCAGCGGAGAACCGACCATACCGGCGCTGGCTTCCACATCTCTTCCCCATGAATATATGCAATATGAATATGCTCCGCTAACCCTTGAGGGACTCTACGATTTAAATGAGCAGCGAATCAAGTTCAAAGAACAGTTCCGTTCACTGATTGTGCAAGCGGATGTTGATGCCATCATCATGCCTGGATACCAGGGAACTGCCCAGCCTCATGATTTATTCGGGTTCGTGCCATACACTATCCTCTGGAATCTCCTTGATGTAAGTGCACCCAAGACACTTTCCACGATGATCCATTACTCATTTCACGCAGTACCCAGCTTCCATCGTGCCATTCGGCAAAGCAAACAAGACTGCCGATGCAGCATTCGTTCGGAATGTGCAGTATAGGCCACCTTGTATGTATAGGTACTGGTCAAAATGTTTGAAAAGTGCAATTGAAGCTAACAATAAACTCTTAATTACCAGACACGCCTGATGAAGTGGAAAGCGTACCTTGCTGTGTGCAATTGGTGGGCAGAAACTTGCGTGAGGAGGAGTTGATGAAAGTCTCTCGAGTTGTTGCGGATGTTCTCGCGGCACGATAGGTAACTCTTCTAGTGTCAGAGCTACGCTTGCACAGCCGCGTCTTCTTATACTCTCATCTTTCCAACATTGAAGTTGCTCTAGTGAGGCAAATTATTAATGTATTATTGGTGCTGTAGTGATCTTTAGGCTTTCATGATGCACACATGGGCAAGGCTAGAATTGCTACTCAGTGGCCGCCATTCACACTCGTATATCCACCTGGAAACAGACCACTGGGGTTACGGATTAGATTAGTCCGGCAGCCTCTGTTTCATATCAATCCATACCTCCCGGGGCCGTTTCTTGGAACAACGCAAGGTTTGCCCTGAATTTTCTCCGCAATTTGGACGTCCATCTGGGAGTTCGGTGTCTGATACCCCGCAAACCCGTTTCTAAACAGGGTTTCGAATCTGCACCCCGCTCATAGAGACTTTCCTGTTGGTGGAACTCAGTTAGATTCAACACTGTACTATTAACAACTTTTCAATCAGTCACTTAGCCGGATGCATTAGTGAGGGGTCATTTTCCCACTATAAGTACTGCAGAATACCCACATCAATGAAATTGAAACCTGAGGTTTTTATGGCGCATACCGAAGAAAGAGAACGCCAGATTTATCTCGCGACATTAAAATGAAGCTATCAATAACTTTATCTGTTTGCTTCTCCATTTTTGTCTCTGGAGACCCTTTTCAGGGAGCCTCCACGATGTTTCTGAAACCGCCCTTCTTTTTATTGGTTGGTGATAGTACCACGGCCACTCAATCATCAAATGGCGGTGGCTGGGGAGACGGCTTTTTAAACACAACTCTTTTTCAAGGAGCAAGAGGCCGGAACTTTGGGCATAATGGAGCTACCACTTTCAGTTTTCGCTCTGATGGAGACTGGTACGATGTTCTCGAGACTATTCAAGAAGTTCGTGAGAACTACTGCCCGTTTGTAACAATTCAATTTGGGCACAATGATCAGAAGTCCTCAGCCAATATCTCCTTGTCGGAATTTGTACAAAATTTGGACAACTTTGTCGCGGAATCTCGTGAAGCTGGTGCCGAACCAATTTTATTAACGCCCTTGTCACGTCGGAACTATAAAGATTCAACAATGGGGCCGAGAATTATCCATGATTTGGCCAACGTTACCGGTGCTGTCATCGAAGCCGCTCACATATCAAAGACTTCTTATATCAACCTCAACAAAGAAAGCACTCGCTACCTAAATGCAATCGGACTGGCGAATGCGTATACGTATGACCTTAATGATGCTGACCACACTCATCTAAACTTGGAGGGTAGTGTGGTATTCGGCAGTATTGTGGCAGAGTTGATCCAAAGAGATTTTCCAGCATTAGAGAACGCAGGTTTCATTCATGTGGATCGGAGGATTTCCAACGACATTAAAGAAGGAACCTACTACTGGCCATAGCATGTTCCGTGATCACTGAAAAATCAGCCAGGGACTGTTTTGATGGTTATAGTTGTGAATAGTGGCCAATTGATTTTGAATCGTCTAAATTTAAATTTCTGAAAGATAAAGTACATCAGGCATCCGCGTCTATCTCATTTTTCGCGAATTCAAAGTCGCAATAACATTTGAGACTGCCAGTCTTTGAAATATATCAGTTGATAAAGGCCACTATTAAGATAAACACACGTTGACACTGGTCGCGAACAAGCGCTCATCACGTCTTTCTCTTGAATGACCGCTATCAGCTCTCGTAGATTTCGTATGCCGCACGATTTATGTAGATTCCCATGAATGGCTTTCCGTAAAATATTATATTTAATATGATGGAGTAGAGACAGATATAAAAAAATTAAATCAATTCGCAGGGGATTACCAAGTGCTTCACATATGCCGCCGCCATCTTGACTTCGACAGTTCTCGATATTGACATATGAGTGATCACGAAGGACTATATAGTATGAAGCAAGTTGCGAGATCAGAGGGATTTGTGCTCTTCATTTTCGTGCTTCTGTAGGAAGAGAGCCTTCATCGATGGATAAGTGCGCACTTCCAACTCCTCTGATAGCACCGAGGTTCCTTCGTCATTGCCCAAACCATAAGAAATAGCATATGGCATGCTGTCTTTAACACGTTTAGTAAACCAAATAGCATGAACCCAGTCAATCCAGACTTCGAATCCGGTGCCCTGGTCGTGAATCATGATCGTTGCCCCTTCTTCCGCCCGGAAGCGATGTTCGAGGCTGATCAATTCTTCCTTGCCCCATGAGCCCCCAACCTTCGCGTTGAATATGATCTGATCTTGCCCTCGTCGGATAGATATGTGAAAGATAGTATCTTTGGAAGCATCGGCTATGGAGATTTGAGTCATGTCAACTCCTCCTCCAGGGCTGACCAAGTCGACAGTTGCTGACTCCAATAAGATAACGCTATCAGGCTTGAGCTGCCGATTGAACGTGAGGGTAGTGTGCAGTGGCAAATTAGCTCGTGGCCGTGCCGGTCTAAGAGATATCAGAATTCGAAATTCTTTGGATCTAGATCTGCGTTTTGAACGTACCGTGGAGCTGGAGGCTGGACCTTGGGCTGTTTGAGCTCTGGGTCCAATGCTCCATCTGCGCCACCCGAGATTGTGGGCTCCTTTTTGAAGTTATCAAAGGTTGGCGGCCGTGCAGGGTTCTCGAAGTACTTCGTGTCGTTACTGCTGCCAATGATCTCCAAATCGAGTTTCTCAACTTCATAGCGAGGCAATTCTTTGCCATTCTGATTTCTCATCAGTTTCGATACTCATGAGCTGTCTACAGATGAGTATTTCTCACCTTAATGACTCTCCAGTAGGCCCGTTTCTGTAGATAGCTGAGGACCTCCTCGCGGGTTAACGACTTAAGCTTGCGACCATCATGTAATAGCTTGTAAAGCACAGGCGTAATAGGGATATAGGCGGTTGATTTGACACGGACTGTCTGGCCGTTCTTACAATTTCCACAGACGGTCGCCCCATCAAGCTCCGGTCTCTGGCTGAAATTGTATACTTCCGCAATTAAATCCGTCACCGGGACTTGAACCCCATCTTCTTGTGCCAAGTACAGCTTAACCCAGAATGGCTGACCTCCCAGTGCATACCTGTTTTGATCATGAGTTTCGTACCTTGAATGATTTGCTCAGGGATTATTGACCCACTTCAAAAACCGGATACTAAATGCAAAATCCGTGATTTGCAGTCCACCATCAATCTGCTCCACCCCATCGGGAGTTGGAACCTTCGGATCCAAGGCCAACTCTCTTGAGACACCATAGAGCTTGTTTATCGCGATATTCAAATCACCCGCGAGCAAATCCTGGTCAAGGGATTCATTTTGATAGTATTTGGCATTCCATCTTTGAATTTCCGGGTATGTGTACCCCAGATTGGGAGTATGCCGCACACCATCTGGGGTCCAGTAGTTACCTTCTGCATCCAGCCGGAAGGGCTGCAGGGGTGTATTGTCGCCAACTGCATGCTCTTTGCCGAAAGAGTCTCGAATAGTGGCGTTATCAGTCGGGATATTGCTGAGCCATTTTTCCGGGTTCAAAGCTTGCCATATAGCAAAAATGCGATCGATATTACTGGAACAGGAACAACATTAGCTTATGAGATAGACATAATATAACTTAACATACCAATGATGCAGGAAGAATAGAGGATCAAATGAAGCAACCGGTACGTTTCCCATATGCCCCTCAGCGCCAGTCCATCCGTGAATGTTGTTGTGTATCTAATCAAACCTTTCGATTAATTCAACTGGGCTGTCCAATCAAATAGAAAGGACTCACGTATTCAATATTCAGGTCTTCATTCACACTTTGGTCCTTTGAGGCGGGATTTGTGCTCGCAAAAGTAGTGTAATCCATGGGCACCGTGAGCAATCGGTAAACCATCTCCGCAGCAGGACCATGATTTTTATCATTGTACCCCATGTGGGAATTGAACGCATCGGCAACCTTGCGGTTGTTGACCACGCCGTGACGCCAACCTTCGCTGGTGGGTTTTTGATCTTCCTCGTCTGGCCATCTGCTAGTACCAATTGCATTGCCAAACTAACGCCCATTAGATAAAGATATCACAGCTGGGTGCATTACGGGGCAAGCATACGTTTTTGTACTCTTCCTGATCGGCGTCATTGGCCCAAGTGTTCTCGATACCAACACCCTCACTCCGCATGGGCTTATCTGTTGGCATGCGGAATTGGAACAAAGGATTGTCAATGCGCTTTCTTCCGCCCTCTGGCTTCGGGACAGTGATGGTTGGATACTTGGCAAGATCAGGAACCCGACCATTTGTCGCCCAATCCCAGAAAGGAAGACGCCACGCGTCAGCCTTTTCCCGCCAAGCGGCTTGCTGGTCCTCTGGAAATTGAGGAATAACTTCCATGATCATGACATCGTATATGGCTTGCTATCAATCAGTCAATGTCGAACTTGAGTTAGAGGCTTGGGGCTTCGGCTAGACCTCGAAGAGAAGAACATAAGGCCTATGCCAAATTGGAAATATGATATGTGCATGGAAACAGTATCCGTTCTTCATGGTTTCAGTACTTGGGTCATCCCAGCGCACGAAGGGTTGGCCATGAATACCTAAGTGCATGTTAACCCCGGTGTAGGAACGTGGGACAAACAGTAAAGCATTACCGGCAATTTGGAAATAGGACAGTCTCTCCTTGGCTAAACAATGAAAATTAGCACATCTACCAACATGCTTGGCGTTGCTAGAGCTTTTATATGAACCGTTATCAAAGGGTAGAATTCAACTTACGATCTAATCTCTGGAGTTTATCCAAGCCCATGATGAAAAGATCGACCTGTCCTTTATTAGATCCCTTGGCGCTCCACTCGTCAATATTTTGACGGATGAAGACTCGTCGGTTGATTCCATCGTTAGAATTCGAATCCTTATCTGGGAAACGGGCCCTGACGGGGTAGTACTCATACGAAGGCTCAGGGACCATCATGTCAGTATTTCGGGCTGGTGCGTGGATTCGTCCGTTGTAATTTTTCCTCAATCGTCTGCCGAAGAGGTGCATTCGCGCGTTGAAATTACAAGAGAAACATTTGCCGGGATTCCCGGTCGAGACGGTGTCTTATATACTTCTTCCTTTCCTGGTCTGGAGCAAGCAGCATCCACGTCAAATCGTTGGCTGAGACAACGGCGGGCGTTTGGAACCTCTGAGAACGTTGCAGGAAACGCCGCGCTATCACACTCGACGCAAGCCTCGTCGGCAGCTCGATTTTTATCATGTCAACTCCATCACTTAAAACATGCCGTGGGGAAATATTTGGCGAGGACCCGTCACTGTGGCCCAGTTCGCAATTGACGAATAGCACCCCAATGCGTCGCCCCGATGTGCCAGGGATATTTGGCCTCGAGGCATTCCAGCCCAACCAACTGAGTCGCTCGGGATTCCCACTTGGGCTGCATCTTGGCTTTCCGCTGGCGCGAACAGGGGTTCATCGTACCAACCACGATTCCCAGCCAGCCACGCATGGTTAGGGGCTACCTGAACCAATCCAGTAATTCATCCAATGTCATTCACAAACACCTGCTGCACAATGTTCTTTTTCGGAGTCAGGCAACCAACGTTTGCTTTTAGCCAGACTTCTTGGTTTTACCCACAGTTTTGGCGGGAGTGCTCGAACACCTGCAGCCACGCTGTGCACTGCTTACGGAAGCGCTGGTTCGAAGCAACAAACCCCGTTTTCAGGATGTTTCCCGTTCGTTATTTACGCTTGCCTGGACTACCAATGCCCAGATGTCCTCTTAACGCTCCCACTGAACGCTCCGTTTGAAAGGACCTCAGTCGTTGAGTTCTCCCGCCTAGCCATGCGGATCTATCTTGCTTTCCTTTCTTATGCTGAGGGTCAAAACTCGGAGGCGCGGTCAGCCGCACCTGCGGTACACTCACGTTTCGTTCTACTTGCCTAGACAAATGCGAGGTCTATGCGTTTCTCAAATCATCACCAATTGTGTTGAATTACAGTTTCGGGCTGCCATCTAGATAGAAAAAGTTCTTCCTATATCCCTTATCGCCCGTTGGATCGGGCATCACAGTGCCAATTATCCCAATGGGCTCTTCACTAGTCGATGCAAGTCGCTTCAAAGTGGCCTGGTTCCCATGGTTTGCAAGAAAACGATGGTTGCTCCCTGTCAATCGTCCAACGATGTAAGCTTGCTCAGGGCTGCCATCCCGGTTAAATTCAACTGTATAGGTCTGTCTCAATGTTAGCAAAGAGAACTTTCCACCGTACCAAGAAGTCCAAAGAATTTATTTTACCTCAACTCTCGCTTCACCTTCTGTCTCTGAGTCTATAGGTGGAATCTCATCAGATGGTCCAGAGTGCAACGTCCCGCTGTCCGGGTAGAGGTTATGATTCTTCCGAGGCTGTGTTGAAATGCAGATCGCATGCTGGTAGGACAAGAACCCCCCGTTGGCCAAAATCAGTCCGGTTTGCCCTGCTCCTCGACGCAAGCAGCGTACCATCTCAGTGAGTGCCTATTATAGGGTTAATCATTGATCACATCTCATGCAATATGGGACACCCGTACATGCATCGAATAGTTATTGCCAGCGCCCCCAAAGGAAGTGAGCCCACCAAGGACTGTAATAGGTTTCTTTGGCTCGGTAATTGAGAGACCCATGTGATGGCAGGCAAGTTTCGGCACAATAGGGAAACAGGAGTAGAAATCATAAATATCTATTTCGCTTCCAGTGAGCCCGCTGGCACTGAGACACCGATCAAGTGACTTCGAAATGGCCGAGCTTTCGAAGAAATTTGGTCGTTCCCAAACTGCTTCAGGTTAACTAGTGTCCGCTGAGAAGTTCGGGATCTCACTTACATAATTCGCGCTCCTTGAACCCAGCGCCTCCAAGAGGATAGATCCATTTCTCACGCGGAATCTGTAGTTCTTTTGCAAATTCAGTCGAGGTCAAGATACAAGCCGCCCCCAAGTTGACAGTGTTGAAGGCGTTCATCAAAAGTGGATCTAGATCAAGCCGTCAGCGGTGTGCCCATGTAATTTTCTCCAAATGACTGACATGGGAAGCATATCATGCGATTCCTTTTGGACACTGTTCCAATTGATTGTAGAGATTCGGTCTCTTTGCCATGATTCCATGAATACGGATTAGAAGCTGCGACTTTGCTGAAATCTGCATAAAGGGCGGTCGACTCGTCATGGTTATCCTTGATCGACTGGCCACGATGAGCCCGGAATCCGTTCTCATACATTGGATAGATATGGATAGGTGCGCCCACGGAATGTAAACCACCAATGTCTTAAATTAACTCTTAGCGACGGGACCCCACCCAACTGGAAATATTCAATCCATACCTTTCCTTAATTCCCTGGTGGTCGGCGAGAAAACACTTTTCACCGACTCTGCTGGTGAGGTCCACCCGGGGGGTGGGATCTTTCCTTCTTTGACGCAGGCGGCCACTGCTTCATTAGTATTCATGTGTGCGGAATGGGAAAGCAAAAGGAGTTTGTCCTTACGAGAGGCTAGGGCTTCCGCTCCTGTTAAGACGGCCACTTTGCTCTCACCAGTCGCGATTCGCCGAGCAGCTTCATCCAAAAGCTTGGCTGGCTGATTCCCCCCGTGTTCGCTGTAGCTTCTATGTTTCGCTTGAACTCCAAGTTTCTCTGAAAGAAGTCCTGGCAGATCCGAGTAGGGCCAAGTCCAAGTGCGAACGACGTCGATACTATCGATACTGGATCGTACAACGTCGGCGAATTGACTTGAAGTGCTTGAATCTTGGATGCATCTCTAAGATTTGACGTGTTAGGGAGACTAGAGTGACAGAAGGGCAAAAGAAACGTTTACTTCAATCGCCTCTAGCATCAGAGTTGCCGGCTCTTTTGCATCCTCAACTGCGGTTGACCGATTTTTGATATCGGCAACGCCAATGATTACCGGTATCATGCTGCGTCGGTGGTATGAGTAATATAAGTCTTATCCAAGGACATGCGAGGTTTTATCACAAATTGGAATGCATATAGGTCCACGGGTACCCTGGTACCTAAGTAGAGGGGGGCATGGGCCTGTGCGCAGTGTGAATAAATGACATGAGGTTGACCCTCGGCCCGAGCAGCGCTTAGAAGGGGATCATATGCCCACCTGGGCAGGTGATAAGTGTGGGCAGGTACCGATGGCTGTCCGTAGACCAAAAAATGAATCAAGAGTCAGAGCTTTGAACAGGACTAGTCATATTGAGACAATCAATATTTAATTGTCGAACATAATATTTAGTGAATTATTTACACAGCCTCGGTCTCGTGCGATGCAGTCTCTACGTCACAGACGCGACGGAACCCATTTCGGTCGCGTTTTGCGGGCAAAAGCCTCCACGCCGATCTTGAAATTCTCCCCTGCGACTAATTTATTCACATACTCCTGTCTCGTTCTTGATGTTGCTTGCTCAACGCTTGGGTTCTCCCATCCTGAAGCAGAACATATAAGTGGGGTTCAAAAAGGGGGCAAAGAGGTTCTTACCTTCTCTCAACCCTTGTCTACTGACGATAATACCGTCTGGAGAAAAGCTAGTGATGCGACCAGCCAGATCCAGGCATTCCTCAACAACGGATGCCGGAGTCTTAGCGACGCGATTGATTAAGCGCCACTCGAGCGCTTCTTGGGCAGATAGTCGTCTTCCAGTCATGGCAAGTTCAGATGCAAGCTGAAGGCCCACGATGCGAATGACTCGAGGAAGACCGCCCGCAGCAGCGTAAAGTCCAACTGCGACTTCGGGCAGCCCAAACTGGGCTTCGGGGGATGCCACTACCATATCACTGCACGGATTAATGCGGTCCAAATCAACAGATCCTTAGAGTTGCATACCAATTGAGGCAAATTTCAAACCCGCCCCCAAGAGCGAATCCATTTACAGCCGCGAGAACGGGCTTCTGTAGATAGAAGCAATGAAGTTAGTCAAAATGTGTGGAGAACGTAGGAGCAGATCTATCGGACAGCCGCACCTTTCCTCTGCGCTGGCTCAGCCCCATGAATCCGGACGGCGGATGGTTCATAACGGCCATCTGCTCCGCCGTCTTAGGTCCGCGACGAGATGCATTCTGTTCCGCCAGATCCTGTCCAGCGCAGAATGCCTTCTCTCCGGCGCCGGTGACAACGGCAACAAGTAGCGTCGGTTCCTCGTCAAACCACGTGAAGAGATTGTGCCCGTCCCAATGAGCATCGGACGGTAACGAATTCCGCTGCTGCTCCCGGTTTATGGTGACCAAAATGACTCCGGGTTGGGGGAAAGACAATTGGAAATATTTTGACACCGGGGGCTGGGAATGTAGAGAGTCTGCCATCTTCGCTTTGTATCTTGGACCGTAATGGTGGTTGTAATAAAACGGGAAACTAAAGGGTCTTTAAGCAGGACTTTATAGCCTGAATTAAAAGATAACCTGTTCTTTCAGCACGAGACTGTGAAGGGTGTTGGTTTATATGCAGATCAACGCAGCATCCGGATGAGGGGGCCCGAATGTACCTCGGTCGGTTAGATGCTACGCGAACAACCATTAACGAGGTCACGGTTAACCCGTGTTAGCCTCATATCCTAGCAGTCTAGGAGCAAATCATTCACGAATGTTTCAGGGATGGAAACATGATCGTTTTAAATTCAAATGTTAGTGGCCACAACGTATTCACGTCTGTAGCTGACAGATGACCGGAAGATTCAAGGAGACTTGGACAAGGAAGAAATAGCACTTCAGAGTGATTGTGGATGTCAAAGATGAATTGGTCACAGATTGGCCACCTACTAGCCAGCATTATCTCACATTTCATATAAATCTACCTGGTATATTTGGATAAATGAAAGAGGAGGAAGAGAGCACTGTATGAAGCTGTTCCACCGTAGTCCCACACATCCTGTAACTACTATTATAGATATGCCTTCGCGGGGACTTAACCCAGTCATAAGGCATGAACACATACGAAAATTCCTATGTCACAATTGATCTACTGAATATATGACTAACGAGAATTCGCGATTTTCGAGCCAGATGAGTTTGCTTCGACTCGGTCGGGAAAGGGAATCACTGGGTGGGAGAGGTCGAATTTATTGATTTTGAGCCTACCTTCGCTTCGCAATGTTATTCTCACGCTTTTGAGAGACAAGGGCTAGTAATACCTGTCACCGCGGCCACTGGGAAAGCCCTGGGTCAGGGCAAGGACACGAAGACACAATATCTTCGTCTGACAAATGCGGGGTGGCGAGGATAGCGTTCTTATCGTTGCGGGGATCCCGTTTTTTCCAACCTTCAACGTCCAGGCGAATTTCCAGCACTATACCCTACACCCTATACACCCTCCACCGGTCTCGAGAATCGACTTCAGCTCGACTCTATACCCGCCGATGGGCCCTCGTCACGAGGCCATGTGAGCATCGTCTTTTGCATGCCGCGCAGAAAAGCCGCCGACCGCACGGGTCCGGTGAAAACCCGGTCTCGCAGCGGATGTCGAGAATGTCGAGCGAGTCGAGTGCGATGTGATACCAAGAAGCCCGTGTGCACGAGATGCTGGGAGAAAGGGCTGCCATGTTCCACCAATCTCGTCCTGAAATGGGAGTCCGAATTTGTTAGTCGGGGTATGGCCTTTGGTCGTGCCGGTGTCTGGAGTAAATTCCGAGACGCAACCTCATCGGCTTCGGAATTATCAGACACGCGCAATTGGGTGTCATTGCCGGCCATTCGGCCATGGGGGTTTGTCAACACTGGAGTCGCTACATTTGAGCACCCGGAGCAAGCGGACATTGTGCTAAATGAAATGCATGCTCTCGCCCCTTTTACGCCCAGCAATAGCACTTGGTCGGCTGGTGATTTGGCTATTTTCCACTCAAGTCTGGGACCATCCATCTCTCTTTTCCCGGAGCTCTCTCATCTCGGAAATGGAGAACTATTTGATTATTATCTCCAGCAGGTGTGTCCTCGTACGACGGCAAGCTCTACCGAGTCATCGCCATTCGCGTCGGTAATATTGCCCTTCAGCACATCCGCCTCCTCCACACTCTTCAAGGCCATTCAAGCCTTGGGTGCATGCCATCGATCACGAGCCGATCCTTCCTACGGTCCGCTTGGGCTTCGCTTAAAATCTGAGACTTTGCGCGATCTTCGCCGTCGACTCGCCAACGAGGGTTCCTTGAATTGCGCCGGTGATCCCGAAGTCCTGGTTATCATGATGATGCTCTGCCTTTATGAGATTGTAGATAAATGCGATCAGCATTGGACAATCCATCTCAAAGGTGCCAAGGATCTGATTCGTCTTCGAAGGCAACAAGCAGCAGCCCTCACTAAATCCGCCGATGCACCAGACCCTGCAACCGCCTTCGCAGAGCACTTCTTTGCCTTCCAGGACGTCATGGGTCGCACTGCTTGCGCCAAGGAGGTCTTATTCGGCAGTGACTACTGGAAAGCCGATGATAAAAATATCGACTTATGGATGGGTTGCAGTCCGGAATTGGTCAATATCTTGTCTACGATTACTGATATGAGCCGGACAAGACGACAGCTTGATTCAAGCGGGACCCAAGCTACATTTTCTATGCGTGCTGCTTCTCTTGAAAGCCAACTCGAGCACTTGGTCCAGGAAGTTGGAGATGGTGACGACGAGATCTTGGCATCTGCAGCAGAGGCTAAGCGACTGGCAGCTTTACTTTACCTGCATTGCGGGCTATACGGGGCGTGCCCTACCACTCCTCTAGTAGTGGATTACGTTCACCAGATTCTTCGCCTTGTCTCGGATCTGCTGGATCGTGAAGCCCTGCCCAGTATGACCTGGCCCGTCTTCGTGGCGGCCGTAGAGCTGGACCCCTCGCAAGATGAGCTCTGGTCAGATCCTCACTGTGGATCGGCATCTGGGCGGGCAACCGTCCTGCGAGCCCTGGCTGCGATGTCTGAATCCACCATCGCCAACATCGCCCGAACGCGGGCCGTGATTGCTTCAGTATGGCAGGCGCGCGACCAGGACCTCGTGAAAGGTCCAATACAAGGCGAGTTCAACGACTGGGAAAAGTACGTTGTGCCGATCAGCGATGCCATGAGCCTAGCGTAAATTTTGTATAACTAGCGATTCTATAATTGTACAGTACTCTCTACGTCCCTGCCTAATTAATAACCAAATACTCCAGTGATGACGGTTAACAACAAGCAAGTTCCCCAAGGTTCAGGTCGTCTATAATTTTGAGCCATGAGTATCTTATCCAAAGAAAGGTGCAAGCTCGTGTACAGAAGCGAACGTGGTGTGAAAAGGAACCAAAAGAGAGAGCTCGCACAATGTTGCAAGGAGCGTGGGGTCGACCCAACTCGAAGACGATAGCCTATCCATTCGTATCTCGAAGAGACAGTGCGGGGCGATCCGTTTCGGGTTTAGCGCCTTGTAGCGGCCATTGCGCTTCATCGTGAACGAACGTCTGGTTAACAATGTCTACTTTCTTCTAGCCATTCTATCGGACAATGGCGCAGGTCCGGCCCTCGGCGCCTGGGCGTAGCTCATCCGCCCATTTGTTTGAGAGCAAGCTCAGCCAACAACTATCCCAACCAGAAACCGCCCACCCGGAGCATACGCGCTCACCCAAATCGCGCTCTCTGTCCGATGCGTCGAAACCTACGACGCCCCAGCCGTCGACAGGGGATTTGAATCGACCGCCCAGCAAAGACGATAGTGCACTTCCTTCGTTGCCGGCAACACCGAATCGATCGTCAAGCCAGGCGAACCTATCTCTAAACCTCTCCAACGCGCCTTCTCCTTCGCTCGCCAACCGCGGACCTCTGTCACCAAAACTCGATTCATCTCATATATATGGGTCGCCGGGATCAGTCCTGCCTCGGCGCTCACGAGGTCTTGACTTCTCGCGCGCTTGCACCAACCTTCATCACTCTACACTTGCAGAGTCCTCGCCGGACTCATCCCCGACCGTTGGAGGACGCGGCATGACCATTCCTCAAAGGCGTGGATCACAAGGCTCTACCTCAATTCCACCGTTTTCCACCTCCGCCTCCGGTCCCGCCGACCGCACGGCCATCTCCAGTTCAGTGTCGAGCGTGAACATGATGGAATCGGATACCAGCAGCAGTGACGATGATGACGAAGTCATGATGGGCGACCGTGACGATCCCATGCTTACCACGCCGCAGGCGGCGCGGATGGGCAGTGGCCCGAGTGCTTTCGCGACGGGTAATATCCAAAGTCCTGGAAATGAGTGGATGGGCGGCTACTCACAAGCAGCAGCCAGCCTCATGAGCTTTCAGCGAGCTCGCTTCCGCAAAGGACGTAGTCGGCACAGTTCAAGCAGTGCCAGTGGGAACAGCTCCAAACCCAGCCCCGGCCCCCCCTCATTCTCCTCCGATCTTGAAAAGCGTGGAAAACTCCACGGGAGGCTATTTCGGCCCACGGCAAACAGCCCATTCACGACGGGAGAGTCTGAGTTTGGGCACGCGTGATCTTCGATTATCGGACTTAAGTGACGATGGGGAGGGTCGTGCCGTTCGAGCAGGAAGTCCAACTGCAGCGTCCCATTTAGATGGCGGACCACTGGGAGTGATTCGTCGCGCTGTCACTCGGCGAGGAAGCCTACTAGTAAGTGTTCTTGGTAGTGACATATATTCAAATTCACCGTCTTACCACTGCAATAGCCCAAAACCAAGACGTTTGCTCGTATTCGAGCAGCTCTCATGGAAGAAAGCGCGCCTATCGACAGTGATATGAAACGGGAGGCAGAGGTCATTCAGCAGGTTCGCGACACCGAGCCCGAGACCTCACCTACACTCAGTGATTTCCCATCCCTCCATCCTCCTCCGGATGAGGCAGCGCCGGACGCCGATCCTATACACGCAAAGGCTCGTGAATCTTCCAGTAGCTTCAGCAAGCAGGCGAGCCGCAACTCTGGCGGCGTCGAATTTTGGAACTCGTTTGATGAGCGCTACCGCACTCCACCACCACCGCCTTTGCGCCAAACAGGCACGTCCATGGCGGATGATGATATGTTTATGGACATAACTCCGTCAACAACTATCGGGTCCACGGCCGACTCAAAAGCGCGCTCCCGCTCTTCGACACCCCATCCTCCCGGAATGGTCATTGGTGAAATCCGGCGCAAGAGACGTCGGGACGACGACTTCGATCCCAACCTCTTCAAGCGCCGGGCCGTTTCTCCCAGTGTGAGTGCCCAGAGCAGCCCGGTTCTGACCCATTCCTCCGTCGTCGATAACGGGCCTAGTATCTGGGGGCCATCATTCAAGCTTGGTGCACCCTTCTCCGAACGTCCTAGCACAAGCTCTGATAATGGACATGGAGGCAGTAACAATAATAATAATCGGACCACACCTCACGCGGGTGGCACCAAGCGTGTGGGTCTACAAGGCATGACCGAGGCCAGTGATGGCTTTATGAACATGAGCATTGAGTAACTTAAAAAAGACTCGATATGATGCATTCCGGTGGATTTGGTGCACTCGAGCATATTGTCGGGATGACGTGTTTTGTTTTTTTTTTCCTTGTTATATTGGCATGGCGCTGGGGGAACCTTCATACCTGATACACACTTCTTTTCAAGCGACGAGATACCTTATATTATTGCAACCCCCTTATATGAATATTAGGAATCCAATTTGGTATTCGTATTGAAGATTGAAGAGTAGAGTTGCCGCCTTAAACCACGTGTGGATCGCTCTCCGCCCGCACTCGAGCTCCCCTTCTCCTACACCACAGCTTGACTTCCCCTCTACCTTGTGCTGCACACCTCCCTTGCTATGTCTTCCATTATTGAGCTCGCGTCTGCCTTTATCGAGGGAGCTCCTCCCGGCGAGGTATGCCAATGTTTGGGAACTCCCCCCAGATTACCCCTCCGCGACCCTGAAGATACACGCTGACCTTGGACCCGATTGCAATAGCTCGCCGATGTTGTTGCCGGTAATATACCTTCTCGCCGACCCTAGCCCCATGTCGTTAGATTGCGCACACCACCATCATTCCCCGATCCCAATATTGATACTGAGTTCCCGGCTACAGATGTCCAGACCCTGACCGAGGGCGACAACATTCTCTCTTCCCTCACCCCCGCATTCGAGCGCTACAATGAAAGCCAGCTCACCACTGTGAAGCTGCCCGGATCAAGCCAAGAGGTAGTTCCAGCAATCGGATGCCCATTCTTCCGCTCCCTCGGACGCTGACATCGGCTTGCTACAAGGTTATTGTGAGTGAATTCAACAAGCTGGAGGGCAATCGCTATTTCGACTCGGAAAGCCAGACCTCGTTCGAGATCGACCACATCACACAGGTAAGGCGAGAGTAACCAGATTCGAATTACAATGTTGGAAACTGACCGCTTGGGATTCAAAGACCGCCTCTGGAGCGCAATCAGCGCCGTTGGAATCCCAGAATGCCGATCTGATGTAAGAGAACGAACCTCATGTGGGACTTCTCGAAGAATCACTGACCCTGCAATCTAGTAAATCGCTTCTGAAGTCGCTGGCCATCCACGCCCGTGAACATTACCCCAGCTGCTCCTACGGTGTCTACCCTGTCGAGAATGACTCTGCCGTCGCTATTCTCCTGGTTGCGAACCGATACTCCCCTAACAACTTCTGGTATGTAGATTTAGCCTTGAGGAGCATCTGAGATAGACTGACCATCGCTATTACAGGAATGGCCGATTCCGATCCATTTACACAGTCCCCGTCTCCTCTTCGTCCGCAACCTTGACCGGCAAGATCTACGTTGACGTGCACTACTATGAAGATGGAAATGTGGCTCTCAACACCAACAAGCCCGTCAATGTTTCGGTCCCTTCAGTGTCCGCCGAATCGATTATGTCCCGCATCGCTACGGTCGAGCGCGACTACCAGGAGGAGCTGAACAAAGCATTCGTTCAAATGTCAGAGGGTGCATTCAAGGGACTCCGGAGACAACTCCCCATTACGCGACAGAAGGTCGAGTGGGAGAAGATCGGAGGATACCGTCTGGGCCAGAACATCCAAGGGAAATAAAGCAGAGTCGAGTGAGAGCGACATCACGCGGGAGGAATTATGAGCGTTGGATCCATATATCCCTACTATACTGCAACTTCGATTACTTGCACATTTACTTCTTTCAAATGCTGTTCAACGTTGTACTTAGCCTTCTCAAGTCCCTGGCGTATGCAGGCGCAACCTCCAACCTCCCAGTCCAGTCCACACGACAACACATTGCTATCGAAGCGTAGATTGGAATCAATACTCCGCCTGTTCATGTGAACAGCGCTGTATTTCCAACGAGGATCGACGCTATGGTGCGCTACAAACGGGCTTAATAAGCAGTGTTTTCAATCTAGCGGCACAACCCGATGTCAACTCACAATTCTCTCCACCCCCACGCCCCAGGACCCGAAGACCACAGATTCACGATGATTGCACACTTCAATCGCTTTGTCAATAACGGTGCCGGCCTGGAGAAGACCCTCCGCCTGATCCAGTCCGTGGCGCAGATCGCCGCGGTCTTCAGTATCGGTAGCACCGCCGTGCGATTGACGACCGCCAAGTTGCAATTGGCCCTGAGTGAGTGATCAATGGCCCCTGAAATGGTGTAGTGTTGGCCGACGTATTCCATTGATGCTGATACTGCTATAGCGCGGAGGTTTTTCCGCTTCTTTGGCTTCATCGAGTCATTTCAGCGCGTATCCGCGCTGCTTAGCAAGGAAGGAATGGGTTCTGTGCCGGGCTGGATTGATCTGGCCAAGTGGACTTGTTTCGGTCTATACTTTGTGCTGGAAGATTTGACTATTGTACGTCTTTCTCGATATGGTTGTAACGGTGCTAACACGGAAGTAGTTGCATGCCATGGGCGTCTATATTGTGCCCTGGGAGGAACGAGTCATGCGCGAGGCGAATCAATTCTGGTTCTACGCTCTGTCTCTCTCTCTCCTTGGCGCTGTTTACGCACTTCTCTCCCCTTCTCCGGCGTCTACGTCGCAGGAAAAGAAAGGTCGGAAGAACGAAAAAGCTGCTGCGGCCACAGTCAGTACTTCGGCTTTGGCGAAACAGATTGTGGTAGAAAGCTGTGATCTATTGATTCCCGCGGAACTACTGGGATGGTATCCCACCGGCGACTTGATTTTGGGTGTGACTATGGTACTGAGCACGCTAATCACTGGTCAGGGCATCTGGTCGCGTGTCTAAGTTGACCTGGGGTCAGGATAGAATGAACATGGTAGACGCCCGAATGGTGCGTTGTTGGCCTTCCGAATAGAGATATAAAATGACGGGAAACCATAAGCTAAACCGACATATAACATACATCAACAAAAAACATTGAATAGAACCGCCTGGTTTATTTCAGAGTCTCTAAACCAAATAAATAAGCTGAAAGACCCAACGGACCCAAGGCTCTACTGTTCACCCACATGTAGCCCTGGGAGCTGCTGGGATGCATTACGGGATAGTTAACGTAAAGTTTCAAAGTGTGATGTCTACCTCCTAGAAGGTTTACTTTGTGCATGCTTACATTGGGACACTTTTGCCTCAGCCAAGAGGGTTGGCCAAATGATTATTCGACCTCTGGAGTTGACCGTGGTACAACTAGTTGTTACAAGCATGGAGTTGAGATTGACACGGAGAGCTAAATGTAGTGTTGTTGATCGTTTCCGGAAAGAAGCAATTCTTCACCGCCGCATGTTTGGCCGAGTGCTTGTAGGTAAACACTTAAATTATCTAGCATGTCCGAAATCTTCGGAGATACAATTATGTCTTTTCCCGAGCGAAGTTCACCTTCGAATCGATCAAAGCTATGAGATCTATATCAGCAGGCAAACAGGTCATTTGAGCATGTTCACTTTATAAACCTTGAAATGCCTTTCTAATTAAAATTCTCCAAACTAATCCAAGTTGCTTTTTCTGCAGGGCAAAAATATTTTCATCCTGAGCACACATGGAAGAGAACAAAAAAATGGACTCGCGGGGAATCGAACCCCGGACCACTCCCATGCTAAGGGAGTATTATACCACTAAACCACAAGCCCAGTTCATATTATCGATTTTCATTTTGTGATTAATTAATGAAAAACAAAAAATCCCGTCAGTATACGCGGATGATTCGAGCGCTTCCCCTGCAACTTTTTTCGAGAAGGTCCGATTCCTCCTGACGGTAATGAATGTCGGCCGCAAGTTCAGTAAGGTTATTTTCTCTGCAGAGAATGCCAAGTCAAGGTGAGCAGGTTTCTCCGTTTTCTGACGGTGCTGACCTTCAAACAGTGCGAGACCGAACCCTCGTGTCGGAACTGCACGGCATACAGTAAGAACACCCAGGATACCGCAATGCTGTTCCGCTGATACTCTGCAATGAGAATGAGATCGAGAAGCGGATCGCCAGAAGAGATCAAAGCAAGTCCAAGAAGACCGATCCGACTGAGAAACAGCTCGTTAGGTGAACCTCCAAGCTCCAATAATCTGTCCAATTCTTGATTCCTGCTCGATGCATCCTGGAAAAGTCATCCCTCGATCGCGTAGTCACAAATCGCTTGGGTATCTCTGTAAAGGTTGATCTGATCTCGGGATTCTCCATTAAATAGAGTCATGGAAGACGCGAAAAGAAAAGAGACAAAATGCCTCAAGAGATAGATCTACAAGGCCGTATCTTCATTAAAGAGAGAGAGAGAGAGAGGGAGGATAGTACTTGTTTGTTTAGGCTGAAACTCAATGAAGATGTACGTGAACGTAATCTGAATTTGATTACAAACTTCAAAGTGCTCTATTGTTTTCATCCAGACTCTCCTACCATTCTCATTTAAAATCCACCGCTTCCAGAACTGCAGCTCAGCAGCTCTGCCCAGCAACCGTGATGGCTCGCAACAAGCTGCGTATCCTGCTCTCATTCTACTCACTTCCGAAACATCACACGATTCACACTGCCCTCCTCATCACGAACAAGATTAAGAATGGAGCGAAGAGAGGAACAATCTCAGCCAGAAAGTGGCACGTGAAGAATACCATCCAGCTCATAAATCATGTCCCCGCGAGACCTTGGCGTCGCGAGAGAGAAATTATTCCCGACATCGACAATGACCTCCGCCTACTAGCCTGTGCAGTGATCGCCAAAGTCTACGACATCGACGAAGTGGAGAGACTCATAAACTCCGTGCCTGTCTATCAACCCGAGGACGTCGACCAGGATATGGCGTGCGTGTTCGACTCCAACATCTGGGCAAAGGAAGCAATGAAAGAGTTGAGATGGGAGAATGTTGTGAAGGCGACCCTCGTTACTAAGGCGGAGGAAAAGTTGAACCTTTATATTGCCAATCACCCAGCAAGATGGAACGTCCAGAGTGGAACTGACGTGCAGGGCGAGCCCCCGATCGTTCCGATCATCGACATGTTTACGGGGAAGATGCTGCGAGAGTGAAACGATGTATTGAGTTGGGCATAGCCCCAAGCTTGTCAATGGAAATACGAGCAAGGCTGAGCCTTTTGCCACAAGAATCAAGTCGACCTTATTCTAGATCGGGGATAGGTGGGTATCTGCCTGACCACACTGCGTATTTGATTGCACCGATGATCACGGCCCGTTCCTTGGGTCTGTGTCCTAGTCGGGAAATTTCGTATCCGGGCTACGGCTGACCTTAACGTATGGCGATGGCCTAAACTATATAAACCGGCTTCGATATTCCTTCAAATCCATGCATAAGAAGACCAACCTATCATGCCTATTACTCTTCATCCAGTACAACCGGACTTCAAGGAGACTCAGACTTCACTGTCTTCCGCTAGCTCCAGCACTTTGTGCCCCTTCACCGACAGTCCATCGTCTTTCTATGCATCTCGAACCCTTAAAGTCAATGCACTGGGCATCAGAGCATTACGGCTGCCCATTCCATCCCGTCAAAGAGAAATAGTTGTCTCTGATGACGACAGCGAGGTCTATGTTTCCACTAGAAACAAACGCTGGTCCGGCAATTGCATCTTGTCTTCTTCCAAGACAGGCAGCCTCATCCAAACTGACTATTCCTTTGGCCCAAATCCTACCATTTTACGACTTCTGCAGAGCCCGGGAGTCATCTCCGAGGAAACCAAAGTGACAGGCCGATGGACCTCCCGCTCAACGAGCTTTATTTTCAGGGACAGAGACTTTGAATGGAAGTATGTCAAAGAGAAACGCTCAGATAGCAAGGAGGCCCATCTGCTCATCTTGCAAATGGTCAACAAGAAAGATGATCATTGTCGAATCGCTCAGCTTGTCCGTGATAAAGCAACTCGCACGCCCGGTACCAGCAAATGTCGAGCGGGGAACGGCGGGGAATTGCAGATCGATGATGCGGCTTTAGTTGAGTGCGAGCTGGAAGAGTCTATCGTCGTGGCAACATGTCTGGTAATGCTAAAGCGAGAAGTTGACCGGCGTAGAATAGTTCAGTGTGCGGTGATTGCCGGAGCGGTTGGTGCCTGCTCCTGATGTGATGGGGTTTCGGTGCTTAGTCGGTGTTTGAATTGATCAAGGTAATTTGTTGATATGAAAGTAGCGTGTATTATTGCCTAATCGCTTTGTCATTTTAATTCGAGAATCCAATACTGTCATGATGTTCACTGAAGTTCTACTGCCCGCTTTCTTGTCTTCTCCCACTTCTCCACCGCCTGCATTTCTTCGATTCAACATCATCAATGACTGGCCAGCTCGGCGAAATCTCGAAAGAAGCGGACTGGATCAAAGCTGAGATGTCTGACAAAAATACGGAGATGACGAAGAAGCAACAGGAACCGAGAAAATTGTTTGTTATGCTGATCCAGTCCGATACAGAGCTACGTGACAAGGAAATGGTGCGGAAGCTAAAGAAACTGGGCGAGGGTTTTGTGATGATGGTCAGTCTGGTTACAGACACTATTTGGTTGTCATTGATGTTGTCATTGAAATTACGAGATCGTGTTCAGGTTCGATAGTCTCCTTCGTTTCTTCGCAATGGAATCTATACTTCTCTATTTTTTATTTTTTTCGGATCTTGTGCTCTATGGAATACGCGGGAGGGCCGGCCCGTCCTGCGTCCTGCGTCCATTGCGTTCCCTTGGCCCTTAAAATTTCCACTCAACTTGTGATTCAACCCTGTAAGTTATTGTCCCTCACTTGCGCTCGTTTAATAATTCGGCGATGTGTCCATTTAGCCAATAACCCTCCAGTGCCTCCAAAGGCATCGTCTTGGCGCCCGAGATCCAGCCTTTGCACTCCTGGGCCCCACAAGTGCATGTGAATGCCTGATCCATATCCCACTCCGTACTGGGATAGAAGAAAGTGAGGGCATCGCCCTTCTTCAGCGGCTTTTCATCGACCACGCGCACTTCCATGCGGGCCATGTCAAAAACCACGCTCGGCGCGCATGAATGGTTGCAGTAAACCACTGGGAACCGCGTCAGTCAGCGAATTGCGTCAATTGCGACTGGAGTCTTGCCAAGGGCTTACAGTCAGAGTTCAGCTCGATGTGTGAGTCGGGTCCCGTCTGGACACTGGTATAGGCCTTCTTGCCGGGCGTGATGCCCGTGATCTTGGCAAAAAGCGCACCGGCCGGCAGATCAACGAGGGATTCGGCACCGCTGCTAAAGGCTTTGGCGTTGCGGTTTACGTGGAGACGGTCGGGATGAGTCGGAGCGGGGACCTCGCTGCGGAGCGCAGGGACGGCGGGGATGGGATCGAAGGAGGGCGACATGGTGATAGAATTGGTGAAATGGATTCAAAAGCTGAATAGGACAGTATGTGGGCAGGTCAATTGGCTTATAAACTAGAGGGTTCCTTTCAACCGAGGGAAGGGGGAGCGGCCAAGAAACTCTGCTGTTCTCCTCGGATTGCAACAGGGCCGAGGCGAAATTGGGCCGTATGACGCCAGTCCGCGGAGAGAGAGCCTAAAGCGACTAACCCCAGGTACTAACGTATTAAACTCCATCGTGGAGATGACACCAGGAAACTTCTAGCGGGCGATCGACCTGGTCGGTGCACTACCGGGGCGCGCAACCACAGAAACGTCTTTCGGTGAATCCACTTTTAGCCCAGCCCGGCTACAAATGGAAAGATTTCCGGTTTTGCATGTGGGAGACTGACGGTTCCTAATATTCAAAGTGAAAATCCAGGAGGGGGCACGATGATCAATATCAATTGCATTTTATAAGGTGTTGATAACATGTGAAAATGGCTTGGTTAGTTCATCTCGCGTAGCAACTCTTTCCCGTTCAACCACCTCTCCAGATTCTCGGCAACCTCTTCATACCATCCATGGAGCAAATCTTCTTCTCCATAGCCCATGTGTGGTGATAAAATTACCTCCGAGCGTCCATCCTGGCCCCAAGCAGTGGTTCTCCAGGGACTATCCAATGGCAACGGCTCCGGATCGAACACGTCTAACGCGGCGCCCCTTATTCCGCCTGCCTTCAAGGATTCCAGTAAATCCGCTTCATCTATAAGAGGTCCACGTGATGTGTTGACAATGATGGCCCGCTTCTTCATAGCGTCCAGTTCCGGTTTAGCAACAATCCCCCGAGTACGTTCAGAGAGAACGTTATGCACGCTAACCACGTCTGCGGTCGCAAAGAAAGCAGACTTGGAAGGAGAAACGACGAAGGTTCCAGCAGGCAAGCCATGAGCTAGAGCTTGCTCGTCCGCTTTTTCTTGTGTCAGATTAGTCGACCAGGCGATTACCTCCATTCCAAAGGCTTCAATAGCAATCTTGGCCGTTTGCGCGCTATTAGGCGGTTAGCTTAACAAGAGTACATGGACGCTCTACTAGAACTTTATTACCCTAATTTGCCAAGTCCTAAAACCCCTAGAGACTTGCCGCTAAGATTGAACCCAAGAGATCCCTGCCAGCGACCTTGCTTCACGGCGGCATCGTCTCTTGCAATGTGCCGTGCCAACCCCAATATCAGAGCCCAGGTATGCTGCACAGTCGAATTCACGCCCGGGGGGCGGCCCTCAGTGCCAGCAACGGGAATCCCTCGCTCGGAAAATGAAGCGAGATCTAGTGCCAGGTTTCTTGTCCCGGTGGTCAAGAGTAGTTTCAGGTTTGGGAGAGCTGTAACGGTCTGCATGAGTCAGCAAACCGAAACCGCAATGCAATTGTGGGTAATCGCAAAGGGAAACTCACTGATGCGAAAAAGGGCGTGCGCTCACGCATGGCTAGTACCACGTCGAATGGCAGGAGTCTCTGGATGAGTGCATCTTGCTGTATGGGGTCGCGGGGATCGAGGGTCTCGGGAAAGGAATGAATCTCGATGCGTGGCTCTAAGTGGGTAAAATGTGAGAGTCCAATGTTCTGATAGTCGTCCAGGATGGCGAATTTGGGCTTCGACATAGTGATAGAGAAGTGTTCTCGATGGAGAAGATTCAAAAGTTCATTTGCGACAGAGCTTCATCCAAGTACAGCGTCGCGGGGGGTTCGGCTGTTCTTTTTGCCGTAAGTGGGGTTTTGGAGGAAGTAGTTACGAGGTAAACACCCATGACGTAAGTCATTAGACCGGAGGCATTGAAAGGCCATCGAAATATTTCTCACGAGTGCAAAGTGCTATTGGGCTTGATGAATTTGAAAGAACAATTGACGTGTCTTCACGAGGTCTTGTATTTACCACAGAAATATCGCGATGCCGCATAAAACGTACGCTGGATGCTCGGCAGATATCAGCAGGAAGTCTGATACCCTGGCTGGAATTGTGACAAGTGGGTTGAAGAGTACTGGTAAAGGCATACTTATGATGCATTGGATCTCGAGATCCATTCGAGTGGATGGGACGAGAGATGAAATCGGGGCGTACACTGAAGTTTCCGTCTCGAGAACACGACAGAAGAGTTCGAGAGCAAATTGGAGAGACCCTGTGGAAAGCGGTCGAAAGATATTATCGCGGGAAGAAGAGATCTTGAGACGCGACTGGGAAGGTGCAAGACAAGAGTATGAATACTGAAGGAATAAGATGCAGAACCCCGAAACTTGACAGATATTTGCAAAAAAAGACATGAAATTTAGATTATTGAGTAACCGGATCCCTAATCATAATCGTGAAAGACTCCTGTCCCTTTCCTCCGAACTGTGTCCGGTCCAGGATGAACTCATCAACTGGGTGGAACCCTGCCTTAAGATAAAGCGGCTGTCCCTCCCCAGTAGCCTCCAGGTACAGACGACGACCCGCGGCATCTGCTTTCGAAGTGCCCCATTTGAGCATGGTAGACCCAATTCCACGGCCTTGATAGCCCGGTAAAGTGGCCAGAAGGTCAAGCACTAATTTGGTGAGCTTTTGATATGATGTTGAACGATGGTCACTCACTCATATCGTCATCCGTGGCATGTTTCTTGCGAGATTTCTGTAACAGCCCGCGGAACTCGGTATAAAGAGCTTCATTCATGGGCTGTGGACAAAAGCGGGTTGGGTCTTGAGCGAACACCTGTGCTTGCCCACTCAGAGCTGGTTGGCTAACTGAGTCCACTGTCGCTGGAATCAACCAGCGAGCGTAGGAAACAACTTCTCCGCTGGTAGGATCGGTGATTTTGAGAACATGCATCTGCGGGTCTGCCAGGTGCTTCATGGCATAGATCGCTTTATAATTCTGTAGCTCCGCTTCGGTAGCTTCTGGGAAAACACTGTTGAGCAATCCTCTGCCTTGGAAGCTCTCGACGTTGATCCGAGCGAGGGCAGAGCCATCTGCCTCGGTGGCATATTCAATTTGGTACGCCATGGATTTCCCAAAAACACTCGTCCAGCTAATAGTCTCAAGGGGTAGAACACTCGCGGGGAATCAAGTTGTGAAGAAACCCCAGGACACTGGAACACGGAGTAAGAGCGGAGTTGACTCACATCGGGGTCTAGGAGCGGTTTAGCCCCCACGCTAGTCCACCCTTCACAATTTCAAAGAGGATATTCAGACACCGATAGTTAGTCTCCAGAAATACCGAAAATGACACTCATGGTGAAAGAAAATAATTCTAACAGCGGATCATAGACCTATGAATCTCATGTGGGATATGCCAATCTTGAGATTAGCACCTACACTTACCCGCCCTGCATGACTACCCTTTATTTACCATTCTCATAAAGTCTACCTGAACTAGATCCTAGCCACTTGTCGCGACTCTCTATGGTACTCCGTCTCTATCTCCACATTCCCAATTCATTTGAAATGGCAGTCTGAAGTAGGCCGCAGCTGATCACCATTGCCAGGCTCCATTCTCATCCCAGCATTAGCTCCACCCCGGCATTAGCAGCAAATAATCTCCGTTTGAAATTATAAGTGAAGTTCGGAAAATTAAAGTCCGAGTTGAACGTGAAAGTGAAAAGAAGCGAGGCTCTTACTACCTCGCGCCTGGCCGGATTTAAGCACGGAGATAAATGTCGTTGACACCACGGCAGGGAATCTTAAAATCTTTATAAAATCATCCCAATGACTTTGCACAAACATTACCATTGTTCACTTGATTCATGCGAACTCTACCATGACCAAGATTCTCGTTGTCTTCGGTGCCACTGGGCAGCAAGGTGGCTCTGTGATTGACGCGGTTCTAAACGACTCCGAGCTCTCCAAAGAATATTCTCTGCGCGCAATCACCCGAGATATTAAACGACCATCAGCCCAAAGCCTACAGAGTCGGGGCGTAGAAGTTGTCGAGGCTGATGTGGATGATCCCGATTCGCTTTCTTCAGCTTTAGCACAAGCCCATACCGTTTTCATCGTGACTATCTCCATCTACGATGAGAATCTCAAGGCCCGTGAGCTTCGCCAGACAAAAGATGTAGCCGATGCAGCAGTTGCAGCAGGGGCCCAATACCTCATTTACAGCTCGTGTGTGGCAGCTGAGAGACTTTGGGGGATTCCAGTCACCGCATTTGACTCCAAGGCAGATTCTGGTTCGTTGAGAACTGAAATTGTATTTGGAAGCTTATTAATTATTCTTTAGAGGCTTATATCCGCACTCTGCCTATCAAGAGTGCATTCTTCAGCCCGGGCATGTTCATGCAGAACTATCTCACGAATCAGCGCCCGCAGCCGATACCTGGAAAGGAAGGCGACGAGATCACCTATGCGATTGCCAACTTCATTTCCCCGGATGCGCCTATCCCATTGATTGATACAGTCAAGGATAGCGGCAAGTATGTTGGGACTATTCTTGCCAACCCTGATAGGTATGCCGGAAACACGTTCTTCGCTGCGACCGCCTTTTATAGCTATCGCGAAGCTGCCGAGATTATCACACGTATCACCGGAAAGAGAACGGTCTATCTGCAGATTCCCCTTGAACAATGGATCAGTTACCTCCCTCCTGGATATGATAAAGCCATGTCGGAAATGATGCGGTGGGTCGAAAGCCCGGGATATTTTGGTCCACAAAGCAATGAGGAAGTCAAGTGGACGGTACAGCAGGTCAAAGACAAACTGAGCACTTTTGAGGAATTTGTGGAGAGTTATGCTACCGACATGTTCTAGCAGCAGAAATCTTTGATGCGAAACCAGTATCTGGCTTAGAAAGAGCTATGTTTAGCCTTAATGATCGAGTCAAAAGACTGAAAACGGTCATTAAAATAAAAAAGAACATTGTGCATCGTCAACGGCGCTTACGAATCGTAAGCCTAGGATATATCCCTAACATTACTGCACACAGTCTGCTTGAGATTTCATTTCAGATGGCTGCATTACAGCGCAGCCAACATGCCGGGTTGATTGATGATCCTGTGGGTTGCTCTGCAAGGGACTATATGCGGGGACTGAGATGGGGTTCATCAATTTGATGCAGATGGTCCACGTTACAAGCTCAAATTCTCCACTTTTCTCTTCGGGGCGAGTCCGATAAGTTGGTGCCACACTAAGTAGGTATCGAATACATAACCCGAGGAATCGAACCACTTGAGACTCTATTCATATGTGCGACATGAGAAAGGAACAGCAGTAGAGAATATGAGATCAACGCCATCTCATACATGGATGGTCGAGGTCATTGCCGAAGTTGGCTCTATAGCTCAAGAGGAGCGGCGCAACTCCGAGAATCAGGCGATAAGAAGCCCATCGTTCACCTCACCTTGGATTGATTACCCGAGACCTACCCCGCCTGCTTGGGGTTCGCAGTCTCGTTTTTAAATCGAGCTAAAAGAAAATTCCGTGAAACCCCCGAGTCCAAATTTGCCAAGTTAGTGCAGAGGTTACACCGCTCGTCCATGATCAGCTGAATTCACACGTCAATAGCAATGAGTTCTACACCTCGAAACATGGCTGATGCAACTTCAGCTTTTATCGTTCATGACGAGCGTTTTCGCAAGCTCATAGATAACCCAACTTTGGAAGTGCTAGTTGAGTAAGCAGCCAATCCATGTCGCTCCAAAGCCCAGGCTGTGTTGACCCGAAGTCACCAGAAACGAGACATACCCATTTGCTCACGAGGCTGGCGTTTTCATCGAGTCTACTAATGAGCTGTTTGTCACGAGCGCGCGCATCAAAGATCCTGGTTCACAGGGACAGCGAGTTCAGATTTCGAAAGTGATATTGGGAGATGCAACCACTTCGGCTAAACAAGAGGAAATTGATTCTTCTCGGGTCACGATGGGCAATGGTGGTGTCAACTACGGCGACGATGGAATTCTGTTTTGTGCCCAGGGGTCGCTCGATGTCCCAAGTGGCTTGTACGAGATGAAAGTGCGCCCCCCATACAATGTGCACGCGGTCGTGACAAGCTTCTACGGCCGACAATTCAATTCCGTCAATGATGTGGTTATCCATAGTGACGGATCTATCTGGTTTACGGATCCCGCATACGGATTTGAACAAGGCTTTCGACCGCGTCCGCAGCTACCCAGCCAGGTTTATCGCTACGATCCCGTGAGCTCGGGAATTCGAGCTATGTCCGATGGGTTTGGTCACCCAAATGGGATTTGCTTTTCGCCAGATGAAAAGACTCTATATGTGACCGACACAGACCGCATCCACGGGGCAGGAGTTTTTGATGATGCCAAGGCTTCAACAATGTAGGTACTGTTCAGGCTGGCGATGTGGAAAGCGTAGTAGACATGCTGATACTGAACTTAAGATACGCATTTGACCTGAATACTCGTCATGGAGAGCCATGTCTTGAGAACAGGAGACTCTTTGCTATGGCAGATTCTGGAATCCCAGATGGAATCAAGTGCGACCTCTATGGTAACGTGTACAGCGGATGTGGAGATGGACTGAATGTCTGGAGCCCAGGTGGCACTTTGATCGGTAGAATTCTGGTCCCAGAAGGTGTGGCAAATTTTTGTTTCGGACGACTTGGTGAAATTTTTATTCTCAACGAAAACAAGATCTGGAGAGCCCGACTAGCTAGTCATGTCAAGGGGGCGCTTTTGCGAATTTAATAGGGACACAATGAGGGACGTGCAATGGTCGATACTCGGTGTTGAAAGAAATATGCTGATAAGTGTGTGACGGAGACAAAATACCAAGAGCTATTCATCAGATCTGCTCAAGAAAATGTGGGCAAAAAGGAACTCTTTCAAGACACAATTGAAACCACATATGCATTGAAAACGGTGAACTTGGGTTAAAGCGTTTTACCTTTCAAATATCATTGATTAGATGGGACTGTATCGCGTCAGTGATTATCCAAGTCGATCTCCGAGCTCCGAGAAATCGCTTCCACTCATCTCGGCAAAATTCGAATTTGACGAGTCAATTCTGGAGAAGTGAGATAAGACAGAGCTGACATGCTGAATCGCGTAAGACCCGAAATCCATTTTTGTCCAATGAGCTGCTGCTGCTGCTGCTGCTACATAAATCTTGTTTCTCCGTTTTAGGATATGCGTACGTGATGTTTCAGCGCGGTAGTACTAACACTAATAGTGGACGCGGCCCAATTATTAAACATTCCGGTAGCTCCATCTCGAATGGTCATTTGCTTGATACAAGGGAGCTGGGGCTGGAGCTATAATAGTATAATTAGTTGTGTTAAGGACTTAAACCTCATTTGATTCAAGATGCTACTGTTGTTTCGTGACGTAGTCTAGCGCCATGCGAATGCGATGGCGAGAGTTGGTACGAGCGCTTCTGGGATGACCAGTCAAAGAAAGAGGGTGAACAGGGTTGTCCCTGAATGATTGTTACTCGGCACAAAGCCATCAGAGACAATTTATGTAGGGATGCTGGGTGGTTGATGGCCAAACTCAAATAATGCGACCTACGTAGCTCGACACTATTAAAGACTCCTTGATCCCGTACGTTGTACGTTCATTCATATTCAAGCACAGTATACCAAGATGAAGCCTCTCGGGATCTTATTCCAATTTACTCTACTATTTTCTAGTTGTCTGAATGGCACAACAGCAATGTTAATGGCGGATCCTCTCAAAGTTTCTGGTAAAACATATGACTATGTTATTACCGGCGGAGGACTCACAGGTCTCACAACGGCTGCACGCCTGACATCCGACGCAAGAATAACCGTTTTGGTGATCGAGAGCGGTTTCTATCAGTCTAGTCGAGGCCCAATCGTGGAAGATCTGAATTCATTCGGTGAAGCTTTTGGGACCACTCTCGATCACGCCTTCCAGACTGTATCCTTAGATATCAATGGGCGTCCATTGACTTTTCACTCTGGAAATGGCCTCGGTGGCTCAACTCTAATAAACGGAGCAACATATACAAGTCCTTCCAAGGTCCAGATCGACTCGTGGGAGTCTCATTTAGGCAATGGAGGATGGAACTTTGATAATATTTCTTCCTATATTCGCAGGAACGAAAAGGCCCGTCCCCCTACCCCGGAACAAATCGAAGCCGGCCATTCATACAAACCTGAGTGTCACGGAACACACGGTGATCTGCATGTCGGCCCTCGTGGAGGCCGGCTTTCCCCGATAATAAAAAGGCTGATGGGAGTAGTTAAGAAAGGCGGTGCGCCGATACGTCGCGATCTATCGTGCGGAAACCCGGTGGGGCTCAGTGTCACTCTCTACTCACTTCAACAGCTTTTGAAAGCTGACACAAGGACAGAAAGGAGTCTCAATGTTTCTAAATACGATGCATGCCAACGGGACTCGTTCTGATACTGCTCGAGAGTATCTACTGCCTCATATGACCCGCCCAAATTTGTCGGTGCTTGTCGGGCAGAAAGTTGGTAAAGTGTTGATCAATCAAAAGGTCAGAATTCCATCCGCAAGGGGTGTAGAGTTTGGAACCGATGGGCAAAGATTCGAGGTATATGCAAAGCATGAAGTCATCTTAGCAGCGGGTGCCCTTATGAGTCCTCTTATTCTCGAGTACTCTGGAGTTGGACTCAAAACAGTTCTCGAAGCCGCCGGAGTTCCCCAGATTGTCGATCTACCTGTTGGACTCAATCTCCAAGATCAAACTACTACTACCATGATGGCACAGACCAAGGACGAAGGTCAAGGTCAAGCTGCTTACTTTGCAACACTGGATGATCTGTTCAGTACACAAGACATTGAGACAGCCCGTGAACTCTTGAGTTCTCAACTGAATCAATGGGCGGATGATGCTATTGCCGAAGGAGGATTCTCCAAACAAAATGCCCTGAAAAGTCAACTGGAGCTTTATCGTCATTGGATTCTGGATAAGAAAGTCGCATATGCTGAGCTCTTTATGGATGTGCGCCCCTTAACAGTTGGATTCAGCATCTGGGTACTTTTACCGTTCACCCGAGGCAAAAGTATGTATAACCATATCTGTCAATCTTCATACAAACCTTTCTGATGGGCTTCACGGGTACACTTCTGAGTCTCTCTCGCAGTTCACATCACTCACAAGGACCCGTTCCTGTGGAAATATGCCCTAGACCCACGGTACCTGGAAAATGATTTGGATAGGTTGTCTCAAGCCGCAGCAACTCGACTGGCCCGGAATCTGCTCGATGCCATGCATCCATTGGTCTTGAAAGAAACATTCCCAGGCTCGGTTGTGCCGGACAACGCAACAACAGATGACTGGATATCATATGTGGCTCAGAACTTTCAGCCAAACTTTCATGCCATTGGAACATGCTCAATGATGGCAAAAGAACTGGGAGGCGTTGTGGACCCTTCTGGCAAAGTTTATGGGGTACCAGCTCTTCGAGTGGTTGATGCTTCGATTATCCCAACCCAGGTCTCTGCGCATACCTCTGCCTTACTCTATGGCGTTGCGCAAAAACTATCAGATCTGATTCTCGCTGATTATCACCGAAAGTTAAACTCCATAAATTAGGTAGAAGTTGATCCACAGTATATCTAGGTTGTTTTGGGATACACATAGTGGCAGCATACCGTTGCATTTTCTTTATAAAGTACTTCAGTTCTATATGCCAGTCCTGGAGAGCAATTGCCGCGCCGATTGCCCGAGTGCTATCCAACTAGACTGACATGTCATTTATATTCTGTAGCAACGTGCTCGTCTGAGGTCGAGCGGGAATGTCCAGACAGGGCCAATTGGAGTTCATCGAGCTAGAATGAATAGATTGGGTCGAAAGTTGGCGCTAGGACACGAGAGCGAGTAAAATTTCCGGTGGTGCTGTCTGTAGATGGTTGAGCGAGAAGCTGCAAGCAGTATGATGTTTGTAAATCGAGACAATTTGCGTTGATAGGGAGATTCACGCATGCGTCTTTCATACTGCCGGGTCCAGTACTGAATATTATTCTTTCGCAATGAAAGCGGCTCTTAGCTCCCAGCATCGGCTGCATGTGAATGACTCGACTGTATTTTTTCCTTCGTCTTCTCCAATTTATCATGCATGGAGTGCATTTTCCGTTTGGTCTTAGTGTAGCCCTCGATTCCAGCAAGGACAGCATATGAATAGGTGATAGAAACATGAGATAAGTCCACACCCCGTTCTTGAAGAGAACGGTGAAAGGCACGGAAGTTAGCCAGATGGGGCCGGTAATGGCCGCTAGAAATGTTAGATTCCGGCCGGTTTAAGGTGAAAATTGCAATCGGAGCCATACCTCAAAGGAGCTAGACTGCGTAGTTGGCCAGACTTAATTTTGAGAAGCCCAGCCGCCGCGATGCGCCCTCCACGTAAGAAGGAGGAATGTTGGAAAGCCCCAGGCTCTTTGATCCCTACATAGATACGAAAAGATGTATCGGCGACCTTTCAAGAGAGGTTAGACAGGTAGGAGGGCGGGCTTGGTTCAAGGACTGACAAATATCCACATGTTTTTTTTCACGGACAGGCTTCCCGCAAAACGATCGTAGATTGCCACTGGGTTGACATTTGAGAACCTCTTGGCGGAATTTCTCAGTTCGTTGTCTTCTTCCGTGGCAGGCATGGGGTCTTCATTGCTTTCATCGCCAGCATGCCCCTGCAAAGGCGACGATTGTGAGGAGGTCGACTCAGGGTCAGATGGTTTTTCGCCAAGATTCGAGTTTGCCTCAAAACAAGGCGTGTCGTCACCCTTGGGAACTATGCCATGAATGCTGTCCCTAAACTTGGCATCATTAGTTTCTACCAGCTCGCCGCTCTTCGCCCATCGAAACAAGCCATCCTGGCCTATGCTAACCAGGTAATTCAACCTCTCGGTGGCAGTGAGGTATCTTATCTGTTGTCTCTCGAGTCGCTCGCGTGATACGTTTGGAACCTCGACGTCTCTTCCTTCGCCGTGATCCAGCCAGTAAAAGAAGTTTTGGCTGCAGGGAGATTCCTTCCAAAGAATATGGTAGGCGCGCAGATTGGAGCCATGACGGTGCTTCGAATCTACCATCTCCAAGAAATATTCGAGATCCATTTGCTTGGGGCTTGTCACGCGACTGGCCTCGGAGTCTGCATCATCATCGCCGCTGGCTTGCATAGCGACGCTGACAGCCCGGTTCCAGTTTTGGCGAGCTGGGCTGGGGCTTTCCTCGATAGAGTGAGCCTTGAATCCTTCGGAAGGACCTTGTAGATGGTTCTTGGGCTGTGGAGTAAGCTATAGAAAGAGGAGCAAGAACAACGATCAGTACTCGCACTGAGAGAGTATAGCGGGGTCTTTACCTCGCGTCGGGAGGCAGCCAGATCGAGCCCCCTGAGCTCTCTTCGAGTTCTATACCCCCGATATATTCTCTGTCACCACGGTCAAGTCAGAGCCTATCGTCAAATCGATGCGCTCTCTCATCTCGTACCTGGATCGTGCTAGCAGCGCGCTCTGAATCCAAACAAGCAGTGACGTCATTTGAATCCCGTAGAGCCATGTCGCGCGAGCGTTGCTCCTCAGACTGAAGGGTTGTCATTGTTGCGAGAGAGACACTTAGTAGGAAGCGAAAGCCACGTATCAACCACCATTTGAAGGATAAGGTCCCAAGGTGTATAGCTATAGGTATGTACATGGACTATGGATCAGTGTCCGATTTCCAAGTTTCGACGGGGGAGCCTCAGGTGTCATTCTGGCCTTGTTTCTGCGGCTCTCAACCCTTCGACTTGCGACTTGCGACCTTCGGCCTTGAGTACCCTGGGGGAATTGTATATCGTTCTCGGATCCTATTATATCAAACTTGTTCCTTTCTCATCCCTCCTTCTTCCTCCCTCCTTCTTCCCTTCGCCATGAATCTCGACAACTACCTAATTGCGTTCTCAAACATGAGCTATCAACCTCTCTAAAAGGTTCGATTCGCGAGCACGCCACCTGATAAAGTTCTTTCCCTTCATGTCCCCCAACTTGCAATTGCAATCGTCAGTTGGAGAAGCGCCCGCAGTGTGGATTTAATTGCCCGATACAGATTAATCCCTGTTTGATTGCCCCGCAACGGCAACGGACCGTAGATGCGCCTCGCGCTTTCACGCGCTTCTCGGGCCTGTACCCGACTCCGGTCAGATCACGGATGCTCCGTCCGTGGACCGTTCCCCTCATGCGGAGAGACGTGTTGCGGTCCTGTATTATATATACCCTAATTTGGCTTCTACTTTTTAATCAGTTTAAATCTACTTGATCTAGCTGTTCAGTTCACAGAATATCAATCATGCCTTCCATCCACCCTCTCATCGACAAGGGCCTCATCAAAGGGGACCCCAATTTCCCCGGAGGTCGTTTGCTTTGCCGCTGTTCCTCCAACCAGGTCATCGTTGGTCTCAAAAGCAACGTTGCCCATAACCACGCCTGTGGCTGCAGCAAGTGTTGGAAGCCTGAGGGAGCTCTCTTCTCCGTTGTGGGTGTGGTACCCAGGGAAAACCTCACGGTCGAGAAAAACGAGTCGAAGCTCAAGATAGTCGATCCTACTGCCGTCATTTTAAGACATGCTTGCCGTGAATGTGGCGTACACATGTTCGGTCGTATTGAAACGGCGCATGCTTTCCATGGTCTTGATTTTGTCCACTCGGAGCTTTCCGATCAATCTGGATGGCAGGAGCCCCAGTTTGCAGGCTTCGTCTCTTCAATCATTGAGCAAGGATTTGATCCCAAGGTAGGTTCGGGCTGCTCTCTATATCTTTCTCTGCTAACTCGTTTGCCAGGGTATGGATGAGGTTCGATCGAAGTTCAAGTCCGCCGGTCTGGAGACATACGACGCCCTATCCCCACCCCTGATGGATCTTCTCGCCACTTTCGCCGCACAGAAGGCGGGTGTGAAATTCTCCAACTTGTAGGCATGTTACATAACAAAGATAAAATGAGTGTCCAGTGTGGGCATGTATATATCTTAGAGTTCTGCTCTAGGGGGTTCTCTTTGACTCCCGCGGAAATAAATGATTGTTCATGAATCCTTACAGCTTTTGTCAATCTTCACTATATGGTATCTCTCAGGTGTCCTTAAGAATGAGCAATGACTATATGACTATTCAATGTCGGGAGCGAATCTTCCATAATTATATATAATTATCTCTTATCCTCGGTAGGAAGATCGTATGCTTATTACGTCGGCAAATGATGAGACCGATGATTACGGGCGTCACTCAGATCACAGCTCGGAGAGTGATCTAAATGAGATGCGTCTTACCACCCGCACAAACGTTCAATTCATCGCAAGCTTGACTCTGTACTTAGATAGGTATCTTTCAATCGTATTTGTAGATGGTTTTTTTTTCTGGACGTAAATTTTGGAAATCTTGCTTTAAATATTTACTTCCAACTACTTATCATTAATATTGGAATAATCGAGTTTCCCTAGTGGCCACTGTCGGCACCCATGGTATCCTCTAGTTGGAAGGTTTCTTCGGGGTTACCCCGAGGGATGAACGGCCGCGATAGAGCCTGTTCCTCATCATTCAGCCTAGCAAACCCTTCTATACTTGAAGATTCAGACTTGTTCCAAGGCTCATCACAGGTAACGGATCGCAGAGGTGGGTAGTAACGGCGATAGGAGAACCAGCCCACGAGCATACCCAGAAGTCCACCGCAAGTCACATCCCACACGTCATGCCTGTAGTCATCTAGACGTGAGATAGCAACCATAAGCGCACACAGCAGGGGAAAGAGCCCCAGAAGGCACCGGCTGAGGTCCGTCCTCGGGCGGAAAACATGCATCTGGCCGCAGATGAAGCTTTGGGTAGAAGTCAGCAACTTCTCTCAGTATATGGTGGAGCGATACCTACAGTGAGAAATAGCCAAGGCCGGCAAATGAGAAGCTACTGTGTCCACTGGGGAAGCTGCGCCAGCCTTCTTGTAGAATTTGTTGGTTGGACTCGGTGCAGACAGTCCATGCGACCAGCACATTGGCTGACGTGCCCCGGGCGGGTTTGCAACGTGATAATAGGTCTGGACGAGGTCTCCCCACTGCATTCTTGATCAAATCCGTGAGGAAAGATGTCAACATCAGAGCGACCAATAGCCCGAGCACCGTGACTTGCGTCTTTTGTACCCCGGGACGCAACATGGCGGACCAAACGAGGATAATGCTGAAGGGTATCACACCGGCAATTATGATTGACCATACTATAGATAGGATGAGTATATATCGAGCGGGGGTGGCTTGGAAGAGTCGTACCAACAGGAACTCGCTCATGGACGGCGAATGGGTACATGATGGCCTTGTTGTCGAGGGAAAACATGCGGTGGAAGGGGTCCATAAATTGGATCTGCGCAAGGTAAAGAGTGAAATGTTAGCATATGAAGCTCGTTATGAGACAATAATTCCCAACTGACCAGGACCCAGCCCAATGCCAGGAACCCCAACGCGATGTAGTCGGCCGCATAAGAGCGCTGGCCAAAGCGAGCCAGGGCCCCCGCGAGGCCAACCCGGTGAAGGACCGGGAGGGGCCCATTGCCCGAGCTTTGGGACATTCTGTGATGCTACCCAGAGCAAAAGCAAATGAATATCCCGCCTTGCACAGGAGAAACCCAAGTGAAGGGAGAGTCGCGAGGTTCGGAAAGTAACAGAGCCCGAAGCACAGACCCACACCTTCCGCGGCAACTTTCAACACGCACCTTGCAACTTGCAACTTGCAACTTGCAACTTGCACTTTTACACCACCTCGGCAACCTCCCCCGTTTACAGTAGAGCGGTCTTCGCTTCTCCAACTTGGCCGACCTGGAATTATGACGGACGCGAGCCAGCAGCCAGCAGTCCCCACGGCCTTTGCGCCTCCGCCGCCTTTGTGGAAACACTTTACGCGCGAGAACCTAGACGAGCTAGAGAAGATCAAGAACGAGGCATCCAAGGGCGAGGATGGACGCATCAATCGCAACAAGCAATGGTCGTCTTCTGAATTGCGCGCCCTAGATGTGCCCCCAGAGCTGCGCTTCCTGGTGCCGCCGGAGATTCCCACCGGGCAATACTCTGTCTTCGGCGAGCTACAAAGCGTAAGTGGGAGCTATGAGTGGTTCTTCTGGAACCTTGACTGACTCTCTTTGGTACAGCTTTCAACGACATTACCATCTTTGAAAGAGCAGGGTATCGAACAGCTATACCCGGAGCCAGAGACCGATACCTCACACGACCCTTCTAAGCCCTCCCCGCTCAACCACGCCTACTACCTACTGAAGATCAGCAAATCCCTTCTTCTCAACTTTCTAGAGTTTGTTGGAGTCCTTTCGGTGTCTCCCGAGCAATTCGAGTCCAAAGTAGAAGACATGCGCAATTTGTTCATCAACGCCCATCACCTTCTTAATCTCTACCGACCCCATCAAGCCCGAGAATCGCTCATTATGATGATGGAGGAACAATTACACCGCACCAAGGACGAGATTGAGCAAATGGATAAAGTCAAGGCGGATATCGAGAGTGTCTTGGATCAGCTGGAGGCCGAGGGTCGCCAAGTGGGCTCGGTTGAACAGCTAGATCATGCTAGCGACTCGAAGGAGGCGGCTCGACGCACTATTGAAGACCGCCGGCTGGTCTGGGATCTTCTGGACCAAGAAAAGTGAAGAGAATATGGCCATCCTTCAATACCTTTTACCCACCATCGCTCAATCACGTCTATTTGACGTATGAGACATCTCACTGCTCGTCGACTGACAAACTGAAAAGTTGCGTATGGCAAATCACAGTCAATCATCCTCATGCGTTGGTGTCTTATACTTCGAGCTTTTCTATTGCTCATTCACGCCCCGCAGAATGCCCCACAGTGCCGAGCTTCGATCTTTCAACATCACCGCATCTGCCTTGCGCAAGTGGTGCATACCTACGAATGTGGACATGGACTGAGGCCCCCAGCAAGAGTGGCATGGTCTGCAGATTTGGTACGCAGAAGTTTCCACGCTGAAGGGAATTACGGGGCCTGTGGGCTTGCTAGACCCGAAATCTGCAAATTGGGTTGGCTAGCAATGTAAACTAGCACATACAGTATACCCTGTGGAACTCCTGCCGAGCGACTCAGCTCAACTAGTAATCGCATACGGAGCATGTCTAGTTATAGAAAGATACAATGCACGCTTTGAACAAAATATGACTTGTTATAAAAAAGAAAGACACCCACGAGCTCTCTTCATCTCCCCATTAAGGGATCCCCAGATGTCGATCGCCTTCAGAGATACTGTGTTGTTACAGTGGAGGTTCTCATTATATTGTCCCAGTCTCAACCATGTGTATGTACTCAGCCCTAACGCCCTTTGTTGCTTAATCACAACCTTTCCCACGCCTCTTCTGACTCCTTTGGTAACTCGATGATAACACAAAATGATCTATAACGCAAAAAAAAAAAAAAGAAAAAAGAGTATTACTAAGACAGAAGCGAGCTGCGGCTCTGCTCAAGCCACGCCTTGTCGATAGCGGCTTCCGCGAGCCGCTTCAGCTCCACCACGAAGTCAGCCACCAGCTTGAAGTGGACTACTTCATTATCGGGCAGCTTTCGCGAGAATACGCGGTCCATCATGCGCGTTGCCATCTTCAGGCTACCCAAATCATCGCGTGAGCGGGGATCTAGTGGGTTCTGGAGGATGCTGCAGAAGATAGAGAGCAGTGCAGACATGGGGTAGAAGATCAGAGTCCTAGACGGATGTTAACTGAGAACCAACAGACCACTCGGGGTCTTTGAAACATACCAGAAGACACCGTCAACCAGAACGTGTTCTGCCGCTTCCAAATAGCAAAGGGTCGAGCGGCTGGCTTCAACGGAAAGTGCTAGACTTGAACTGACCCCGTCCATCATGCCACTTCCTTCCTGCCATGCTTTGCATCGACTGCTCGCCTGGTGAATGATGCTCATGCATAGATAGTAGTTGAGACGTAACATGACCGAGTGCATGCTAATATTAGGATCGGATGCCTCGGGTGAGAAAGACATTGTGGGACGCCAATGAGGCGGAAGTGATAGTCGCCACGCTTCCAACTCATCATCCAGTTCACGGATCGACTTGAGAAGATCGGCGTCGGACTTTTTCATGGCGCTGACGGAATACAAGGCACTGTGCGCCCTCGACTTGATAATACTGAGACGCAAATCGAAGGGAAATACCGGCTGATCGAAGTGCACATCTTCATTTTCGACATCATGGTGAGCTTGATCCACATAACCCGGTGGAAGAGTCAAGTCGCAATTTTCATCAGCAATAGTAGGTGGTTGTCCGGTACGAAGCGGCACATCTTTGTCGAGGGTGTAGCAAATCCAGAAAAGATTGCGCAGCAACTGATGCTTTTTCTTGCCGCGCTCACCGGTGCTCATTCGAACGTCCATCAAATTTGCACCCAGCATGAAGAGCAGACGTGCTGCAATCGAAGCAAAGTAGTTCGTCGCTCGCATGTTTCCACATGATAATTCATACACAGTCTACAATGTAAGCCAAACGATAAAACGATCGAGTGATGTTCTTCAAGACAAAACTTACTAGCATAGTCACTGCCTGTGCTCCTTCCAAGGACGCCGGTTCCTGCAAGATTTGAGAAAGTAGGAATTCGGCTCGGGTAGCCATGGCATCATGGTCTACTAAGGTGGCTGTGTAGGCATCGAGCTGAATTTGTACTGGCGGAAGGCGCGCAGTAAAGGCAAGAAATGCGATGATACAAGCTCGAGTGCTGGCTTGCCCAAGCTGAAAGTTATTCGGTGGTTGTTGATAAGCCGAGATTATGGTCTCTTCGAACAGTTCAGGATCAATGACGGGGAACAGCCTCATCATCAGTAGAGAATTCTTGTAAGCATCCAGGTAGAGACGAAGAATTCGTTGGTCTGGCAGCTTGAACGAGTCATGACTTTGCAGCTCTAATAGGAAATTGTTCGTGGCCTGGCCACGTTCTTTCTCCCATGGTGCTCGGGTTGGGCTAAGCTTGTTGCTGGCGATGGTCTGCCCGGTGCGAGCCTGAATCCATTCTTGGCCTTCTGGGAGCAGGAATGGTATTCCAGTGAGTACACTGATGCCACCTAGCTCTCGGCCGGCGAAATGAACACCCACTGAAGCTGATATTAGGGGCTGGACGGCACTGCTGTTGCTGGGTGAATTGCTCGCGGTTGTATTACCATCTGCGATCTGCGACAGATCTGGCGGTACTGTTCCAGTTAGTTGAATCATTAGATTCCTTCACTAGAGCAAAGAAATATACCAGATCCGGCATCTCGCATCAGATTCCCCGCCAAAAGCTGCTCGATACGACTGATCCGCTCCGAAAGCTTCGAGGCCTTGGGCCGACTACTTCTGATCTTAGTGGACACGAAGAAGTCAATCTCGCAAGAGACGAGCCACAAGGCTTACCTATCATCATCATCATCATCACCAGTCTTTCGCTTGCGCTGTACCACTCGATCGAAAGTACAAGCAAAGTTATGGTGGCTACACCAGTTACATGACGGAAGAGCCGCGTCGCATTTAATCTGGTCTGTCAGTACATCCATGGCTATATGAGGAGGCCTACATACCTTGCGCCGGTAGCATGAATCGCAAGCACGCGCCGTGCGCTTTCGTGGTTCGTCGCTCGGATGCATGGCGAGTGAAGAGATTCGGCGATGATCTTCTCGGCTCGTCGTGGATGCGCTGAGTAAGCGGATGTGGCCACTTTGGTCACTCTTTCAAGGACTCAACCGGTCATTCGGACGCAATTGTTGCATTTGAGATTTGCTTGAATTGATCTACTGAGCCATGGCTTTTGTTAAACTGTCAAAAAGGGAGTTATCCGTTGAAATAAATTGCATTGTTCAGGCAAGCAGGGCATGCCGGGATATATGGGAGATAGTCAAGTACGGACAGCGAGAGAAATACAGTACAGATGTAGAAAGGGCAAAAAAGCAAAGAGCATCCCAGATCGTCCAGTTTCAGGCATGCGACATTCTCTTCCCGGCTGCCTCAAATCATCCACTCCTGTCAACTTCACCGAGTGTACCGGTCTCGGGGCGTCCGCAGTTCACATCACCGTGCAAATGCAGCAGTCACATTCTTCGTCGCCGCAATCGCAGCCAAAGCAAGGTTTCGACACCGTCTTGATAGGCTTTTTGATCGAGCTGCCCGAGCTGGAAGGGAGCGTCCAGTCAACAGGGGTGGAGGGGGATGATGAAGCGGCCATGGTACAACTAAGACTTAGGCACGAACTAAGTCAGCAACCTTGGAAAGCAGGACAAGGTGAAGGACGGTGATCCCTAAAAGAGAGTCAGCAATGATGGGCAAGGCATCGGACAGACCCAGATCTGACCTTGAGAGAAATAGCCCTGAAGCAGGTAGGGGTGGCCCAAGTGAAAGGAGCGGATGGCTGTTCGGTTTCTTTTTTCTTTTTTCTTTTTTCTTTTTTCTTTTCCCAGACGATTTTCCCAGGCAGCCGTTTATTTCGTGCCGACGGAACCAGTAACAAGTCCGACAAGCAACCAAGTGTCACTCACTCATCATCTCGCATCTCACATGTCGCATCTCATTCACCTCTACCCGAACCCCGCCACCCACGTCACAGGGTCTTGCCCCCATCTTTGTATAAATCCCATTTTCAGTAGACGCAGGCCCCTGCTCCTAGCTGCTTGGCATCATCAGCAACTAGGCGTTCATGTTGATTTCTTTGCCGCGTTTCAGGCGTCGCAAGGAACGACAGGCTATCACCGCCCACTCAGATGGCTGTTTACTTCTAAGAATCTATCATTATGGAAGATCAAAAGACAAAGAAAGTCTACTATGAATAATCAAGATCGTTCAGTCAACGGGTATAAACAAGAAACAAATCATTTCAGATGTTTGAATATGTACAACATCAACTTTTTTTCATCACTCATCACGGGAATTACCGCTTGAGACAGGGTATCGTCTAGTCATCTCGTGGGGTTCCAAAAGTCATCCGTCTATACCATTACACGTAGTCCAGCCAGGGGGTCATCAAATTCCGGTAGGAGCATGTTTACAGCTGCTCGACCCAGGGGGCGGCGCCCGCCTGCATCTGGTTCAGCCACTTGACAAGCTCAATCAGCTCGGCACGGCGCTCGTCCTCCAGCTGGTCCTCGTCACCAGTCAGAACAGCCTGGAAGACGGGGAGGAGCTGAGGGGTGAGGCTGCGAATGGTCTCATCCTCCCACTTGTACAGCTGGCAGATCATGCGGTATAGGGGCTCGTTCTCCTCGAAGTCGTTCTTGAGGGGCAGAATGCCAACCAGGACGGGAAGGACATCCTTGATGGGAACGCTCTCGCGGCTGCGAAGGATCATGCGACTGACACAGCCAGTGGCGTTGTCCTGCAGACGAGAGACGTTCATCGAGAGGCAAGTCTCCAGACGGGTGAGAATGGTGGGGTACTCCTTGACGACCTCGTCGGAGGTGGAGTGCTCAACCAAGCGGCCGACAGCGTAGGCAGCGTTGGAACGGGTCTGGGGGTCCTCGTCATTCAAGCGGTGCAGGAGCAGCTTGAGGAAAGTAGAGGTGAAGGGAGTCACGGCGGCACCCATGCCGTTGATGCACTCAGCAAGGACACCCACGGCGGTGGCGCGCTCCAGAGACTCGGTGCTGCTGGCGTAGCGGAGGATGGTCTTCTCGAACACCTTCCACAGCTCAGCAAAGCTCTGGCCCAAAGCGGCAGCCATACCGGAGACAACATCGAGACCGGTGTCAACAACGACCCAGTCGAACTCAGAGGTCTCTTCGCCGGCCTCGAAAGCCTCCTCCTCGGGGCCAAACTCAATCTGGCAAGGGTGCTGCTTAGTGATGATGTCGGTGATCATCTGAATCACGTTGTGAAGCACGGTCTCGTCAGCAATGAGAGCCGGGCCGCAGAAGCGGAGGTTCTCAGCCATGTTGCGGTTGATGTCCGCGACGGTAGCACTAGTATCCATCAGTCAGTATGCAAGTTGACAACGATAGATCGTAAATATTGCAGAGAATAACAATGGGAGTCAGGAGTAGACTTCGCCGTTTACATCAAGCACGACTTTGCGTGTCAAAGTGAGCTGGGTTAAGCGGATAGGATCATCATGTAAAAGCCCGAAAAAGAAAAAAAGAAAACAAAAAAAAAAAAAAAAGAAAACGTACCGATCATCTTCCTCAGTCCACATCTTAACGGTGGCAGTCATGAGGATTTCGCCGAACTTCTTGACCTCCTTAGCCGGCTCAACCTGCAGAGGCAGACCAGGCTGCCACTTGGGCATCTGGTTGCTCTCCTCAGCAATGGCGAAGAGCATAGCGTAAGAGCGGTGCAAGGTGCTGATAGTGCTCTTGCGAACACCCTCATAGGGGTGCTCAGCAAGGGGCATGACCATCTCAATGGTCTTCTCGAAGTAGGGCAGGAAAGAGTTGCGGGTGTGAGTAACCAGGTCGCCGATAACCTCAACGGCGATCTCCTTCTCAAGGGACAGAGGGGTGGTGGCAGTAATATCATCCCAAGCATCATCGTCATCCTCGGCGTCAATGTCCTCAATATCACCCTCAAGGTCATCATCATCGTCAGCACTGGCAACCTTGACCTTGCGGCCGGCGACGGTCACTTCCTGGCCAACAAGATCCTTGGCAGCCTCGCCAAGCTCAACCTCGAGGTCAGTCTCATCCTGCTCAATGCAGTCGAACAGGCCCTTGGTAACACCATCGAGGAAGGGCGAGAAGTGCTCGGAGTAGACCTTGGCCATGGCGCCCCAGAAGATGTAGGTGCTTTCCTTGAGACGAGAGTGGCCGAGGTGGAGGGCCTCCTCGGTGGCGCGCATGAGGGGCTCGACGTAAGGCTGGTAGCGCTCGGGGCCGGCGGCAGCAGCCATCTCGCCCATAGCATCGGTGACACTGGCACGGAGATCGAGCTCCTCCTCGGAGTCCTTGACAGTAGCAAATTCCTGGAGCAGGTGCATGGTCTCATCGAAGAAAGAGAGGAAAGAGTCACCAGCAGAGGAAGCAAGCGAACCAAGGGCGCCGGCAGCAAGAGACTTGATCTTGAAGTCGGGATGCTTGAACAAGTTGTGCAGGATGGGAACGAGCTCGGCCTGGTAGGGGGCAACGTCCTTCTCATCCAGACCATCGACGACAGCATCGATGGCGCTGATACCAGCCTTCATAATGTCCATGGTGGGGCCATCCTCTTCGCCCTTGTACTCCTGCATGGAGCTGGCAAGGTTCTTGAACAAGAGAGGCATCAGGCGCTCATGCTCAGCGCTGAGGTCCTCGGCCAAATCGTCGGCCAGACGGGCAACAGCGTGCAGGGACGCCTGGCGAACCTTGGACTCGGGGTCGGCAAGGAGCTGGAGAACCATGGGGAAGATCTCCTGCATCTGGGTGCTGATGAAGTCGGGAGCACCCTCAACGCACATGCCGAGGGCCATGATACCGGCACGGCGGTAGTTGGGGTTGGTGTTGTTGAAGTACTGACCCAGAGTCTGGAGCAGAGGCACAACAACCTGGCTGGGAGGCAAGCTCTGGGAGAGCATGTCAAGGAGACCAAGAGCAGAGCGGGGAGGAGTGATATCGTCGTCAATGGGAGAGTCATCCAGCTCGGTGACAATGTGGAGGGCAGTGCGGGTGAGCTGCTCACCGAGGCGCATAGCCTGGATCTTCAACTTGCGGTACTGAACGCACTGCATGAGGAAGCTGATGGCCTGGGTACGGGTGTCGTCATCGGCCTCAGTGTTGGCAGAGAGCTCGTTCATGAAGATCACGAGGTCCTTCAGGTGAATAGTGAGCAGGGCAGGATCGCAGCCGAGCAGGGTCTGGAAGACCTCGAAGGCCTGCATGACGCGGTCCTCTTCACCCTGGTCAATGGCGTCCTTAAGAACGGCAACCATCGAGGGCACGAGCTCCTGGAAGGCCTTGACGGGGGCCTCGTCCTCATCGGAGTCGAGGACCATGGCAAGCTTGCTCAGAGCCAAGAGAGTGTTGATGCGAACCTCAGCACTCTCGGGGTCCCGGATGGTCTTGCCGAAGAGGTTGAAAAGATCCTGGAACTTCTCCTCGAAGCCCTCACCCAGGGTCTCCAGAATGGTGAAGAGGATGTAGAGGGCCACGGCACGCTCGTCGTGGTTGGCACTCTCGCCGGCGCGCAGCAAGAGGTTGGGCAGGTCCGGCCACTCGCCATCGTTCAAATCAATCTTGGCCACGGCCGAGATGATCCGAGCGACGGAGTGACGAACAAGAGATGAACTCTCGCCCATGGTGGATCGGAGCAGCTGATCCCGGACCTGGGGCTTCTGATCGGCGCCCACCTTCAGCCAGTGCTTCTGAACAAGTCCGCGAGCCTCAACGGCGGCCAGCTGACGAAGGTTGGGATCCTCATGGCCAGTGGCGATTTGGATGAGGAGAACGAGGGACTCCGGCTTGCTGTAGTACTCTTTCTGGAGGATTCCGGTGGCCTCCTTCACATTTCCTTGGGTTGCTTGAGGGAGTATTAGCGTAAGTTGAGGAGGTCAAGTGGGGAGAGAAAATCTTACGATCAAGAATAATGGCAAGCTGAGCCAGGAATCGTTGAGAGTCCATCCTGGAGGATAGATATGAGCTTGTGTCAACACAAGCCCGGGTATCACAAACAAAAAAGAAAAAGAAAGGGGGAT